GATTCCTCTCAGAGGGGTAGTTATTTTAGACGACTGAAGGAGATTTGAGAAAGGTAATTATATCCACCCTGAGAGATGACTTCGTGGGCACAGTGATCACTGTCACAGCCACCTGCAGCTCCCACGCCACACAGAAAACTCCACTTTCTCTTCACACTCAGGACAAAAAGAAATTAAGAAAAGCAGCCTGCAAATTCATGGTGAATGAGAACATCGAGGAAAAAGGCAGGTCAGATTTCCTTGATCAACAAGGATTGGGGCTGCCTCCCTCAAGGCCCAACTCGGGTCCCACGCATCCTAGAAACGAGGACACGGGCCTTTGCCTCATCTAAACCCGGGGAAAAGCAACCACGGGGAAGGAATAAGGCGCCCAGCAGCTTCTCACATCAGATTGTCAGGGCTGGCTCGACCTCAGTGGCTCACTGCAGCTCCAGAACTTCCCGGCGCCTTCCTCCCGTGCTGCTCTAGCAGTTTACACTGCACCCTGCAGGGCCAGAGAAAGTGCCGCACAGCCCAACGTGGGAGATGATGGCCTGGCTTTACTAAAAAACTGTGATCAAAATCACAACTATAGGAAAGAAGGAACTGAGCACGACTGGGCCCCATCTTCTGGGAGGAGCCCCGCTAACCACAACCTCCCCTGCTTCTTCCCTGCACTCCCCTAAAGAGCGGGGTGGATGTGTTCTAACCTCCTGTTAAGATCAGCACACAAAGAAAAGTGAGTCAGCTCCTCTTTGCCTTCTCTCCTTGCTCCTTCATGGTACAGGGTAAGGTAGGACAGAGCCTGCCACTGTCACCAGGACCCCACCACACCAGACAGCCACCCTCACGATGTTCAACAGGAGCCTCACAGTGCCTGTGCCACGAGCAGGTTCAGGTGCCCTCAGGACCATCCTTGCTTTCCCAGCAATTCAACTAGGGCCAAGGCCAGCTCCTAAGGCCCAGGACTAGCTCTGCCACTCTTGAGGATAGGTTAGAAACACCAAAGGCCACACTGGAGAGGAAGGCCCCATGAAGCTTTTCTGTTGCCTTGGTGATGAACTGCCAGGCAGAACCCACTAAATGCCAGTATTGCTGTTTATGGATATAAACTGCTTAGAAGCTACATTTTGCAGAGTGTGTAATAGGCAGTGAGGAGCAGCTGCAGGCATGGACATTAGTTTGGATTGCTGAGTTCATTAGAGTTTCTGGCCCCTTCCCATAGCTTCCAAATGCCTACCTCCTGCATAGAGCACGTCTCAGCAGTTTCTACAGAGCATGGCTCCCAGGAGCAAGAGGACACTGTCCCTGGCTGCCAGGGCAAGGAGCTTGATGCCAGAGATAGAGAGACAAGAGATGCAGCTCGGGGGAGCCTGCCAGCAGAAACTAACTGGACTGCTCGTCCCCGTGGGCCAGCCTCTGCAGACCAGGTCACAATCCACCAAGCAGTGAGGAACTCAGCGAACTCGGTCTCCAGCCCGCCATGAGCCAGTGTGGCCAGCCAACCTTCCTCTGCCCATCTGAAGATGGAGACGCTCTGACCAGCCTCCTGCAGTTGGGAAGGTCACACAAAGAATGTGTATCATGGACCTGGCCCACTGAAAGACCTAATGTCATTGTCATAATACCTGAGGACACTGGGCCTGGGGAACTAGGCTTATTTAGGTCTTGCTCTCAGCAGCACACACTTTCCAGTCAAATCCTGTCACTTCAGTTTTGCTTTTGTTGTCTGAAGATGAGAAAAACTGGATTCTTAATCTGATCAGTGACTTCCATGGTGATTCCCTCGGTTCCAATTAGGTCATTTTCATGTAAAGGCCTGGTCTGGCAGCTGTAAGTACTATGTGGATAAGCAGAAACAAAGCTCCACCTGGGCTTCATCAGATTCTGTCCACGAGAAGCCACACCGTGACGTCGTGACCTGTTAACCTGCCTGTGTCTGTCTGATTGGAGTTTGGGCGAATACAAGTCACTGCCCTCCCAAGTTGACCAGAAAGGGGCATGGAAACTCCTGCTGCCATGCTCTGCCACCACCCAGGCAGACTCTAATGAGATCATCTGAAATCGGCAGCCTGTGCTGCCTGACAGATATGGTCCTCATCACTTGGGATTTGTATGTGAACAGGCCGCTCACCCCTTCACCTTCTAGTGCTCTTCCCTTGACTTGGGCCAGAAGAGAACTACCAGGCTCTGGGGGCGCTGGGGACCAAGACCTGGGTTTTCTTCAGTGGCCCACAGGCAAGTCCAGGAGCCTGAGCCGGTTTGGCCTCTCCTCGGTAACCTGGAAGAGGTGAACCCTGTGCCCCCTCAAGAGCCCCTTTCCAGTTTCAAGCTACTGCTGCTTTCATTTAAAACACAACAAAACACATGAAGGCAGCTGGGCGCAGTGGCTCACATCTGTATTCCCAGCACTTTGGAGGCCAAGGTGGGTGGATCAACTGAGGTCAGGTATTCAAGATCAACACGGCGAAACCCTGTCTCTACTAAAAATACAAAAATTCGCTGGGCATGGTGACAGGTGACTATAATCCCAGCTACTCAGGAGGCTGAGGCAGGAGAATAGCTTGAACCTGGGAGGTGGAGCTTGCAGTAAGCTGAGATTGTGCCACTGCACTCCAGCCTGGGCAGAGTGAGACTCCATCTCCAAAATAATAATAATAATAATAGTAATAGTAATGACAAAACATGAAGAAAAGGCCAGGTGCAATGGCTCACACCTGTAATCCCAGCACTTTGAGAAGCTGAGGCAGGCGGATCACCTGAGGTCAGGAGTTCCAAGACCAGCCTGGCCAACGTGGCAAAACCACATCTCAACTAAAAATAGAAAAATTAGCCGGGCATGGTGGCGCTCGCCTGTAATCCCAGCTACTTGGGAGGCTGAGGCAGGAAAATCACTTGAACCTGGGAGGCAGAGGCTGCACTAAGCCAAGATCGTGCCATTGCACTCCAACCTGGGCAACAAGAGCAAAACTCTGTTCCCCCTCCCCCACCCCAAAAGACACACACACACACACACACACACACACACACACACACACACGAAAAGGAAAGGAATAAGAGGTTGGGAACTTTTTTTTCAGTAGAAGAGTCTATCATTTGCTAGTGGGCAGCAGCTTGACTGGAGACATTTTACCTAGAGTTGGTTATGAAATTCACTTGCAAAACCCAAGTTTTCCAGGGCGAAGAGCGAGTGTATGTAGCTCTCATCCTTCCCTGGGCTGTAAGGAGCCATCTTCTTAGGGAGTTGCGACTTGGGGAAATGAAAATGGGTCACTATAAATTATGTCAATTAAACTGACAAACTAAAAGGCCTACCTGGGTCTTGAGAACTTTTGATATGAATTGTTTTTGTAAGGGACAGAGTTTCAAAATTCTGTCTTTAAGCACAAAATCAGCACCTTAGGAAAAATTGCCTCTTCGAGTTGATATACTTTTTCTCCCCAAATTTAAAGTATCAGCTCACAGGAAAGTGGTGCAATGAGAACCGATGGTGAGGTCACACTAGAAAGAGATCACCCCCGGGGGGATGGAAAAGCTCGAGAGCTAATCAGACACGGTCACTTACTTTTTTTTTTTTTTTTAAATCACACACACACAAGCCTTCCAATAAGTCTAGGCCTCAGAGTTTGATGACTCACTACCACCTCCAGAAAAATTAAAAAATTTAACCATCACTACTTAAAACTCTGGCAAAGCCACACAAACACGTTAAGTAAACTGAGGAAAGAACGGAGAGTGGGCCACATAAGGCTCTCCCTGCGAGGATAAGGCTGTTAATTTATCGACAAAACGGGATTCTTTTACAAGTAAAAGGCATAAATCTGCGTTAACCACCACCACCTTTTTTTTTTTTTTTTTTTTTTTTTTTGCCAAGCTTAATGAAAAAAGAGGGTGGGGAGCTCTGTCCCTTCACTTTCCAGGTTCGGATCCTGTCCACCCAGTCTCTGAATGCTCTCAACAGTTACCCAACTGCCGGTTTCAAGGGCTTCCCTGTTGCTCGGAATGCCACCTGGACACTTCTGGAAGGAAACTATCAAAGATAGTGTTCCCCTCCTCCCAGGCTGTGTACAGATCCCCACTCAATCCAGCCCAGGGCAGAGTCCAAACGGGGAGAGAGGGATGCCAGCAGGGTCAAAGGGACCCCAAGAGTCCACCACGTCTGGGAAAGAGAAAAGGAAAAGCTGCTGCGGCTTCCTGCAGCTGGGGCGCACGCCAGCGCGCCCCCTTTCCTTTTGGAGGACCCCCGGCCCCCGTTCGTCCCCGAGCTCCCACCCCGCCTCCCGGAGCCCGGTGAAAGGAAAAACGTGCGGGGACCCCCCCGCCAGCAGCTCCAAACGCCGAGGAGCCCCCCGCGAGCCTCAGAGCCGCCCCAACCTCAGGACTCCCGCCGCGGGCCCTGCAGGAAACCCCCCGCAGCCTGCGGCTTGGAACCCCGGGCAGGCTGGAGGGTGGGGGCGGCAGGCCGGGCAGGGCGCCGAGGCCCGGGCTCCGGGAGCGGCCTGGCGGACGGGGAAGACGGGACCCGCTGGCCGGGACGGAGGGCCCGGGTGTGGGGGGGGGTCCCTCTGCGGGAACGGGAGTCGGGGCGGCCTAGGCCTGGCGTCCCGCGCAGGGAGGCCGACACCGGAGCGGCCCGGGCGGCCGGGGTCGGGGTCGGGGTCGGGGCGGGGGCCCGCAGGCCGCACCTGGTCGGCGAAGTCCTCGGCCGTGCCCATCAGGTCGTTCTGGCCCATGGCGACGGCGGGAGGCTCGGCTCGGCTGGCTCGCTCGCTGGCCCTCGCCCGTCGGCGCCCGCGCCCGCTGCGGCCTCCACAGGAAGTGCCCGGCGGCCGGCCTCGCTCCGCGTCGGCGGCGGCTCCGGCGGCTGCCACGTAGGCCAAGGCTTAAAGGGGCCGCGCGCCGCCCGGGCCCGCCCCGGTGCGTCTTAAAGGGGCCGCGCGCCGTCCGCAGCCTCCCGACCCGTCCGCTCGAAGCCACGCCCGGCGCGCTCGACACCACGCCTTTCACGCTGGAGGCCCCGCCCGCCGCGCGCCGGCCCTGCGACCCCTCCGGTCCCAGCGGAGCGCGTCCCCCTTAAGGAGATAGAAGCCTGCGGTTCCGGGGCGAGCGCGGGAGGGACGCTTGGGTGTCCCGAGGGCACCGTTCGGGCGAGGAGGGTCCCGCAGGTGCCGCTGACCCATGCGGGGTGGGTTGGGGGTGGACGCTCGCCCTGACACGGTGGTTACTGAACATGCTTGGGACGGGGTCCGATCGCTGGCTCCCCGCGCGGGGGAACCGAAGCCCGAGGGCCCCCAGAGAGCCCATGGAGAAGTACCAGGTGCCGAGTGTCCCCTGCAGGGAGGCGGGGTCGGGTCTCCGTGGGGTAACGGTCGCAGCCCTGGAGCGGCGGCTCACGGGTCCGACCGAGGGCGGGAGGGATCCGCGCCCTGGCCAGTGCCGGCCTCCAGCTCCTGGGTTGAACCCGGGGACTTCCAACGGTGACCTCCTGGGTGCCCTTTCCCACTCAGCTTCCCCCTTTGTGAATTCACTAAGGATTCTCCAGCCCTGGCTGAGTATTCGAGGGCGTGGGGCAGCTCCTCTATCCTTCGTGCCCGAGGTCCGTGCACTTGGGTCCACCGAGGCAGGACTCCCGGGAACTTCCCGAGTACGTAATTGGGAGCCCCCAGTCCCTAAAAATACCCCTGCAGCCTGGGTCTGGGAAAATGCTTGAGACCTGAAAAATAGTCACAAAACACAAAAAGCTGCAAAATAAAAGTGAATGTTTAATTAAATGCTTCTATACGTGATATGTAAACTTTATTAAATGTTAGATTCAGCGTTTGTAAAAATTACATTCGCTTGGAAACAGTTTGTGGGTCAGATTTTCCTCACTTTGGAAGAATTCTTTTTGTGTGAGAGGACTTACAGGCGTTGCCAGCGGTGAAGCAGATGAGTTTCTGGTGGCCAGATAATCTTAAAAGTAGTCACTTTTCAGGAGAAAAAATAAGTAGAACTTTCAGGAAGATATCTGGTTTTGAAAACAAAAAGTAGACTTGATTCGAAATACAGGTCCATTTTACTGTTTAATTTGCTGTCTAAGCCTGAACGCCCTCACATCAGCTCTGCCCTCAGGCCCCTGAGACCAGCGGTCCCCAGTGTTTTTGGCACCAGGGACCAGTTTTGTGGAAGACAATTTTTCCACAGACCGAGGTGGGAGGATGGTTTCGGGATGATTCAAGCACATTATATTTGTGTGCACTTTATTTCTATTACTATATTGTAATACATAATGGAAAAAAATGTTTTTGAGATGAGTCTCACTCTGTCACCCAGGCTGGAGTGAAATGGGACACTCTCGGCTCACCACAACCTCCACCTCCCAGGTTCAAGTGATTATCTTGCCTCAGCCCCCAGAGTAGCTGGGATTACAGGCATGCCCCACCATGCCCAGCTAATTTTTGTGTTTTTAGTAGAGACAGGTTTTCACCATGTTGGTCAGGCTGGTCTTGAACTCCTGACCTCGTGATCCGCCCACCTTGGTCTCCCAAAGTGCTGGGATTATAGATGTGAGCCACCACACCTGGCCATAGTGAAATAATTACAACTTACTATAATGTAGAATCAGTGGGAGCCCTGAGCTTGTTTTCCTGCAACTAGATGGTCCTGTCTGGGGGTGATGAGAGACAGTGACAAATCATCAGGCATTAGATTCTCATGAGGAGCGGGCAACCTGGATCCCTCGCATGTGCTGTTCACAATAGGGTTGACACTCCTATGAGAATCTAATGGTGCTGCTGATCTGACAGGAGGCTGAGCTTGGGTGGTAATGCCAGCCATGGGGAGTGGCTATAAATATAGAAGAAGCTTTGCTCCTTTGCCTGCTGCTCACCTTCTGATGTGCTGCCCGGTTCCTAACAGGCCACAGACTAGGGGACCCCTGGCTTAGAATATCCAGCGTCAGGAGCAGGCTGCTCACAAGGCTGGATTACAGACTCCTAAGACTTTTATCGGCTCACATTCCCTAGGCTCAGGGTTCCATCCTCATATCTCCTCCTCTGGGTCCTATCCTCCCACCCCAATCCTCTGATGAATGTCAGCCTCCAGCAATCCCCAGCCCAGTCCCCCACCCCATAGCCCTAGGTCTCTGCACAGAGTTCTGGCTTGGTAGCCATCTCTCTGCAGATTTGGCTCAAATCACTTTGGCTCAAATCACAGGCTCCAAGGTCAGACCTCAGAGTTACCCCAGGCAGTCCTGCTTTTTAGTGACATAGCCTCAGGCAAGGACTTACCCCCTTGTGCCTCAATTTCCCCAAATGTAAACATAGAAGTAGCAATGGTGTCAACTGCATAGGGTGACTGTGAAGTGCTTGGCATCATGCCAGACACACAACGGCTTCCTGATTGTACCGAATCACAAGACTGGTTACTTTCTCGTTTGAAGCCAGTTTGGAGGTGGATACTGAAGTCGAGGTCACAGGAGTCTGCAGAATGTGAATAAGCCCTTTTTCCCTGGGAGGTGCTTGCTCTTGAGTGCCCATCTGGTCCTCACTGCAGGTTGGGGAAGGGGTATAGTGTTCTAGAAGAGCTTCCGAATGGGCCCCAAAGAGATGAGATCGGAGTTCTGCCATGGAAAGGCTTCTTGCCCTCCTTGGGCCATTTCTGCTATTGCAAGATGGGGTGGAGCCACATGCTCTGCCAGCCTGATGGGGGAGTTAGCGGGGCCAGAAAAGAAGTTGGAGCTGGGCTTTTGGAAAACGAAAAGCTGTGTGCATTTCCTGAAAGCTTCTCTCTCCCTTGCTGGTAGGTTTTGTATGAACTGAATCCTGGGGCCTTGGGGGTGAACCTGGTGGTAGAGGAAGTGGAAACCAAAGTCAAGCGCGTGATAAAGCAGGTAAGAGGCCAACCTGTCCATCCCAGGCCATGCGGTTCTGTGGCTGTGATTTTCCCTAATACAAGCACTTCCCATGGTAGAGAAGCTTCCTGATGTGGCAGCTGGATTCCTTGCTGCCAGCACTCTCGGAGACAAATCTGGTTGTGGTAGACGTGGGGGTGCATGGAGCTCTCTCACCTTGATGGGAAAGCGATGCTACTCTCTGTTCTGACACCACCACCGCCTCCATTTACACGTCGTGTGCTGCATGCCAGGCATCGACTGGCTTCATCTCCCGTCAACCCTGCAAAGCAGGAACAATGGCCCTGTTCACAGCCAAAGACAGTACGGCTCGAGGCAGCGCCAGACTAGCCAAGGTCACAGTTTCCCAGAGGATTGGAATTCAGGCCACCTCACTGGGGGACACCATGCTACCCCGTGCTGGGTCACCCGTTTTACCAAAAGGGAGCCAGGCCCAGAGAGGACAGGGACTGGCTCGAGGTTGCACAGGGCCAAGGTCACACACGAGGGTGTGTGCACCCTTCACCAGGGCTAGCAGAGCATGGGAGGTGTAGACATGCAGGAGGACATCCCCTTGTGTGTCCAAGACAGGGAGTTCCAGATCAACAGAGGAGCCAGGGTGAGAGAGCTGCTATAAGAGTCCCTGGCACGCCCTCCTCTCTGTGGTAGTGACAGGGACCCAGCGGGTTCAGCAGCCGTCACTCAGCCAGACCTCAGTCAGTGCAGCTCCGCCGCCTCACTCTGAGTGGCTGGGCCTGGGGTCCTTGCCCCCGCCCTACTCCCTTGCTAGCTGGCTGTGGGGTTGGCCTCCTTGTCTCATAAGCCATTGGGGCAGGGTGGATGGCTGCCCTCTGAGCAATTAAGGAGCTTTTTGGTGTTTTTGTTGTTATTGTTGTTTTTTCTCTTGGAGACAGAGTCTCTCGCTCCGTCACCCAGGCTGGAGTGCAGTGGTGTAATCTCTGCTCACTGCAACCTCCGCCTCCCGGGTTCAATCAATTCTCCTGCCTCAGCCTCCCAAATAGCTGGGACTATAGGCGCACGCCGCGTATACCAGGCTAATTTTTTGTTTTTTAGTAGAGACAGGGTTTCACCATGTTGCCTAGGCTGGTCTCAAACTCCTGAGCTCAGGCAGTCTGCCCACCTCGGCCTCCCAAAGTGCTAAGATTACAGGCATGAGCTACCCCACCTGGCCTGAGGAGCTTTTAAAAAAGCCATGACCAGGCACGGTGGCTCAGGCCAGCACTTTGGGAGGCCCACCAGGATTTTGGTAGGTGGATCCCTTGAGGTCAGAAGTTCGAGAGCAGCCTGGCCAACATGGTGAAATCCTATCCCTACTAAAAACACAAAAATTAGGCCGGGCGCGGTGGCTCAAGCCTGTAATCACAGCACTTTGGGAGGCCGAGGCGGGTGGATCACGAGGTCGAGAGATCGAGACCATCCTGGTCAACATGGTGAAACCCCGTCTCTACTAAAAATACAAAAAATTAGCTGGGCATGGTGGCGCATGCCTGTAATCCCAGCTACTCAGGAGGCTGAGGCAGGAGAATTGCTTGAACCCGGGAGGCGGAGGTTGCGGTGAGCCGAGATCGCACCATTGCACTCCAGCCTGGGTAACAAAAGCGAAACTCCGTCTCAAAAAAAAAAAAAAAAAAAACCACAAAAATTAGCTGGGCGTGGCAGCTCACACCTGTAGTCGCAGCTATTTGGGAGGCCGAGGTTGCAGTGAGTCAAGACTTGCACCACTGTACTCCAGCCTGGGTGACAGAGTGAGACTTCGTCTAAATAAATTAATTAATTAGTTAAATTAAAAATAAAAATGTCAGCCAATTATTTCTAAATAAAAATAAGGGAAGGAGAGCTTAGATAGGAGTTTATGGATACTTCCAGTCTTTTTTTCCAAGCATTTGTAAACTTTTTTGTTCTTAGGAGAATGGAATTGTTAAAGTTGATAGCCTCGCTGAACGTGGTGGCTCATGCCTGTAATCCCAGCACTTTGGGAGGCTGAGGCGGGCAGATCACCTGACGTTGGGGGTTCGAGACTAGCCTAACCAATATGGAGAAACCCCATCTCTAAAATACAAAAAATTAGCCGGGCATGGTGGCACATGCCTGTAATCCCAGCTACTTGGGACGCTGAGGCAGGAGAATCTCTTGAACCTGGGAAGCAGAGGTTGCAGTGAGCTGAGACTGCACCATTGCACTCCAGCCTGGGCAACAAAAATGAAACTCCATCTCAAAAAATAATAATAAAGCTGATAGCATACTTTTTATATTGCAAACATGGTTTCATATCACTCCCACAGCCTCCTCCTCTCCTGGCTCTGGCAGCTATGTGGGCCCCCCATCTTGCCTGATGTGCTTGTAACTGACCCAAGCCATCCCTGTCACACGGGCGGAGCAGTTGAACTTGTTCTCAGTGTTTCACCTTGTGTAAGCAACTCTGATAAAGATGCTTATGGTATTATGGGTTTTTTTTTTTTTTTGAGCATCTATGATTTCCTTAGGAAAAATTTCTAGGAGTGGGATTTCTGGGTCATACAATGTAACATTTTTAAGCCTTTCCATATGCTTTGACTAACTTCACCTCCTCCTATACCCCCTGGGACAGGAGGAAAGGAAGACAGGAAGGCTCACTCAGTGTCTTTGCTCTGGATTCCATGGGACAGTGCCACTGGCATCTCAGGTCTCTCCATGGACCTGGGAACAATTCACTAACTTTCCATGATGGTCTGCAATCACCCCATTATAAGAGTTATTCATGGCCGGGCGCAGTGGCTCATGCCTGTAATCCCAGCACTTTGGGAGGCCAAGGCAGGCAGATCACGAGGTCAAGAGACTGAGACCATCCTGACCAACATGGTGAAACCCTGTCTTTACTAAAAAATGCAAAAATTAGCTGGGCGTGGTAGCACACACCTGTAATCCCAGCTACTAGGGAGACTGAGGCAGGAGAATTGCTTGAACCCAGGAGGCGGAGATTGCAGTGAGCCAAGATCACGCCACTGCTCTCCAGCCTGGTGCCTGACGACAGAACAAGACTCTGTCTCAAAAAAACAAAAAAAAAACAAAAAAAAAACCAAAAAAAAAACAGTTCTTCATTCACGAGTCTTTTGAGCAAAATTTTGGGTAAGGATCTGGCATTAGAGCCGGTGGTAGTACACACCTGGGGCCTGTACCACCAAGTGTGCTGCAGATTCACTGCCACTCTGTGCTGCCCTTGCCACCACCCTTCCCTTTCCACACCCTCCCACCTCCACCCGGAGAGGGCACAGGAAAGAGAGAAGAGCACCACACATTCCGTGCATGGAGACAGCCTTCCCAGTATGGGTAAGGAAAGAAGTGGTGAGATTGATGCTTTCCCAATCAGAACAAGATGTTCCTGTTTTAAAGATGGTCTGAAAATGGATCCTTTGCTGATTTCTTGGAGTTTATATTATGCTGTCCTAAACTTATCCTTGCAACAGGAGCAAAGTTGTTCTCATTGCTCTAAGTATTTTTAGAGCTCTGCCTTAGGAATATCTTCCGTTTTTGCCATATGGTGGGGGCATGAATGGTGGGAGCCTGTCACTCCTGTTAAATAACAATGGTGGTGATGATGGAGGTGTCAATGATAGTGGCAGTGATGGTGGCAGTGATAATGGTGATGATGGTGATGGTAGTGATGGTGGTGATGGTGATGGTGGTCGTGGTGATGGTCGTGGTGATGGTCGTGGTGATGGTGTGACAATGGTTAGGATAGTGGTGGTAATGGTGATGGTGGTAATGATGGTGATAATGGTGGTAATGGTGATGATGATGATAGTGGTGATGGTGACAGCAGTGTTGATGGTGTGATGGTGGTAATGATAGTAGTGGTGGTGGTGATGGTGTGATGATGGGGAAGGTGGTGATGACAAATGATTATGATGATAGTGGTGATGGAGATTTTGGTGATGAAGGTGGTGATGGTGAATTTGGTGATGATGATGATGGTGGTGATGGTGATGGTAGTGATGATGGTCATAATGGTGATCACAGTGGTGATGGTGATGCTGGTGGTGATAGAGTGATGGTGGTAATGGTGGTGGTGGTGTGATAATGGTGATGATGTTGGTGATGGGGACAGCCATAGTGGTGATGATGGTGGTGGTTGTGATTGTGGAAATGGTGGTGATGATGGTAATGATGGTGATGATGGTGGTGATGGTGACAGTTGTGGTGGTGGTGATGGTGATGGTCATGGTGGTGGTGGTGATGGTGGTGGTGTGGTTGTGGTAATGATGATAATGATGGTGGTGATGGTGGTGGTTGTGGTTGTGGTAATGATGGCAATGGTTGTGGTGGTGTTTATGGTGGTGGTGGTTGTGTTTCTGGTAATGATGGTAATAGTGGTGGTGGTGGTGGTGGTGGTGATGGTAATGGTTGTGGTGGTCTTGGTGGTGATTTTGGTAATGGTCGTGGTGGTGGTGGTGGTGGTGATGGTGGCGATAATGGGGATGATTTGCTACACATTTATTAAGCTCATGCTTTTGTGCCCTTATAGGTGGAATGCCTGGATGATCACGATGCCAATAAGGCCCTGCAGGAGGTAATTCTCAGGGCACTTTTCCTCTGAAGGAGCTCAGTGGCGCACACACAGACTGTGTGCTATACCCTCTTATTGAGTGCCTGGGTGAGGGGAAGCCTGGAGGGAGAGAGAGCGGCAGCACCAGCTTTGCCTCAGCTGTGAAGCCAGAGGCCCCAGGTCACGTAGGGAGTCTGTGACCCACACACTCATTGCTAAATGCAGGTGCCAACTTAGAACATCTGCTCCCAGAGAACACAAAGTTTACGATTGGGCCGGGCGTGGTGGCTCACACTTATAATCCTAGTACTTTGGGAGGCTGAAGTAGGTGGACTCCAGCCTGGGTGACAGAGCAAGACTCTGTCTTAAAAATACATAAAATAAAATATGAATAAATAAATATTGGCCATGTCCTTAGATTAATCTGCCAATAACTTTTTTTTTTCTTTTTTTTTTTTTTGAGATGGAGTGTTGCTCTGTCACCAGACTGGAGTGCAGTGGCACGATCTCGGCTCACTGCAACCTCTGCCTCCTGGGTTCACGCGATTCTCCTGCCTCAGCCTCCCGAGTGGCTGGGGGTACAGACACACACCACCACGCCCAGCTAATTTTTGTATTTTTTAGTAGAGACGGGGTTTCACCATGTTGGCCAGGATGGTCTCAGTCTCTTGACCTCGTGATCCATTCACCTTGGCCTACCAAAGTGCTGAGATTACAGGCGTGAGCCACTGCGCCTGGCCTAATAACTATTTTAAAAATATTTTTGTTGCAATATAAAATTATTAATTACAGTAGAAAACTTGAAAAATACAGAATTGGGTTTGGTTTTGTTTTTACCTTTTTTTTTTTTTTTTAATTTGATAAAGATGAGGTGTCACCATATTGCCCAGGCTGGTCCTGAACTTCTGGGCTCAAGCAGTCCTCCCACCTCGGCCTCCAAAGTTATAGGCAGGTACCACCACGCCCATCCCAGAATTGTTTAACAAAGAAAATATACATTACCCTCAGTTCTACATTCAGAACTGCCCAGCAGTGACCTTCTAATTTACAATCATAGCAATATCAGCTGCACTTCGCTTTGACTGGCAAAGGCTCTGAGCAGCCTTTCTGTGTGTTCTTGAACTTCCCATGAGCTTGACGGTATCCCCTCCTATCTCATGGTCACTTGTTTGTTTTCTGGAGTTGGTGGCTCTGGATCTTGGCCAGTAAACATTACTGGGTCTATAGGGTGACCGAAGCACAGTTGTGGGCCCAGGCTACTCAGTAACAAAGGGGAGTAAAGAGCGTGGGGGGCCTGGCCAGAGCCCCACGCCACTGTAGCTTTTCACGTTGCTGATTCCCTTCCATGGCCCACCAGGCCGCCTGCTTTCACACCTAGCCTTCCACCGCTAGTGGTTGTCTGTCTGGCTCCATGTCTCTAACGAGCCCCGTCTACTCCTGTTGGGGCATGTTTCAAAGCACTTTCTGCCAGGGCAAGGGCAGTGGGACCTCTCTGTGTGCCCACCTCCCTGTGGCTGCACCCCCTCCTCCAGCCAGCCCAGCTGTGGCTGATCCACACCTTCCCGGCACTGCCTGCTGCAGCTCACTCAGTCCCCATGGCATCCCCATGAGGCAGATTCCACTGGGACCCCCATCTTCAGATGACAGTCTGAGGTCCAGTCACCGAGCAGAGCCAGCACATGCTGGAGACACAGCCCACACCACCTGCCGGGCTTCTAGCCACTAGGCTGCACAGCCTCCCTGCGCCTGCTCCCCCGCCCGGCTCAGAGCCCGAGGCTCCCATGTTGGTTGGGATGTGTGACGCAGAAGCAAGAGCTGAGACAGGCATGGAGAGGTGCTGACTTCTCTCCTTCCTCTGCTCTATCCTGGCAGCTGATGCCACTGCTAAAGCTGCGGCACGCCCACATCTCCCTGTACCAGGAGCTGTTCGTCACGTGGAATAGTGAGGTGGGTCAGAGCTGACACCTGCAGGCTCAGCCGCCACGCGGCGGGCTGCGGGACCAAGCGAACTGAGCCCAGAGCATGCCCACCCGCTGGTGTCGGAACAGCTCGTGTGGCAATGGCAGTGACTCTAAACGCGGCCACCTCTGACCTAACACTCACTGGGGCCGGGTACCATGCTGGGGCTTTCTGTACATAGTTTCAAAGGAGCCTCAACAGCCTCCTCGTTAGGAGGGGTTCTTAACCCATTTCACAGAAGAAACAGAGGCTAACAGATACAAGTTGCTCCAGGTTACCCAGCTAGTATGTAGCCAAGCCAGAGGGCCAGGACAGGTGGGCCCGACCCCTGGGCTCTGCATGCAGCCACCAAGCTTGTCCTGGTGAGCCTGTGCTTCTGATGACAGAGATTTTACTTCCATGGGAGGAGCAAGTAGACTCCTCTTCACAGCCACCCGACCCCCAGGCGGTGCCGGGCCTGGGCGTCCCTTACTCCTGCCCCCTGGGCAGCTGGCTGACAGCGTCACATGTGTCATCATGTGCTGGGACGGCTGCAGGGCAGGGAGTACTGGCCCTGTGCTCTCGACAGGCCCTAGGGCTCTGGTTCAGGAGCTCTCCAAGGCCACACAGCTAGTAAGCTGAGTGGGGACTGAGACCCAGGTCTGGCAGCTGGGTCCCGTAGGTGGTATGACTTCTTGTCTTTACAAAGAACCAGGAGCTTTCCAGTCACTTCCAATGGGACTGAGGCAGACAGCAGGAGGCGGAGCAGGCACAAGGGCTGCTGGTGGTAAAGAGAGGCTGAGAAGCATCCTGCCGGGCGCCAGCCTGTATGAGAGGTCCACAGTGGCGTTTCCGCCTGGCCAACAATCCTGGGTCCCAGCAGGAGAGGACCCTCACACGCTCCCTCTACTCCAGCTAGGTCTTGGGGAGGGGACTTCACTGCAGACACTCCCAAATATTTTCTGAGCATCCTCTAATGCTCTCAAGGAGAGTGCAGAGAAGTCAAGAGGGTATTTCCCTATGGGAGGGAGCACAGAATTGGGGGCCCTGACCCGGCCTGCTGGGGCTCTGGGCAGGGCAGGCTCTGCAGAGGAAATGGGCCTGGGCTGAAGTGTGGGTCGTAATCCCCATGAAGGGGGTGGGCAGGGGTCCAGGCAGAGGGGTCCACGTGTGCCATGGCCAGGGCCAAGTGCAGCTTTCAGGAAGGTCCAACTAGCTTGGTGTGGATGGAGCGTGGTGTGGAGCAGGGGCCTGGGAATGGGGAGAGGAGAGAGAGGGAGCTGGAGGTGGGGCAGGAGGGGCTTGTAGCCCCCTCCAGTGGGCAGTGCTCCCACAGCCACTGCAGACGGATGGCAGCCCAGCGTAGGGAGGCCCCGGGGCAGGCGAGCCCGCAGTAGCACTGGGGCCTGGGCATCCCCTGGCAGCCAGCTAAAGGGCCTCCTGCCCCACAGATCTCCTCTCCATTCCTGTGCCTGGTGATGGAGTTCAACAAGGTCACCTTCCAGGAAGTCATTACAGATAAGAGGGAGGCAAAGGAAATCATTGACGCTGAGGTAAGATCCTCTGGGGCACCAGGCCTGGAGACCACCTAGACCTGTGACACAGGCCTGGCAGCGTGGGGCAAAGCGACAGTGGGCGGGTGGGCACTGTGCAGTCCAGCCTTGGTTTTTTCGTAAATGTATGTCTCAAGGCATTTGCACCCCAGGACATGTGCAAATCTTAAGTGCACAGGTTGATGCACTCATACAACCTCCACCCAGATCAAGACAGAAGGCGTTCTTAACGCTAGAAGGTTCCCAGTCAGTGACTGTGATTCCAGATTGTTCTGCCAGTCCCTGAAGTTCATGTCAATGGACTCGTCCTGCATGTCTGGTCTCTTTCCCTCTGCCTGTTGTTTTGTTTTGTTTTTCCCCTGAGACAGTGTCTTGCTCTGTCACCCAGGCCGGAGTGCAGTGGTGCAATCTTGGCTCAATGCAACCTCCGCCTCCCAGGCCCAAGCTATTCTCCTGCCTCAGCCTCCGGAGTAGCTGGGATTACAAGTGCATGCCACCACTCCTGGCTAATTTTTGTATTTTAGTAGAGATGGGGTTTCACCGGGCTGCCCAGGCTGTTCTCCAACTCCTGACCTCAGGTGATCCACCCATCTCGGCCTCCGGAAGTACTGGGATTACAGTTGTGAGCCACTGCGCCAGGCCTAGCCTGCTGTTTTGAGCCCCGCTGTGCCGCTGCATGCACTGGTGAATCATCTTTGCTCATTGATCGGTGCCCTTCTGCTGCCTGGCTGCACTGCAGGCTGTTTACCTAGAATCCTGCCGATAAGCATTTGGGCTGCTTCCAGTTTGGAGCTACTGTGAATAAGGCTGCTATGAGCATTTGCTGGAAGGCACTCACTTTTCTGGGATAAATACCGAGGAGTGGAATGATTGGGGCGTGGAGTAGGCATATGTGTAGCTTTAGTAGATGCTCCAAACAGACTTCCAGTGTGGTTCAGTTGGTCTGATGTTTACTCTCACAAGTTGTGAGCGTTCCTGGTCCGCAAGGCGGCCAGCCCTTCACTGTACCAGTCTTTTTGTTGTTACTGTTGTGGTTGCTGAGGTGGTGTCTCACTCTTGTCACCCAGGCTGGAGTGCAATGGCATGATCTTGGCTCAATGAAACTTTTGCCTCACAGTTCAAGCGATTCTTCTGCCTCAGCCTCACGAGTAGCTAGGATGACAGGCGCCCACCACTACACCCAGCTAATTTTTGTTTTATTAGTAGTAGAAACAAGGTTTTGCCATGTTGTCCAGACCCGTCTCGAACTCCTGACCTTAAGTGATCTGCTCATCTCGGCCTCCCAAAGTGCCTGGCATTACAGACATGAGCACTCGGCCAGTTCACTTTCTTAATGATGTCTTTTGATGATGGAAAGTCCTAAGTGTGATGAAGTTTGCTGCCTCTCTGCTGTCTCTATGGTTGGTGACTTTGGAGTTTAAGAAGCATCTCCTGGCCGGGTGCTCACACCTGTAATCCCAGCACTTTGGGAGGCTGAGGTGGGCAGATCACTTGAGGTCAGGAGTTCGAGACCAGCCTGACCAACATGGAGAAACCCTGTGTCTACTAAAACTACAAAATTAGCCAGGTGTGGTGGTGCACGCCTGTAATCTCAGCTACTCGGGAGCCTGAGGCAGGAGAATCACTTGAACCTGGGAGGCGGAGGTTGTAGTGAGCCATGATTGCACCATTGCACTCCAGCCTTAGGCAACAAGAGCAAAACTTTGAAAAAAAAAAAAAAAATGAGGCCGGACGTAGTGGCTCACGCCTGTAATCCAAGCACTTTGGAGGCCAAGGAGGGTGGATCACCTGAGGTCGGGAGTTCAAGACCAGCCTGACCAACATGGTGAAACCCCATCTTTGAAAAAAAAAAAAAAATGAAGCATTTCCTGATCTGAGGCCATGAAGATACTTTCCTCTGTCTTCTGGAAGCGTGGTTATTTTTGCCTTCACATTTAGGTCTTTCATCTACCCCAGATGAATGCTGCCTGCTTTTACCCTGAGAACTGTGTTTGGTGGGACCAGGTCCCCCTGAGGGGCTCTTTGGGGCACACAGCTCTTCTCTTACCATGGGCCTCAGAGGCAGGCCCAGGGTGGGTTTCAGACTTTGTGAGTGAAGCCCTTTGAAACACACAGTGTTCCCAGAAACCCAGTAAGTGCAGCAGAGCTACTCTAACTGGGGGGAATAGGAGGACACCCATGTCCTGCCCCCTCAGCCCCTCTCTAACACCCCAGGGCCTGAATCCAGGGGCCCTAGGAGCCCAGCTGCAGAATCACTGCCCTGGGGACTCAGTGGAGCTTGTTTCTGATGCAGAACGCTCCCAGCACATTCTCTCTCATGGCTCTTTTCATTAGAATGACTTAGAGGAGTGAGCTGCATGTAGGCACTGCAGGCTTCAACCCCTCCCATACCCGCAAAGCCCATCTGTCTGCAGCTCCGAGCAAGTGTAGGGCAGCGTGGGCCACAGAGTTGGGTGCAGGGATGACGCCCCTGCAGCACCCAGGGTCTCCAGCATGGAGACAGAAGTGTGGAGTCTGGAAACTGAATCCTTCTGGCTTTGCCGTCTGGAGAGTCACCACGCTGAAGCCTCCTCCACCCACCCTGAGTGCTTGGCTGGCTTCAGGCCTGTCTCAAGATGCAAGGAGAGAATACACCACCATCCTGCTGGCTGCTCTGAGCGTCACCCCCCTGACAGCAGCACAGGGTGCCCCTCCCATCCCGGCATCCTCTGCTTCTCCCCAGTGGTTGCAGAATGTGCTGGGCCAGGTGCTGGACGCGCTGGAATACCTGCACCATTTGGACATCATCCACAGGTGAGTGGCGCCTCCGATCTCCCTGGACTGGCTGGCTGCTTTGGAGAAAAGGCACTGAGGCCACTTGGGTGCCAGTGCCTGTGGGCAGGATCTGGGGACAAAAGTGTACTGGGCCAGTGCAGCCACAATAGGATGGGGACCTTCCAGAGCTCCTCCTGGGCTCAGAAGAGGCTCTTCCAAGTGGTCTTAAGCCGTGTGCACACACACAGCTACATGGGTGTGCGCTAGCCAGGAGGGCTGCTCTAGAGGTCATGGAAAGGAAGGAGGCAGCAGCCCTGCCAGGAACAGAGACAGGGCTGCCTGCCGTGGGGCCAGTGTGGGCTGAGTGGGTCCTGCTGAGCCTTTGACCGCCCCCTCAGTGGCATAGCTTCAGGCTGGAGAATCCATGGTCTGAAGGGGCTGGGAGATGGCTCAGTTCTGAACACCAATTATCTTATTTAAAGGGGAAGAGGAAAGCCATGCAGCTGGGCGTGGTGGCTCACACCTGTGAGCCCAGCAACATGGAGGCTGAGATGTGAGGATTGCTTGAAGCCAGGAACTTGAGGCTGCAGATGAGCTATGATCGTGTCATTGCATTCCAGCCTGGGCAATCCTGTTTGAAAACACACACACACACACACACAAACACACCCCGCAGACCATATGTACAAAGTTCCATGTTCAGTGTTAATGTCACTAGACATTGCACAATGGCCAAAAATCAATCCCCGGGGAAATGGGTAGCTGAGATATCTAAGGAGGTGAACATGAGGTCAGCCAAGGGACCTCTTCAGAGTGGTTGGGTGTGTTCCTACTTGTGGTTGAGGTTTCCCCCCCCACCCCGATTTAAAATAATTGAGTATATTTCTGTATATAGGAAACAACTGCTTAAAAAGTGGCTGAGGTGGGGCACTGTGTGGAGCAGAGGGAGGTGTGGGCTGCTGCTGCAGAGCCGGGCGGGGCAGGGAGCAGAGTCAGGCTCGGCACACACAGTGGTCCCACCTGCGGTGCAGGGGTGGTGGCTGCCCAGGCAGCCCATCGGCACCCAGAGGCGAACCCACCTCTTGGTTTCAGGAACCTCAAACCCTCCAACATCCTCCTCGTCAGCAGTGACCGTTGCAAATTGCAGGATCTGAGCTCCAACACGCTAATGACGAACAAAGCCAAGTGGAATATCCGTGCGGAGGAAGGTGGCAGAGGGTTCCCCCAGGTCATGGGAGAGGGGGCTGGCGTCTAGAATCCAGATGGTGGTGGCCACTTTGGGTGCTAAGCGAGGCAACATCAAACAGCCATTTGCTCAGAAAGTCCCCACGAAGCCCCTGGCCTTGTGTGGACTCCAAAGAGAGCTCCTTTGGGTTGTAACTGAGCAGGCGTGCCACCACCGGTGGCAGAGGCAGGGCCCCAAAGACCCCGACATTTGAGAGAAACAAAGTTGTGGTTGGTTGTGGTACCCCAGAAAATGTTGCCTCTTATGGAAAGAAAAGAAGCCTCAGAAGTAAGGAAGCTAAAATGCCCAGGACGGAAGGTCTGCGGGTGCCAGGCACTGGCTGTGTGTAGATCACTGAGTCCTAAAACAACCCACGAGATGACAGGGGTGGGTGGCAAGGGGAGATGAATTCTTGTTCCTTTAAAAAGATGGCCAGACAAAGGGGGCGGGACAGAGCAGTCACAGAGGAGGAGTCCAGAGTCCCAGGGTGGCCGTCGCTGGTTGCACTCTGTCCTTGGTAAACAGAAGATGAATGGGTTGATGGGTGCATAGATGGGTGGGTGTGTGATTTGGTGAGTGGTAGGATGGATGGATGGGGTGGGTGAGTGGATGGATGGATGGATGGATAGATAAGTGTGTGGGTGAGTGGATGGGTGGGTGGGCAGGTGTGTGGGTGTGTGGGTGAGTGGATGGGTAGGTGGGCAGGTGGGTGGGTGTGTGGGTGTGTGGGTGGTGAGTGGATGGATGGATGGGTGGGTGGGCAGGACAGTGAATGGATGGTTGGATATATGGGTTGGTGAGTGGATGGGTGAGTACGTGAGTAGATGGATGGATGGATGGGTGGGTGTGTGGTTGGATGGCGGGGTATGTGGTTGGATGGGTGAGTGCATGGGTTGTGAATGGATGGGTAGTGGGTAGAAAGATGAATAGGTGAGTTGGTGCATGTGTGGAAGGATGTGTGAGTAGGTCTATGGATGAATGGATGGATGGATTGGTGGCTGTGTGAATGGATGGGTGGGTGGGTGAGTGAGTGAATGAGTGGGTAGGTGGGTGAGTGGATGGATGGAGGGGTGGGTGGATGGATAAGTATGTGGGTGAGTGGATGGGTGGGTGGGTGAGTGGATGGATGGGTGGGTGGGTGGGCGGATCAGTGAATAGATGGATGGATAAGTGTGTGGGTGAGTGGATGGGTGGGTAGGTGAGTGGATGGATGGATGGGTAGATGGGTGTGTGGTTGGATGGGTGAGTGTGTGGGTTGTGGATGGATAGGTAGTGGGCAGAAAGATGGATGGGTGGGTGGGTGAGTGAGTGGGAAGGTGGGTAAGTGGATGGATGGATGGATGGATGGATAAGTGTGGGTGAGTGGATGGTTGGATGGGTGGGTGGGTGGGCGGGTCAGTGAATAGATGGATGGATAAGTGTGTGGGTGAGTGGATGGATGGGTGGGTGGGTGAGTGAATGAGTGGGTAAGTGGGTGAGTGGATGGATGGATGGATGGATGGATGGACAAGTGTGTGGGTGAGTGGATGGCTGGGTGGGTGAGTGGATGGATGGATGGGTGGGTGGGCGGATCAGTGAATAGATGGATGGATAAGTGTGTGGGTGAGTGGATGGGTGGGTAGGTGAGTGGATGGATGGATGGGTAGATGGGTGTGTGGTTGGATAGGTGAGTGCGTGGGTTGTGGACGGATGGGTAGTGGATAGAAAGATGGATGGGTTGGTGGGTGCATGTGTGGAAGGATGTGTGAGTAGATGTATGGATGAATGGATGGATGGGTGGCTGTGTGAATGGATGGGTGGGTGGGTGAGTGAATGAGTGGATGGGTGGGTGGTGGATGGATGGATGGATGGATGGATGGATGGATAAGTGTGTGGGAGAGTGGATGGGTGGGTGGGCAAGGTGGGCAGGTGGATGGATAAGTGTGTGGGAGAGTGGATGGATGGATGGATGGATGGATGGATAAGTGTGTGGGAGAGTGGATGGATGGATGGATGGATGGATGGGTGGATGGGGGTGTGTATGGATGAATGGGTGGGCAGATGGGCAGATGGTTGGTTCTACTGGAGGTGCAGATGGCACAGGTCCTTGGAGTCCAGCCCTTTACTGATGGGCTGGGGAACAGAGGTCCAGAGGAGGAGAGGCTGCCTGAGGCCAGTCAGGGACTGATGGACTCAGAGGAGCCTGCTTTTTGCCTGCCTGTCTGGGGTTCCAGTTTAGAAACTAGGGCAGAGCAACTGTTACTTTGGCCCAAGGTCCGGTCCTGACATTTAGAAGGGGCAAGAAGTTTAGAGGGGTGCACACATTCTTGGCACATGCCTCTTCCAACTCCTTCTACAGCCATCTTGGGCACACAGACACACGCATGCATGTGGGCCCGCCTGGTGGGCATCCACCAATATGGACAGTCTCAGTGGCTCCGGATCAATGCAAAGCTCCTGCTGACCGGGGTCTCTTCCTCCCCAGTTAATATTCTCCACCTTTTCTGAGAAGAGGACCTGCAGGGCCCAAGCTGCTTTCGGGGGGCCACCAAATGGTGTACAGGACTGGGCAGGGTGACTCTGTCAAGCCCCTGCTCTCAGGGAACAAAGGACTCAGGGATCCCACCTTGCTCTTATCAACAGATCCCTTTCATAAGTCCTGGATGGCCCCCGAAGCCCTCAGCTTCTCCTTCAGCCAGAAATCAGACATCTGGTCCCTGGGCTGCATTGTTCTGGACATGACCAGCTGCTCCTTCATGGATGTGAGCCACTCCCCTCCCCGACGCCCCACATGCTGCTCCCCACATGCCCAGGCCTGGGGAGAAGGCTTGGCCTCATCCTGCCTCCCATCTACATCCCTTCCCCAGGTTCTCTGCAGGCTGTGCGGAGCCCCCTCCTCCACCTGTGGGGGGGGGGCGCCCTCCTCAGAACCCCGCAGCATGCGGGCCCTAGCAGGATGGCGAAGGCAGTGGGAGTATTCAGACGATCCCATGCAACCCTCGCAGCCGCCTCCAGATGGTGTCGTTGACTCCTGATGGGGAAAAGCTAAGTTCAGGTGCCCTTGTAAGCGTGAAGGCTGCACGGAGTTGCAAGCAACGGGCACCCAGCATGGGCCCGAACACACCCCCGGGCCACCTCCCGCACAAGCCCCAAGCTGGTGTGGAGGCACCTTCCCACTTCCTGCACAGCCTTAGCATGCAGCTCTTGCTCTCATCCCTGCTGGGGCCCCTGCACCATGGCCACAGCCTGGGGTTAGGAAGGAGAGGCAGAGGACCCCACCGACCCTGTGAGCACTCCGAGGTCACTCTGGCTACAGGGAGGTGGGGAAGTCCAGCCTGTTGCTTCTTATCCTCTATATGCAGAAGACAAAGTGGGGAAGTCAGGCCACCAGGCCCCAGGGCCTGCCATGCCCCAAACAAGGAAGCTCCCTTCTCCATAGCACCACGTGCAGGCACTGAGGTCTCCAGAAAGCACAGGCACCTGGCCGGGCCCAGGTTCCCCATGCTCTCCCAGACCCCCAGACTCCACCTCTGAGAAGCACCTTGGCACTCCCTTCCTTTGGAGAACTCTCAGGGAAATGAGAGCCTTCCCGCCTTGGCGACATCCTGGAAATAGCCTGGGCTCCAGCCCCAGCCCAGGCAGAGTGACCTTGGGCACGTCACACTCTGTGAAATGGGCATGCTGCCCCTCTTACTGGCCGGGTCTGGATCAGGGGGAGTTTCTTGGCAGGACTCTACCCTAGGAAACAAGCCGGCTTCTCTGAAACTCCATTCTTATGGAAGAGCTCGGGGCCCCTGGGGTCTCTGGGCATTCTTGTAGGCGGCGGCTCCACCTGGCTCTCCTGGTCTCCTCCTGGATCTCTTGGTCTCTGCTCACCCTCTGCCCATGCCAGGGCCGTTTCCATTTACTTAAGGGACTATGCAGAGCTGTCCCCTCTCCATGCAGGGCACAGAAGCCATGCATCTTCGGAAGTCCCTCCGCCAGAGCCCGGGCAGCCTGAAGGGCATCCTGAAGACAATGGAGGAGAAGCAAATCCCAGACGCGGAAACCTTCCAGAACCTTCTGCCCTTGATGCTCCAGATCAACCCCTCGGATCGAATAACGATAAAGTGAGCTCAGGTTCATTTGTTTGTTTGTTTTTGTTTTTTTTGTTTTTGTTATTGAGACAGAGTCTTGCACTGTCAACCAGGCTGGAGTGCAGTTTGGGGATTTCAGCTCACCACAACCTCCACCTCCTGGGTTCAAGCGATCATCCGGCCTCCCGAGAAGCTGGGACTACAGGCATACGCCACCATGTCTGGCTAATTTTTGTATTTTTAATAGAGGCAGGGTTTACTAGAGATGGAGTCGGAGGCAGAGGGAGAGCCACGTGGGGAGGAGGCGGGGGCGCTGCTGGTTACTCAGTCCTCTCTGCTCCTCTGCTAGGGACGTGGTGCACATGACCTTCGTGAGCGGCTCCTTCAAGTCCTCATGCATCTCGCTGACCCTGCACCGACAGCTGCTGCCTGTGTCCATCACCGACATGCTCTTAGCAGGCAACGTGGCCAGCATTTTAGGTGATGCTGGGGGGACACAGGGGGAGCGTGCCCTGGAGCTCCCGTCCGCGGCCTTGGCATCCTGTTGTTTCATTCCAGAGGGCTCATTATTTATGCCCCTGGCCTAGTTCCAGGTGCACAACCAGTGGGGTAGGAACAGTTTCCCTCCATCCATCCCTACACATTGCTCAGGGGACTGCCCTGTTCAAATACCCTCCATAGCTCCCAGCGACCTATAACACCAAGTTCATCTCCATAGCCTGGCCCCCACCTGTTTTCCCTCTGCTCCTGCTACACAAATCCTCTATGTAATTCAATGGCTAGTCACTGCCCAGGCCTCCCACAACCCTTTGCTTTTGCTTCCACAGCCTGGCTGGCACACAGTGGTCCTGGGGCATCTTCCCCACACAGCATCACTTCCTGTGTGCCCCCATGTGCCCAGGATGAGCAAAAGTGCACTCCACCATTTGTGGATTCCAAGACAGTCTTGGGTTCTATTATGGAAAAGTCACTTGGTCTCAGTGGCCTCATCTGTAAAGTGGGATGGTAACACTCCCTCCCTTGTCCTGAACCCGTGGATCTGAGGAGGGGATGCACACACGGCAGCCAGGCCAGTGTGGTGCCCAGAGACCAGGTCCCTCCCCTGCCTTCCTGTCCCTGCAGAGGTCATGCAGAACTTCTCTAGCTGGCCCGAAGTCCAGCTCAGGGCCATGAAGAGGTTTCTGAAAATGCCTGCAGACCAGCTAGGTAGGCCCCAGCCCGTACCCCTTTCCCAGCTTCGCCGCCAAGGGCAGACCCATGGCCCGGCCTGTGGGGAGCTGAGGCTGGCCTCATGCCGGGCTCTCCTCGCCGCTGCTTTCATGCAGCATGGAGACGTGCATGCCTTCCCAGAAGCATCCCATGTCTCTGCCATCTGCCTGGGGAAGACAGCAGGGAACGGGAAGAGGGGGAGTGGCAGCCCTCACGTGATTTTAACGGAGCCGTAGGCATCCCGTCTACCCCACTATCCCTAAGAGGGGTATCTTGAGTTGTTGCTGTTTCCACTATTATAGATGGCACTAGAATGGACACCCTGGTGTGTCTGTATCTGTGTGCTTATGTTTCTGTAGCACAGATTCCTAGATATTCAAGGGTGTGAATACTTTACATTTTTCTAGATACAGCAACTCGCCCACCTATTGAGAATGCATGCCCTGGTGCACTGGCTCACGCCTGTAATCCCAACACCTCGAGAGGCCAAGGCGGGAGGACTGCTTGAGCCCAGGGGTTCGAGACTAGCCTGGGCAACAAAGGGAGACCCCATTTCTACAAAAAATAAAGTAGCCAGGTGTGGTGACATGTCTGTTGTCCCAGCTACTCAAGAGGCTGAGGCAGGAGGATTGCTTGAGCCCAGGGAATTGAGGCTATAGTGAGCCATGCTTGCACCACTGCACTCCAGCCTGGGAGACCCTGTCGCAAAAAACAAAACAAAACCCAAAAGGATTGTTACTGCTCATCCATGGAGAGTGTTGAGGAAAGCAGTGTTCTTTTGTGTTTTTAGACGGGGTCTTCCTCTATCCCCAGGTGGGAGTGCAGTGGTGCAATCTTGGCTCACTGCAACCTCCGCCTCCTGGGTTAAAGTGATTGTCCTGCTCAGCCTCCCAAGTAGCTGGGACTACAGGTGTATGCCACCATGTCCGACTAACTTTTTGCATTTTTAGTAGGGACGGCATTTCACAATGTTGGCCAGGCTGGTCTTGAACTCCTGACTTCAAGTGGTCTGCCCGTTTCCACCTCCCAAAGTGCTGGTACTACAGGCGTGAGCCACCGCGCTCCGCCAATTTTTAAAGTTTGTACCAAAACCGCTCTCATAAAATCTTTCCATTCGACCCTTTTCACCTGCCTGAACATTACCTTCACACATCCAACCATCCATCATCTATCCATCAGACCTGGATTAGGAATCCACTGAGGTTTGTTGCAGTGGCTTAGGCCTCAGAGGTGACAGGCCCAGCCCTGGCCTTCAACTAGGCGGCAGAGGCCTCATATGGGCCATTTACCATTCCCTCCCTCCCCTTCTCCTCCTCAACCCCTTCTGTAGCTCAGCTGTGACCAAGACAGAGTCCCTGGGAAGAGAGATTTTTGCCTCCCTGGGAAAACCAGGGAAGCTGTTGGGCCCTGTCCCAAAGGATGGGTCTTTCCCACCACCTGGAGCCACACCACCCCCCACACCTTGCTTAGAAATGGGCTTGCAGCCGGGAGTGGTGGCTCACGCCTGCAATCCCAGCGCTTTGGGAGGCTGAGGCGGACAGATCACTTGAGATCAGGAGTTTGAGACCAGCTTGGCCAACATGGTGAAACCAAGGTCTCTACTAAAAATATAAAAATTAGCCAGGCATGGTGGTGCATGCCTATAATCTCAGGTACCCAGGAGGCTGAGGCAGAATTGCTTGAACCCAGGAGGCAGAGGTTGCAGTGAGCCGAGATGATGCCAGTGCACCCCAGCCTGGGCGATAGAGTGAGACTGTCTTAAAAAAAAAAAAAAAAAAAAAAAAAAGCAACAGGCTTGCTTTGCTCAGCATTCTGGGTGCCAGGACTTCTTCCTTGTTGCTCTCGTGAGCCTCCAGTGGAGGAATGGCTGCCTGGCCACTGCCCCTCACCCAGTCCCCAGCCCACAACAGTTCCTGGCACAGTGGTGGGGTGGATGGAGCCCACCCACGTCCACCCTCAGGGCAGGTGCAGCCAAGGGCTCTGGAGTAAACTGGCCGGGTTCAAATGCTGAAGAGCAGATGCTTTCATCCCGCTGACCCCAGGTCCCTCATCTGCACAAGGGCAGTCCCAGCAGCGCCCACTTCACAGGGCTGAGGGCAGCAGAGCAGGACGCCTGGGGCAGACACAGCACGCACTACACGGAGCTAGCGCTAATCCTTTGTCCTTCCCCCTTCTACTCACCCACCAAGGGCCCTGCGGACTCCACCTGCCTCTGGGGGCCCTGGTCTGGCCTATATGCCCTCAACCTGACCCCACAGCGAATCTTCCCTGTGCTGCTTGTCCTGCCAGGTCTGCCATGGCCCCCGGAGCTGGTGGAGGTGGTGCTCACAACCATGGAGCTGCACGACAGGGTCCTCGACATCCAGCTCTGCGCCTGCTCCCTGCTGCTGCACCTCCTGGGTCAAGGTGGGCACTGGGCCAGGCGGGGTCGGGAGGCTGTCCACTGGCCCCTGTGGCTGTGTCTCCTGGGCCAAGGTCGGCGCTGGGGCCAGGCCAGGTGAGGGAGATGCTTCTGGTGGCCCAGGTCCCTTGTTCCCCCACACCTGTTACCTGGTTGGCATGTGACCCTCCGGACAGTCCATGCCTTGTGCCCATCGGACCCTATCCCAGATGGCAGAGAGGGCACAGGCCAGGAGCCCAGAGATGTGGATCCCACCGAGGCCTGCCTTTGGCCTGCTCCATGGCCCTGGACAGGCTCCTGTTGCTCTTGCCAGTTTCCCAGCTATGAAGAGAGGAGCTTGACACGAGGTCCTCTGCTGGGATCCTCAGGGAGGGTGGTTGTGTCCCCTGGAGAGGGCTGGTAGGAGGGCAGTGCTGAGTTCATTTCACTGCCCTGATGGGCAAGGCTGGAGCTGAGAGCCCGAGCCTCCTACCAGAGACTTTGGGTTGCTAAAATGTTGAACTAAATTTGATCTTTTAACAAAAACTATTTTGTTACTTTTCTAGTTTCCTTTTTGTTTTTTGAGACGGAGTTTTGCTCTTGTTGCCCAGGCTGGGGTGCAGTGGCGCAGTCTCAGCTCACTGCAACCTCCACCTCCCGGGTTCAAGCAATTCTCCTGCCTCAGCCTCCTGAGTAGCTGCAACTACAGGTGCCCACCCCACCACACCCAGCTAATTTTTGTATTTTTAGTAGAGACAGGGTTTCACTATGTTGGCCAGGCTGGTCTTGAATGCCTGACCTCAAGTGATCCTCCCGCCTCAGCCCCCAAGTGTTGGGATCACGGGCGTGAGCCACCACACACGGCCACATTTCTAGTATCAATGTTGAAGTTTTGAGTTTCAAGCAATGTTGAAATTGTGTTCAGTGCTGCCTGGCCAGCTCCAGGGGACCAGGATCCGTGGCCCGGCCAGGCAGGGCTCCCCTCCAGTCCTTCACTCCATCAGGCCACAGGCATTCACAGAGGCCTGTTCTGGGCCGGGAGAACAAGGCAGACCTCAGTTTCCTTCATGCAAAGTGGAGATGCTGTCCCCTAGCCTGTGAGCTTTGTCTGTCTGGCTACGCACCCCAACTGTGGGGCTAACCCCAGACGTCTTCCTCTGACCGGAGCAGCGCTGGTGCTTGACCCGGAAGCTAAGGTTCCCTGCAACCAAGCCCTCACCTCCACCCTGCTGCGATGTCTTCGGAGCCACCCTGAGGAGGAGCAGCTTCTGGTCATGGTCTACAGCCTGCTGACCATCACCACAGCCCAGGGTGCGTCTGCCAGCCAGCCACCTCCTGCCCCACCCACTATCCAGGACAGCCCTTCCCAGGGTCTCGGGAAGGGATGGTTTGGGGTACAGGTGGGTTGGACAGAACAGTGCTGGGCCTCCTCAGATGCACATCGGCATTTGGCTGTCTTCAGTTGGCCACCCCAAATGCTGGTTGAGTCCTTTTCCATCTTGATGACAAGCTTCCAGGCTTGAAATCATGGGTTCCCGCTACAGACGTGCCAGGCGCAGCTGTGGCCTTCACACCAGTGACATCTACTTCAGACACTTTCTGCCTCTTCCGGGAGGTTGGGGGGCAAATGCCCTGTGTCTCCATTCCATAGGGCCCAGTGGAATGGAGGGCTTCCGAAGCCACCAGCCAGGACTGTGGGCAGGAGAGGGCCATACGGAATGCTCACACCTTCACCCACAGATGGGTGGGCACTGTTCTCCTGAACAGGAAGCTGGTCCTTGGAGAGAGCCCAAGGACAGCTGCTAAGAGTCCCATGCAGCAGGGGTCAGGGCTGGGTCCCAGCACCCTCTTTACTGTACAGACTGGACAACTGATCATGCATCACTGATCTCACTTCTGGGAGTGAAAGGAGGCACTAGGAATAGATGTCAACTGGAATCATCAGGCAAAATGGATGTCAGCTTGTCCTACTGGGATAGGGCCCCATCACGGTTCCATCCTGGAAGGCACAGCCAGCTCTGTAAGCCCAGGAGGCAGGGCCAGGCCCCCTGGATGGGAAGCTACAGAGGTCAGACCCAGCCTGGGAGTGGGATGGCAGCTATTGGAACCGGTGGCCCATGAGATGGACAGATGCCTCCGGGGCCAGTCCCATGTCCTCCTGTTCCGGGCTCCGTGAGTGCACAAGACCTGCCCCAGAGCAGGCACCCAGGATCACAGGTGAAATGGGACTGCAGTGCCCAAGGACAACAGAGGCAGGAAGACTTCCTGGAGGGAGGGGCCTTGGGGCCCTGATTCTGGCCCACCCACAGAGTCGGTGTCAGAGAAGCTGCAGAGCGCCGGGCTGCTGGATCACATCCTAGAGCACCTGCACAGCTCCCTCCAAAGCAGGGACGTCTGCGTCAGTGGCCTGGGCCTGCTCTGGGCCCTCCTGCTGGACGGTGAGGGGCCTCCTCCTGCTGTCCTGCTGTCCCACCAGGGCTGGCAGCCTTGCCCCAGCCACTCCCTGACTGCCCCAAGAGCCTTTGAGGGACCTCCATGTCCAGTTCCTGAAACATTCAGGACAGCCATGGCCTGGGAAAGGCTGAGAGTGCCAAAGTGCAACAGAAGAAAATCAAGGAGCAGGAAGACAGGGGAGGAAAGGCCTGCCAGAGGCAGGGCTTCAGGACTTCTGGGCCAGTGGGCAGACCCTTCCATTTGAAGTGCCTCCTGCCCAGGGAAACGTCCTGGTCCCAGAGGGCAGCGGTGGTGCTGGATGCTGTTTTGCTTTTTGATTCACAGTTGGGGGCCTCCTGGCCTGTGCTGCTTCCCTTCCTCTAGACTCCATCTTGGCATTCCAGTGCCCCAGGAAAAAGAGGGCTCCAAACTGTGGAGAGCCCAGGAGACCCGAGAGCCCTGCCAGCACCCAAAGCGCGGGATTCACCCAAAGCGCGGGATTCACCCAAAGCGCAGGATTCTCCGAACCTTTCCTGGGCTAACCCCTCCCCTCCCTGAGGACAGCTGACTTCCCCCATCCCATTTCTGCTGTTGTCCTTATCTGATGGGGAGTGGGAAGTCCCCCCTGCACATACCCAAGGCCTGGGTGTCCCCTTTCCATCCCTGTCCTGGTTCCAGCTGTCATTGTGAACAAGGGTCCCTTGGAGGAGGTCCCGGACCTCATCAGCCAGGTGTTGGCCACCTACCCTGCGGATGTGGAAATGGCGGAAGCCAGCTGTGCAGTCTTCTGGCTGCTGTCCCTGCTGGGTGAGCTGGATGGGCACCCGGGCCCCTGGGGCCGGGAGGGGTGGGCCTCACGCACACAAGAACGAGGCAGCCTGGCTCCTTTCTGCAGGCTGCATAAAGGAACAGCACTTTGAACTAGTGGTGGCGCTGCTCCTGCAGAGCATCCGGCTGTGCCAGGACAGAGTCCTGCTGGTGAACAGTGCCTACAGGGGACTGGCCAGCCTGGTGAAGGTGTCAGGTAAGCCTGGGGACAGGGCGAGACTGCCACCTAGAGTTGGGGGCAAAAAGCCCCCATCAGTTATATCTGCCAGGTGTCACAAACCAAAAAACAGAAGCAACACATCAAAAAGGAAAATAAGTTAAAAACTTAAGTCCAGTCATCCAGAAATCACCGAGACTTCCATGCACACTTGATCAACTGTCATGCTACCCCGTGACCCTCTCTCTGTCCATAAATACATCATGTCTGCACAGGTTTCCCAACATGCCGGCACATGACTGATCAAAACAGCCCTGGAGACAGTGTCTCCAACTCCCAGCACAAAGCCTGCCTGTTCCTCAGCTGACAGGCTGGGCCCAGCGCTGAGCACAGCAGTTAGGGCTTGATCCACAGCTCAGTCCTTCACAGAGCACCTGGAGACTGCAGGCTCACAGTCCCAACCTCTGCACTACCCAAGCTTCCTCAGAGTAATAAGAACCCCCTGGGCTCTGGGGGGCTGCCGCCTTTGCTCTTGTGTGGTCCTGTTCAGGTCATGCTATCCTGTTGGTCCACTCAAGCTGATGGGGCCTACCGGGTGCTGTCTCTTGTCCTGTCCCAGCTCTGGGGTTCCATCCTCTGTCCTGGGCAGAAGGCTCTTCCCTTTCAGAACAGTGGGGCATGAACCCACTCTCTTCCAACCCCCAGAGCTGGCGGCCTTCAAGGTGGTGCTGCAGGAGGAGGGTAGCAGTGGCCTCAGCCTCATCAAGGAGACCTACCAGCTCCACAGGGACGACCCAGAGGTGGTGGAGAACGTGGGCATGCTGCTGGTCCACCTGGCTTCCTACGGTGAGAACCCCTTCTTGCCTCACAACTCCCAGAGCCCAGCGGTCAGAGGGGCCCCACTCCCCCTGACAGGAAGACAGGCTCAACCCTACTTCTCGGCCCTCGGAAACTTCCCACTCATTTGGCATATTCCAAGCACCAGGGGCTGTCCTGGCTGAGGGTGATGCATGGGGCTCCGGAACTGCAAGGTGGCTCTGTGCATGCCAAGCCCAAGGGGGACTGCAACCCACCCTCACCCTCCTGGGGGCTCCCAGCAAGGGGCATGGGAGGGGCTCTGGCCTCAGGACCTTCTCTGCTCCACCTGCAGAGGAGATTCTGCCGGAGCTAGTGTCCAGTGGCATGAAGGCCCTGGTCCAGGAGATTAAGGAGCGCTTCATGTCCAGCCAGGTGAGTGACACCAGCGCCTTTAGCAAACCAGGCCTCCCTCCAGGTGGAAGCCCCCCCAGCTGGGGTGCACCACATCTGGGGGCCTGGAATAGGTAGAATGTTTGCATGCAACTAACCTTGACCTCCACATGTAGTTTTCAAGACTGCCCTCCTGCATCCCATACCATCTCTACAGCTGGGCCAAAATTAATCTTAAATAGGAGGGGTAATCAGGCCTCTCTAGTTTCCTGTTCATGGTGGGTTAAGTCACATGAATAGCTGCTCCTGGACCCAGGGACTGTCCATGAAAACTGACCTGCCTGCTTCTTCCTTCAAGGAGCTGGTTTCTTATGCAGAAAAAGTACGCCTGAGGCTGGAGGCGGCCACCTCTCTCAGCCCCCTGGACGGGGAAGCCGCTCAGCCCTGATGCTGGAGAGAAGACAGACACCCCACAGGCCCCTCCTCCACGGGTGCCCGCTCCCTGTCCTTCCTTCCTGTGGGCCACTGTTTCCCTTAGGTTGGGGGAAGGGTCGCCCGGGCCCGGCATGCGCACCTCACACTTCTCTCAGGGGACTAATAAAGAGGCCCAAGGCCAGTTTCCACTATAATCATCTCTGGCAAAAGTCTGTGACTGACCAGTGGCATACTTAATTCTGCAGTCTCTGTAAACCTCGCCCCTGGCTGGGTCAGGGGGCAGCAGTCCGGACATGGCAGTCCTTCCAGACCATTCTAGATGACAGATGACACTGAGCCTCCACAGGCTCCATTCAAAGTAAACATCTGCATTTATTTTAAATCACATCCCCGGCGTCTGCACCTTTTCTGTCCTGCTGTCAGGCGCCCCAGTAATGCCCTGGACTCCGTCTCCTTGTCAGTGCCACTGGCTGTTCCTGACTCTAGTTCCTGGGAAGGCTCTAACTGGAGCCTAGCCAAGAAAGCCACCGGCTGTGCCACCTAGCTTCTCCAGCTGAAACGGCCCACAGTCAGCCTATCTGCCGGCCTGCAGGAACAACCGCGGTCACTGTGCCCAGGCAATGGAGCCGCATGACCTTGTGCTATGGGGAGAAGCCTCTGCTGGGTGACCTGCCAGCCATCCCTGGGCCAATGGCCACAGGACACCCCTAATGTGACAACTGCTGTACTGGCCAGCTGTATCTCAGGAGCTGCCTGCAGACACCTGTTGTGGGTTCCTCAAGTCCGGCTGATCTTGTTATGTCCCCTAAGACAAAGGAGGAAATGTGGCTCCCCAAGAGGAAGGTGCTGAGCACCCGGGGTGAGTCACCAAAGATGCGTGGTGCTGGCATAGTACAGGCTGGCGACCCACACGTCCCATCCCTGCCTCGCCTTGGGGTCAGCAGTCAGTAAAGGGTGGCCAGGTGTGCCCACGGCAGTCCCTGCTGCCCACATCCTGGCTTCCACCATCTGGCCCCAAACACACATGGACAGTAAGACCAGGTCTCAGACCACAAAGTCAAGAGGGAGGAGCATGCTCTCAGCAGCACCCACACCATGCCCTTCTGTGTGATTCTGAAGTTGCCACTCTGGGGAGATGTGATCCGTCCCTGTGACTGGTCACACTGCCTCTGTAGGAGAGTGGAAGCAGCAGAGGGCAGGGCTGCTAGGCATTGTCACTGCAGTGGTCTGGAGCGCTCAGCAGGGGATGCCTGTCTCGGGCCATGCTCTCCCACTCCTTCTTCACCATGATGTACAGTCTCATTGCTGCCTGGGCATCCTCAATCTAGACGACAAGAAACATCCCAGCAGGTGACAAGGCACAGCCACAGCCCACAGTCAGCCCTGCAATGACCAAGCCCAGCCACTCTGCTAGGGATGTGCTGAGTGAGACGTGGACCTGGCTGCCAGATGTCCCCAGGACGGGGAGGGAGGACACACAAGAAGCAGAGGGAGCAATGACCTGATGGTCCCCACATTTCTGTGACTCAGACACTCCTCCCAGAAGAAAGGGAAACCCCAAGAGGAGAAGCAACAAGCACGCGGCCTTTTTAGGTCTCTGAATGCAGGGTGATGGCAGGCTTGGTGCTGGGCACAGGGGCACAAGGACCACGCAGACGGGCAAAAACCGTCCAAAGGCTGAGGCCACGCTGCAGGTGGCGACTGCTCCACCGAGGCAGGGCTGGCTGCTGGCAGGACTAGTCAGGGCGGGGTGGGGGCGGGGGTGGGGCAGGGGCAGGGGAAGAAGAGCTTTGTAATTATCTGGCGACTTTTTCTCCAAATAACGAGAATGTGGTAGTTCTTTTGTGTTGTGTGAATTGGGTAAATGTGCATATTCAGAATTTGATCAAAATTCCGTAACTCTGCTCTGCCATTTTTTTGGGGGACCAACAGCCTCATAGGAAAAGCAGGTGCCCAGGCCCCACCTCCCCCACATCTGCGTCAGGTGGCTTACGCCTGGTTCCAGGTGAAAAACAGCCCCAAACCCCGAGGACTCCCCAGGACACACTCACCGAACAGTGCTCCGCCTGCTGGATCCGGATCCCCAGGATCTTCTCTGAAAGTAGTCTCAGAGATGGCCTTCCACTCTGCAAAGGGGGAGGAGGCGGGTGGGGGCCTCTGCAGTCTCTGCCTACACAGGGTCACCCCACCAACCAGGGAGGGGTTGGCTACTGAACTGCCACCCAACTGACCTACAGTTTGCCTCTCAGCAGAGGCGCTCGTGACACTTAGGGTGGCAGCTACAAGCTGCAACCTCTTTTTTTAGCATGATGGGCTGGTGATATACCCCTATCAGCCAATAAAGGGAGAGGGCCAGGGGAGGATCACTTGAGCCAGGAGTTTAAGACCAGCCAGGGCAACACAGCAAGATCCTATCGCTACAAAAAAATACAAAAATTAGCCAGGGGTAGTGGCATATGCCTGCAGTCTGAGACACTTGGGAGGCTAAGGTGGGAGGACTGCTTGAGCCTGGGAGGCAGCGGTTAGAGTGAGCTGAGATCGTGCCATTGCACTCCTCCAGCCTGGGTGACAGAGCAAGACGCTGTCTCAAAAAAAAAAAAAGATGGCTCTGCTCTTGGCCCCTCTGGAGCAGATACTCCTTAGTCGGCAGCCCTGTTTCAGAGGTTAGAGTGGAAATATGCAATCATTTTTAAGGCCAATAATTAGCAAAACTCTATTGTAAGGCAGCCACCAGTGACCAGAAACGACAGTAAAGTCGCCAGCAAAACAGAAACACGGTATCTTGAGACACCCTCATTTTAAGTACCTTTACTTGACTCTTGAAAGGTTTATACTTCTGTGTGTCCCGAATCTTCTTTTTTGGATGATCAAGAAACAGTACCTAGAAAAAGAAAATACAATGATCATTATTTTCATTTTCGGTTTGTAGCAGAACACCCCACTTTTTTGCAAGTAACATCTTTTTTTTTTTTTTTTTTTTTTGGAGACAGAGTCTTCTCTGTCACCCAGACAAGTGCAATGGCTCTATCTTGGCTCACTGCAACCTCTGCCTCCTGGGTTTGATTCTCCTGCCTCAGCCTCCTGAGTAGTTACAAGCGCCTGCCACCATGCCCAGCTAACTTTTGTATTTTTTAGTAGAGATGGGGTTTCACCATGTTGGCCAGGCTGGTCTCGAACTCATAACCTGAGGTGATTCACCCGTCCTGGCCTCCCAAAGTGCTGGGATTACAGGATTGAGCCACCATGCCTGGCCTGCAAGTAACATCTTGTAGGGAATCCAAGTACATCACACACACACAGAAATGAGGCATTGACATAAATTTAGACTCTAGAAGGAGATTTATCACACTGATGTAAGCTGATGCCCAATAGAGAGACAATAAAAACAAAATCTTGAAATCAAGGAAGCAGGAGAAATACAGTCAACAATTAACCAGCAACCAACTTATTCCTATATACTTGTATTTTGAGTTGCTTCTGCACATCAGGAAATTGGAAATAACACATTTTTAACAGCTCATCTCGCAATCTCAGCATGCAATCTTTTTTTTTTCCCCTTTTTTTTGATAAGGTCTCACTCTGTCACCAGGGTTGCAGTGCTATGAGGTAATCATGGCTCATTGCAGCCTTCACCTCCTGGGCTCAACTGATCCTCCTAACCCAGCCTCCTGAGTAGCTGGGATTACAGGCACACACCACCACACCTGGCTAATTTTTAAAGTTTTTATCGAGATGGAGTCTCCCTATGTTGCTCAGGCTAGTCTCCAACTCCTGGCCTCAAGCAATCCTCCAGCCTCAGCCTCCCAAAGAGCTGGGATTTCAGGCATAAGCCACTGTGCATGATCCTTAGCATCGACTTCAAGAAAGACTTAAACGTGAGTTGCACAAGTTACCAGGGATGGAACCAGAGTTAGGAGGGAAGGACAAGTTACCACAGCGGCAGTCTTTAAGGGGATACAAAACAAGCACACAGAAGAGGACATTGCCCGGGTGGTTCTCATCTCAGTCTTACCCTCTATAAACAAGCGCGAACACCTCCAGCACCTGTACTGAACTTGAGACATCTCGGCGGTGCCGTCACACCGCAGCACCTGTACTGAACCCGAGATCTCGGCGGTGCCGTCACGCCCCGGCTCCTGTACTGAACCCGAGATCTCGGCGGTGCCGTCACGCCCCGGCTCCTGTACTGAACCCGAGATCTCGGCGGTGCCGTCACGCCCCGGCTCCTGTACTGAACCCGAGATCTCGGCGGTGCCGTCACGCCCCGGCATCTGTACTGAACCCGAGATCTCGGCGGTGCCGTCACGCCCCGGCATCTGTACTGAACCCGAGATCTCGGCGGTGCCGTCACGCCCCGGCATCTGTACTGAACCCGAGATCTCGGCGGTGCCGTCACGCCCCGGCATCTGTACTGAACCCGAGATCTCGGCGGTGCCGTCACGCCCCGGCATCTGTACTGAACCCGAGATCTCGGTGGTGCCGTCACGCTCCGGCATCTGTACTGAACCCGAGACGTCTCTATTGTGCCCTCACCGGAGCAACACAGCAAAAACTGCCCTGGGCATTAGCATCTCTGCCACTTTCTTCTGAATGGCTTCAAGTTCCTCACGCCCCAAATGCCTCAAGATGGTGGGCAGAGGGGAGAACTTTGGAAGTGTCTCTTCTGTCTAGCAGACTGGCCTCCCCACTGTTCCCACTGCATCCCTTAAACCAACCACCTGGGCATTTGCCCATGAACTCAAAGTGACTCCACCCTGTTCTCCGTAAATATACCGCCAGCTGCCACTCGTGCTCTCTCTGCTTGACTTTTTGTTCCTGCCTCGGGAGATCGAGGGATGGAGGGCTGCCCTCCTGACCCACGGTGCTTTCCCTGCCCAGGGTCTGTACATGTCTTTGAACTTGTTTCCCACAGTGGTGGTGCCTGAATTTGCAGCTTGCATCTGAAGAACCAGGGTCTGCCCCAGGCGGGGTTCTCCTGGGGAAGCCAGGAAGAAGGCAGGCTCCCAGGGCCAGGGTGCTCAGGCAGGTGTGACCTGAACACGGGCCACAGGGCATCTGCCAGGAAAAACTAGTTTCCGGGGGGGGGGGGGGACCCTGGTCACGGATGGGACAACTGGGCATGAGGCCTTCCTTTAGTTAAAAGAGGTTATCAGCCACTGTCATTTCTCATTAGGGTGGGGATGCCAGCTGCTCTGGTATGGGAATGCCAGTTTCGCTTGTGGCTCTCAAAACAAGAGCCTCGCATGGCTCCTAAAACACAGTAAGAACTCGGCATGTGGTATCTCATGTTATTACTAAAGTATTCCCAACACAGGGCACAAACCCAAATATTTTTTTAAAACTCCACAACACAGACAGCACAAGGCCATAAGTGTAATACACAGGGTTGAGGGGGGTGCAGGCCAAGTCCCCAGGAGGGAGCCCAGTACCTTTAGATCGTTATGTACAGCGTGCCCCACTAGAACTCTGCCCTTCAGCATCTCTGCCACTTCCTTCTGAACAACTTCAAGCCCTTCTCCTGGAAAATAACACAAAGAAGTGGTTTTTTGCAACACGCACATCGCCATCATTCTCTGAGGCAGTCCCGCTCCCACCCCTGGTAACACCTAAGACAAATGGTCAGGCCTGCAATGCCACCTGTGGAGGGGTGACTCGAAGCCACGACACCCACCTCCCTGTACACCTGGGATAAGTGCCCTGTGGGCCCCTGGCAGGGTTGGCTGCAAGGCCCACCTCCGAGGAGAGGAAGAAAGTGCTCCGAACAGTCTGCAAAGGGGGCTCATGGTGGAGGAGAGCATATGCCGAGCAGCACTGAGAACTTCTAGAGCCGCCTGGCAGCACAGTTCTGCTATTCAACATCATCACTACAAATCAGGGCTTGCGCCTGACAGTTTTCCAAATGGAAATAAAAACAAGACCGCCTCCACAACATCGGGGAAGCCCTGGGCTCTAGAGGCAGCCTGCCTGCTGTTGGGGACCACCCCACCTGCAACCCCACTTGCACCTCACGACTCTGCTCACGAACAGGGATGATTAGACCAAGGGTGGCCCGAGCCAAGAGGGACCAGCTTCCTTTCCAGGAACCAGACCCAGAGAGGCTGTCCAGTGTGCCATTCTGAGGAGTGGCAGGGCCGCCCTGGTGGCTGCATGCATCAGCGAAGCGGACTAAGGCAGTGTGCAAAGACCAGAAGGGCACAGAAAAGAGACCACATGGCCTCGATCCCTAAGGGTCTCCAGAGTCTTCAGGTCCCCGGCCTTGAGGCCATCCTGGAATGCCCTCTCTTCTCATCCCAGACACAGTCTCAGCCTCCAGCTGGATCTGGCATTGCATCACCTTCATGGCCCTACACTCTGTTCTCAATGCCACAGCCAGAGGGAACCTCCCAGAACCTAAGCCAGACCAGGCCTCTCAGTGCTCATAACCTTCCCAGGGATTCCCAAGATCCTCACTAGGGTCCGTGAGATCCCATGATCTAACCCCCTTTTAACCACCTTCCTCCTATCCCACTCTTCACCCCTGCCGGCCTCCTTCCAGGGCCTCTAACACACTCCACCTCAGCCCCTACTGCCACGAAATACAAAGCAATTCAAGAACTCTCCTGGTCACCCGTGGGACGCTGGAGCTATTTTAAAAAATATTTTTAGAAGGCTGGGCACAGTGGCTCATGCCTGTAATTCCAGCACTTTGGGAGGCTGAGGCGGGCAAATCACCTGAGGTTGGGCGTTCAAGACCAGCCTGACCACCATGGAGAACCCTGTCTCTACTAATACAAAATTAGCCCGGCATGGTGGCACATGCCTATAATCCCAGCTACTGGGGAGGCTGAGGCAGGAGAATCGCTTGAACCCACAAGGCAGAGGTTATGGTGAGCCAAGATCAGACCACTGCACTCCAGCCTGGGCAACAAGAGTGAAACTCCATGTCAAAAACATATACACATATATATTAGACATGAGCTCTCGCTATTTTGTCCAGGCTGGACTTGAACTCCTGGGTTCAAGCAATCCTCCCTCCTCAGCCTCCTGAGTAGCTGGGACTACAGGTGTGAGCCACCGTGCCTGGCTACCAGCCTGGTCTTGAGGTCAGTGGACAGGAGGCGCTGAAGCATAAAAGCCATCTAAGGATGCCTTTTGTATTTTGAAACCCATCACCCCAGAAGACAAGACGCATCGAAACTAGCTCCAGTGAGTGGTCCCAGACAGCAAAGAGAACAAAACGGAGAAAATGAACCCCGTTACTACCGTTTCTAAGCTCCTGAGCTGCAGATGACGTACCCTGCTTGAGGTTCTCAGGCCGAATCCCACTGACCGCTGTCCTATAGTCCGTCACGGGCTCGGTCGGCTTGATGTATTTGTCATAAACGCACTTCCCATACTGGTTCACGATGGACACACGGGCGGCCACGCTCTCCTCCCCCTTGGGGCCCACGCCCACCATCTCACAGTCCAAGGCTAAGGCTCTCGTCAGGCTGAAGGGTAACCAAAGGCTCCAGTTTAATAAACACAGCAGGACCCAGGGCTCCAGTTCAGAGCCCCAGGGATCCACGGAATAAGTGTTGGCAGAGAAAGGCTCTCTGTCCCTCACTCATTTGCACCCGCATGTTGAGCTCTGTGCGGTCCTGGTTCTTGGCAGGATCCTGGGAGGTGCTTGCCCCATTCACCTGGAGGCGAGGAAAGTATCCTGCTCCTTGAAGAAGCCCTACCCGCTACACCTAAGCATCCACAACAGCCTCCGCTCCCCGAGCCCCGCATACCCGCCGAAGGCCTGCTCTTTCACGAGGCTGAGGCTGCCGCTGCCGCTGCTCAGACCCAGCCTTTTCCTCGCTATCTTGGCTGCCTCTGGACCTATGGCAGCTTCGATATCCACCGGGTCCACGTCGTCAAACCAGATGTCTTCCCTAAAAGGCGAAGATGACACGGTGATGACCAGAAGACGCCAGTGCAACTGGTGGGGTGGGGCTGTGGCGCTGACAGTGCAGGTGAGTGGAGCGAGGGCACAGTCTGCCCCTCCCACAGGCTAGCCCCAGACACCCTGGATGCTGGCCCTGCTGCTTCTACTATTTTTATCATCTTGGCATTTTCCTTTTTTTTTTTTTTTTGAGATGGAGTCTCGCTGGGTCACCCAACCTGGAGTGCAGTGGTGCAATCTCGGCTCACTGCAACCTTCACCTCCCAGGTTCAAGAGATTCTCCTGCCTCAAGTCTCCCTAGTAGCTGGGATTACAGGCGCCCACTACCATGCCTGGCTAATTTTTTCTATTTTTAGTAGAGATGGAGTTTTGCCATGTTGGCCAGGCTGGTCTTGAGCTCAAGTGATCCGCCCGCCTCAGCCTCCCAAAGAGCTGGGATTACAGGCGTGAGCCACTGCCCAGCCTGATCTCTTTTCAATTAGAAAATACACTCATTATCCAAGATTTAGGGACACAGACAAATGCAAATATAAGACAGAAACATATAACCCGCCACCCAGGGGTAATGAGTGCAAACATTTTAATTATGAAAGCAGCAGGTTCATCATCAAACAATTAGGAAACGGAAACACAGACACAATCAACCCCTGTAAGCTGGAAACAGAACGCCCTGCCCTCCACACTCAGATGCTCACACAGGTACAGGATACCTGCTACGGAGTGTGTCTCTTGGGCTAAGGCTAAATGTCATTTCCTTAGAAAAACCCTTCCCGGCCCCACTTGTCCCATGCTCCCAAAACCTTCTCCTCGCTGGATTTATCCTGACCACACTCATGCAACAATGGCAGTCTAGTCTGTCCACCGCACTTGACAATAAGCCTCAAGAGGGAGCAGCAGGCACGCCTCGATGGACTCTCTCTCTCAGAGAGCCTGTCCAGCACAATGCGGGGAGGCCCCCAAACAGCTCATTGCTCAGTTGTCAGCGATTGTGTCCTCAATACCCAGGCGACACGAAGCCAGCTGTGACTCATGAACACATCACCTCCAGCTGAACCATTCACACATGGCCACTGACTCCTGGTCCACCCCACATGGGTGGCCAGCACAGGATTTATCTTTTTGTTTTTTTGAGAGTCTCACTCTGACGCCCGGGCTGGAGACGGCAGTGTAATCATGGCTCACTGCAGCCTCCACCTCTTAGGATCAAGTGATCCTCCCACCTTGGCCTCCCGAGTAGCTGGGACCACAGGCAACAGCCACCACTCCTGGCTCCATCACAGGGTTGAGTAATCACCAGGCACTGAGCCAAGAGTGCCAACATCACGAGCTCCTTGTGCTGCCAACATGATGACAACAGGCACAGAGGATGTCGGAAACCTGCCCCAAACCACCCAACTGGCGAGAAAGCAGGGACAGGTCTCATACCCAGGTCTATCTGGCTTCCGCACACTTTCCTCTACATGCGGACTTGCACCCACTAAATGCTGAGCTCTGTTCAACCCTTGGAAGATGCAGCTGTGGCTATGAAACAGGCCCTGCCTTATCATGCCCACGCTCTAGGGAAAACAAGGAACAGTTAGGAAACAAAGGAACAGATGATATCAGGGTAAGGTGACAGAGAGAATGCAGTGAGGCCCCCAGCCTCCGCAAGGAGAGGGGCCTTGGTGAAGTTGCTGGGCCTCAGTCTCAGTGGTGAGGCTGCCCACACTTACTCGGTGGGTGGGGCTGGGTCTGCCTCCTTAGCTTTCCGCTTCTTATGCTTGATGTCCCCTCGTTCTGGACCAGTGTCACCAGTCGTCCTTTCCTTGGTTCCTTTCTTACTGTGCTCTGCTCCGCTGGCCTTGGTGTGAGGTACTAGCGCCTTCTTGTCCACAGTGGACCCTGAAGGGCCAGAGCCCCCGCTGGCCTCGGGGTCTTTTCCTGCCAGCATCTCCTCTCCATTCACCTGAGGCGAGGTCTCTTTTTTGTTTTGCTGGATAATTTTGGGCTTCTTTTTGGAACTCATCTGAGAGATGACAAGAGGCTTTTCTGGGGCCTGAGATTTTTGTTTCAGCAGCCACTGGGACCCAAGATAAAATACATGTTATATTTGAATGTGGAAATTACACACAGCAAATCGAAAAAACTTATGTATGTATATACACACACACATACACCAATCACATATATACAATTTCCATCCACATCACTGAAATTCATTTTCAAACAGTTTGGAAAAAGCTTTTTCATTCTCTTGAGTCACTTGTGGTGAAATGTTGTTCTTTGCTTATCTTATTATAATGCATACTTTTTTTTTTTTTTTTTACCTGAGACAGAGTCTCGCTCTGTTGCCGGGCTGGAGTGCAGTGGCATGATCCTGGCTCACTGCAACCTCTGCCTCATGGGTTCAAGCGATTCTCCTGCCTCTGCTTCCCAAGTAGCTGGGACTACAGGTGTGCGCCACCATGCCCAGCTAATTTTTGTGTTTTTTAGTAGAGATGGGTTTTCACTGTGTTGGCCAGGACGGTCTTGATCTCTTGACCTTGTAATCCACCCGCCTTGGCCTCCCAAAGTGCTGGGATTATAGGCGTGAGCCACTACACCCAGCAGAGAGCTAGCAGAATGAGCTGGTAAAGTGAGAATGTACTCATCACTGAGAGGAGGGCATAAAGTCATTCATGAGGGATCGGCCCTCATGACCTAATACCTCTTAAGGGCCCCATCTCCAACACTGGGGATCACATTTCTTAAAAAAAAAAAAAACAAAAAAAACTATTTTTAATTTTTATTTAGAGACAGACTCTCACCATGTTGCCCAAGCTGGTCTTGAACTCTTGAGCTCAAGTGATCCTCCGGCCTGGGCCTCCCAAAATGCTGGGATTACAGGCGTGGGCTACTTGGGAGGCCGAGGCAAGAGACTCTCTGGAGCCCAGGAGTTCCAGGCAGCAGTGAGCTATGATTCTATCAGTAGCTAACTCCAAGGGATGTGGTAATAATCTATGAATGATGCACGTGAAAGAGTGTCTGGCAGAGAGCAAGCAACCTCTACAGAAGTGCCGGCCACTTGGGAGACAGCAGGTACACCACAGCCTTAAAAGCATGGACTCAACCCGACTGGTTCCCAGCTGCGACGTCAAATGATCTATTTAACCTTTTCAAGCCCACATCCTCATCTGCACAATAGAGATGATAAAGTATCCACTTCACAGCGTTATTCTGGGGCTTGCAAGAGAACACAGGACAGACTGCACATTTTAGGAGCTCAATTAGTATTTACTTCTAGACCATAAGCATTGCTAGAACCCTCCCTATCATATATCTGCTATTTGCTTTTCGAGTCTGCCCAGGGATCTGCTCCCTGTCTTGCTACACAGATCAACGTGTTCTTTATTTTTCTGAGACAGAGTCTTGCTCTGTCGCCCAGGCTGGAATGCAGTGGTGCATTCTCTGCTCACTGCACCTCCTCCTCCCGGGTGCAAGCGATTCTCCTGCCTCAGCCTCCCGAGTAGCTGAGACTACAGGTTTGCATCACCACGTCCAGCTAATTTTTTAGTATTTTTAGTAAAGACGGGGTTTTACCACGTTGGCCAGGCTGGTCTTGCACTCCTGACCTCAGGTGGTCTGCCTGTCTCGGCCTCCCAAAGTGCTGAGATTACAGGTGTGAGCCACCCCGCCCGGCCACCAGGGTGTTCTTTTCATTGTCCCTGGGTGGTTCGTCTGGCTTTTAAGCTAAATCTCCCTTTGTAAAATCCATTCTAGTTAGTTCATTATGCAAAAAGTACAGGGGTTTATCTTTGGTTTTTTTTGGACTTGCAATAATTCTTTCATCAATTTCTTTCATGCCAACAAGTTCGAGACCTCCCTCAACAGGGTCTCAAAGGCACATCCTCTGTGCCTTTTCTTGTGAAAGGCTGTTTGCAAGATTTCGATTCAAGTGTGCCTCCACAGGTCCTTTCGGGGGCCACCCAAGTCTTTCCCTCCGTCGCGTTCTGCGGGATGGAGCCGCGCAGCGCGCGTGGCCTCCCCCGGCTCCGCCCAGGCCCCTTCAAGCCTCACCTCTTGCAGAGCCTTCCAGTTTTGAGAAAAGTCTTCCGGTGCCTTTGGAGGGCGGACCACAACCCCTGGGCCGCTCCTCGGCCTCTTGCTTCCCTCCTGCGCCTTGCTCTTCCAAAATCCTTTTTTCTTCTTGTTTTTCTTCCGAGTGAGCGTCTTCACAGGACCCGGCTTAGGCACGGGGCTGCTCGGGGCGCGCTTGGAGGTGGGGACCTTCGCCTTCACCATCCTGCTGCGGTCCAGCGTCTGGACCGGCGGCCACCCGAGACCTTGGCCTCCTCCCCGGCCCTGCGCCCCCGCAGCACCAGCGCCTGCCCAGACCAGGGACGCACTCGCCGCAGGGACCCGGCCCGGGAAATGACCCCGGAAGAGACCCCGCACGCGTTCCCGCACGCCTCGGCGCGCATGCTCCAGTCCCTGGAAGTGCTAGTCTCTCCGCCACCGGCTGGAAACCCGGGCCGCCGCATCTGGTTCCGTGCAGCCTGGGCAGTTCGCCTGGACAGGAATCGGGCCTCCTCTCTGGCGAGCGGCGTCCTGAGTCGGTGACCTCGGGTTTGGTTGGGGCAAGCCCAGGACCTCCCCGAGATCCGGGACGGGAATAAGTGCGGACGCCGGAAGGGAACTGGGGAACCGCTGTGGGTGTAGCACCCGGCGGGGCAGCAGGGCGCGCGGACGCTGAGCGGTCGGGCTGGTAAGACCCGGGCTCGGTCTCTGCACTGCGTCCTGGACTCCCCGGCCTTTCCCGCCTTCGGCTGCTCCACGCTCAACCCCACAGCGGCTCATCGTCCATAAACAGTGGGGAAACTGAGGCCCCGGGACCGGGACGAGTTCCCGTCAGTTCACTCAACCTGGTTTTACCCAGAGCCACGGGACTGCCAAGGCCTTCCAGCAAGATCTGATAACAATACGCCACTACCGATTATCATTATACAAATGAGTGCATATTATTTTTTATAACGACAACGATGGTAACTAGCACGCCATGCTCGGTCCTGACAATACCTCGATAAACACCACCGGTCAGACCTCCACAAGCCTGAAGCTTACGTTTGAATCTGGGAAGTGGGAAAGAAAACGGGCTCAGCGGAGCCTGAGTGCGAGGTCCGAAAAAACGTGTCAGGCCCAGAGGGGTGATCGTGAGGCTTCCGTCACGCCAGCCGCACCAACGTTTAAAGCCACTTAGATTTTTCTTTCCTTCCCTGTGGTTTCCAGACCAGCTAAGAAATTTCCTAAAATGGTACCACAAGTTACAGGGTATGACCCTCACCTGGAATTTATGATACAAAGAACGTTGTCTGCTCCCTACATGGCTTATGTTATTTTAATGAAACAATATCAATTCTTGGTAAACAATTTAGGAACTGCCCACTAACTTCCTTTTTTCCCTTTAAAAACCCACTTGTGGCTGGGGACAGTGGCTTATGCCTGTAATCCCAGCACTTTGGGAGGCCGAAGCAGGAGTATTGCTTGAGCCCAGGAGTTCAAGACCAGCCTGGGCAATGTAGGGAGACCACCCTGCAACCTGACTCTACCAAATAAATAAATAAATACATAAATTAGCTGGGCATGGCGGCGCATGCTTGTGGTGCCACGTACTGGGGAGGTAGAGGCTGCAGTGAGCCATGATCATGACACTGCACTCCAGCCTGGGCGACAGAGTGAGACCCCATCTCAAAAAAATAAAAAATAAAAACCCACTTGTAACTGATGCTACTCAGAGCATATATTCAAGGCAGCTGGAGCCTATGACTCCTAGGCTGTAATCCTCAACCATGGCTCAAATAAGTTATCTATTTATATTAATTTTGCCTTGGTTTCTTCCTTTAGGTTGACAGGGGCCTACAGGGAAACACAGATAATAAGTGAATAAATCGAGATAATTTTGGATAGTACAGACTACATTGAAGACGATAAAATGAGATGTTGTAGAGATTGACTGGTAGTGGAATTGTCAGACAAAACACAGGACACCCAGTTCTACAGGAGTTTTAGATGAATGTAATTTTTGGTATAAGCATATCTCATGCAAAATTTGCAATATTTGGGACATAGTTGTGCTAAAATTTATCTGTTACTTATCTGAAATTCTAATTCAACTTGGTGTCCTGATTTTTATTTTCTAAATGTGGCAACCATAAATGGGAGGCCACTTAGACAGGGTCATGAGGGATTCCTGCTGGAGGAAGCGATGTCCGAGCTGAAGCTTCAATGTGAAGACGGGGCGGGGGTCAGAGAGAACAGCAAAGCATTTGATGAATTGGAGGAATGGAAAGAAGGCTGGTGTGGCTAAAACTCTGTGAGCAAGGGGGAAAGTGTTGGAGATGCAGGCAGAGGGTGGGCAGGGGCCAGATCACAGATTTGAGAGCCTTGTTGGTTTCAGGAAGGACGTTTCATTCCAAGAGCAAAGGGAAGCGGTTGTTTTTAAGCTAGGGAGTGATGCAATCTGATTTATGTTTTAGAAAGATTACTGAAGCTTCTTCATGAAAATTAGGATTCGGGGGGGAGGGGTGGCAGGGAGAAAGAGAGACAGCAGGGAGACCAGGTATGAGACTGATAGATTCCTGTGCCAGCCGCAGTGCGGCTTAGATTAGGGCGATGTGTCAGTTTGAGACTCCAGGAAAGAGTCACACAGGTAGAGTTAGGTGTGCAAAGTACTAATTGGGGCCTTTAAGAGGTAAAGGGGAAGATGAAGGATGGGCAGAGAGGGCCTTCAGACCATGATGCTGATCTGATGCGGGTGAGAGGAAAGTGGGAAGGAGGCAGGGGTGGGCAGGGAGAGCCTTGTCCTGCACTGCAGAGCTGATGAGGGTTTGGCCTACACCGTGGAGAGTTCTGGGGCAAAGATTGCTCATTGGCGGAACCTTCCACGACAAAGAAGCATCCAGGCCTAAGCATGCCCTCAGTGTTGTCCCTCGCTGCCAGGGTGTGGCAGTGAGAGAGTGTGGACTCGGCCTGAATGTTGCCACAGACCACCAGATGCTGCAGTTGGGGGCTGTCTGCTAACCAGTGCCTCTCAGCTGCATGGCAAGGTCTTTGTTGAAGGAAGAGCTGAACACCTCCATTCCGAGGCTAGCACACATGCCAGCTGTGAAAAGACGGAGTGGGCAGATTTTTTTTTTTTTTTTTTTTTTTCAGACAGAGTCACTCTGTCAAGCTGGTTGGAGTGCAGTGGCACAATCTCAGCTCACTGCAACCTCCGCCTCCTGAATCCAAGCGATTCTCCTGCCTCAGCCTCCCGAGTAGCTGGGATTACAGGTGCACGTCACCACGCCCAGCTAATTTTTGTATTTTTAGTAGACCCGAGGTTTTGCCATGTTGGCCAGGTTGTCTCAAACTCCTGACCTCAGGTGATCCATCCATCTCAGCCTCCCAAAGTGCTAGGATTACAGGCATGAGCCACCGTGCCCTGTCAGGAGTGGATAGATTTGATGTGTGTGTGTAACAGGCAGAGGTTGACAGAGTTACAGGGAAGTGAGACGAGGCTGGCTCCTAGGATTTTGGTCTGAGCAACTGGGTGTGGCCATTTATCATCTCAATAAATGTCTTCGGGGAGCAGGGTGAAGTTCGAAGTCCTTTCACACTTGCTGAATAGAAATATTGCCGGGCTCAGTGGCTCATGCCTGTAATCCCAGCACTTTGGGAGGCCAAGGCGAGCGGATCACCTGAGATCGGGAGTTAGAGACCAGCCTGACCGAAATGAAGAAACACCATCTCTACTAAAGATACAAAATTAGCCGGGTGTGGTGGCACGTGTCTGTAATCCCATCTACTCAGGAGGCTGAGGCAGGAGAATTGCTTGAACCCAGGAGGTGGAGGTTGCGGTGAGCTGAGATTGTGCTATAGCACTCCAGCCTGGGCAACCAGAGGAAAACAAGAAAGAAAGGGAGAAAGAGAGAAAGAGAGAGAGACAAGGAAGGAAGGAAGGAAAGAGAAGAGAAAGGAAGGAAGGAGGGAGGGAGCAGGGGAGGGAAAAGAAAGAAAGAGGAGAAAAGAAAAGGAAGGAAGGGAGAAAGGCAGGGAAGGAGGGAGGGAGAGACGGAGGGAGGGAGGGAGGGGAAAATTTAGCCAGGCGTGGTGACATGCACCTGTAATCTCAGCCACCAGCTGAGGCAAGAGAATCGCTTGAACACGGGAGGCAGAGGTTAGAGTGAGCCAAGATCGTGCCACTGCTGTACTTCAGCCTTGGTGACAGAGCAAGACTGTCTCAAAAAACAAACAAAAACCACAAAAGAGACGCCAGAGTCGTGTGCTGATGGGGTGAGCCAGTTACCAGGCTCTCCACATCTAAGCATGCCCCTTCTCCAGGTGCCGCCTCCCTTCCCGCCCGAAAGCACACCCTCCCCTCCACGCCCCATTCCTTTATCCTGCGGTCCCTAATACTTACCACCGTTGAACGTGCTACAGACACAGCATGCGTTTGTCTAGCAACTTTTGTCTGGCTCCCTTCCCTAGAATTTTAGCTGTGAGAGGCCGGGGCTGCTGTCTGCCTGGCTGTGGCAGTGTTCCTGGTGTCCAGCACAGTACCTGGCTGGTTGCAGGGGCTCAGTGAAACATTCGTTGGCTGAAGGGATGGCTGAATGGCTCTGGCGGAAGGGCAGACACTAGTGACGCAGGAAGGAAGACGTGGGGGGAATCCAGAGCCAGGGCCTCCCTGATTGCAGAGGAGGAGAGAGGCTGCAGGTTGAGGGGTGGAAAGACAGGTGAATACCCCTGCTGGTCACCTGCTTTCTGCGGCTGTGTAGATGTGAGGCATGTGAAAGAGTGGTGTGGAGCATGTGAAGAGAGCCTTCCCAGAGGTGAAGGGGATTGCCAGGCGGTTTGTGACGATGAATGCAGAGCTCCGGTGCCATGCAGCCTGCTTCTGCGACTCTCCCCATCAGGCTCAGGCACACAGTAGGCGGAGAGTTGAACCAGAACTGCGGTGCCTTTGGCGCGGCCTCTCATCTGTCAGGTGGGAGCGGGGACCCTGGGAGACAGAGCCAGCTGGACGTCCCAGCATTCCTCCTGAACCTCCGTCTGCGGGTTTCCGGTCCAGTGTTCTTTCTCCTCCAGACTAGATGGCTTAGCTGACCTCTAAGAAAGTGGGTGTGCACATTCGGAGAGCTCTCTGGGGTACAAGACTGGGCTGCGGGGTACCCTGAACTGGAACCATCTTAGAGCAAGGCCGAGGTTGCAGCAGGAAAAGCAACAGGCCACCCACCCCAGCCACAGCCCCTGCCCTGGCAGGAAGCTCCCAACAGGAAACACTGCCTAATGGTCCCGCCCAGCGAGCAGGCCTGTCCCATCTCACACTGACCAGATTCCCAGTCACCAAGGCCGCCTCTCAGTCCGCTCCACTCCACAGGGCGGCTCTCCTGAGGATGTGCCAGCGCCACCTCCGGGCAAGATGCCCTTCCCTCTGTGTGGCTGGAATCCTTGCCTGTGGCTTTCTGCTGGGCTGCTGGGGACCCTTGCAATTCCAGCAGGTGGGCTCATTTGCGGGAGCGCGGCCACTGTGGGAGCCTTTGGGTGCTGAAAGCAGGTCACCTGGGGCGAGGGGAGAGCCAAACAGCTGACCACGTCAGCTTCGGGGTTTGCACTGGGCAGGGGAGTCCGCACTTGGGGTTTTGGAGGGTGACGTGTGCTCACTGAAGAGGAGTGGGTGTCTCAGTTCCACCTGCTCATCCGATGAAGCTGAACAGAAAGACACCAGTTTGTCCCAAACTGTGTGGGTTGCTCTTCTCCGCCCCTCCGTGTCTCTGAGTTCCCCCTGTCCTTCTTGGTCGGCCTCACCTACCTCCCTGCTCCTGTCTCCCTCTTCATCCGTGTCTCTCTCTCTCTTTTTTTTTTTTTTTTAAAAGACATGGGGTCTTGTTATGTTGCCCTGACTGGTCTCACACTCCTGGACTCAAGTGATCCTCCCACCTCGGTCTCCCAAAGCGCTAGGGTTACAGGCGTGAGCCACTGTGCCCAGCCTTGTCCATCTTCTTCTGTCTTGTAGAGTTGTCTTCAGACTTTGGAGCCAGAGACCGTGTCTTCCTACTTGAGCCCTGCTGCTCCCTTAAAAGGTACTTGTCCCAGTGTCTTCTCTCCTGGGGAAGTTTCTCAGGACTTTCAAGGGGCATCTCACCACTGAATCAGTGGTCTGGGATTTTTGGTGGATCCGATGGGAGAAGGTCAGAGAAGCTGCTGTCACCCCTGTTAATTAACTCTGTTACTTCCTGCCAAGTTGATAAAAGCTGGTCTGGGTGTTTTGGCCAAACTAGGGTCTTCACCCTAGCTTCTGTTAAATATCACAAGGGATTGGTCGCCGATTGGCTGGCCTGTCCTGCCCCATGGCCTCTGCTGAGCTGGCTGATTTTCAGGAGCTCTTGTGGTTTCTGGCTGTGGATGTAAATATTTATTCCTTCTGTGGGAAGCAGGATAGGTGCTGGCTCAGGCCCCCTCCTAAGGCTGTGGATTTCCTTATGATAAAGGTCTGTCCCCACTGCCCACAGGCCTGTGTCTGTGACCTTCTCCGGGTGCCAGCCCCCTTCCCAATAGGGCCATTGGTAACTTGACTAATGGCTGATGGGGCCAGAGGCAGATGGGCTAGTGGTGGGGGGAACGGGAGGGCATCCCCTCGTGACCTGGCTCTTTGTGGTCTAGGCCAGCTGCCTACTGATGAGTGCCTGGGGCCATGCTGGGGGCTGGATGCAGCCGAGGCTGTCTGGTTATCCCATAGCCTGGGTCCTTCCAGCTCTGCCCCTCCTGAAAGGCCGGGAGATCATTGCCCAGGGTCCCTGACCCTCTAAGAGCTCCCTTGGGAAAGGGCAGTGAAGGCCAGCCCAGGCCCCTGCTTCCCAGGAGACCACAGGGCTCCATTCACGTTCAATTTCCTGTCAGGGTACATGGCGTTACTCATGAAACACCTGTGCCCAGAGCAGGGTCCAGGAGGCAGGGCAGGGGCTTTCCCCTTCAGGCAGAGCTACCAGGTCAGTGAGAAGCTTGTCTTGATAGGGTGACCCAAAGGACATAATAGCCCAGCAGCTCCTCCCGGGCCCTGCCCTTTGCGTGTGCAGTCACTAACAGGGTCCAGCCCTTGGGGTGGGGGTAGCACGCAATGTCTTGACTTTGGAAGGCCACCCTTCCAGATCCGCCAGCACCTGTCCTGTTAGCTTGCCACTACTTGCTCTCTGGAACCATCGTCCTCTGCTCTCCCCTGCCCCTCCAGGCCGCCCTCCTTTCCCTGGCTTCCAGAGGCAGAGGCAGAGGCAGAGGCGGGCTGCAGGTGGCATCCTGCACCTGGAGCTGCTGGTGGCCGTGGGCCCTGATGTCTTCCAGGCTCACCAGGAGGACACGGAGCGCTACGTGCTCACCAACCTCAACATCGTGAGTGCCCCATGGGAGTGGCCTCCAGGGATGGCACTGGACCCTGCAGGCCCCCCACAGCCAGGGCTGGTGACCAATGTCTGTGGGCTGGTGTATCTGGTAGTCTGAATACTGTGGGTTAAACTCAGGTAGAATGGCTCCAGGCTCTTCCTCTTCTCCCTCCCCTGGGTGGAGGTCGGTGAGGTCCCACACCCCCTTCAGCTCCATAGCACTACGCTCACCCTGCAGCCTCTCCCTACTTGAGTCCCTTCACCAGGGACCACCCTCAAGCCTGGTCTCGTCCCCAGTATCCATTTGACCCCCAGGAAGCTCAGCTAACACGACCCTAGCAAACAGGGGTGTGTGTGCTGCTCACCCTGCCCTCTGCACCCCGACCCTGCCCTCTGCACCCCGACGCTGCCCTCTGTACCGCGACGCTGCCCTCTGTACCCCGACTCTGCCCTCTGCACCCCGACCCTGCCCTCTGCACCCCGACCCTGCCCTCTGCACCCTAACCCTGTCCTCTGTGTCCCGACCCTGCCCTCTGCACCCCAACCCTGCCCTCTGCACCCTGATCCTGCCCTCCGCACCCTGACCCTGCCCTCTCTCTGTTCTGTCATCCCCTACTCAAAGTGGCAAGGACAGGTCACCAGTCTGAAGTCTAAACAGAGACTGCTGACAAAGGAGATGCCAACCTTCATTTCTTGCTAGCACCTGAATTACCGTCACTTGAAAGCTGGAGAAGGGTGGGCAGGGAAGCACTACCCCCCAGCCGCCATCTCAGAAAGGCAAACAAGGCTGGGTGCATTGGCTCACACCTATAATCCCAGCGCTTTGGGAGGCCGAGGAGGAGGGCGGATGACTGAGCTTGGGAGTTCGAGACCAGCCTGGCCAACATAGTGAAACCCTGTCTCTACTAAAAATACAAAATTAGCCAGGCATGGTGGTGGGCTCCTGTAATCCAAGCTACTTGGGAGGCTGAGCCAGGAGAATTGCTTGAATTTGGGAGGCAGAGGTTGCTGTGAGCCAAGATTGCGCCACTACACTCCAGCCTGGACAGCAAGAGTGAAACTCCGTCTCAAAAGAAAAAAAATAAAGAAAGACAAACAAGCCAGCAAAGGCGGGTTGAACAGACCCCATGCAGCAAGAGCACACACACAACACACACAAAACAACGGTGTGCTAGGCAGCAAGGCGTTTCCACCACTGGAGGAGTTAATACCTTTAATACCAGATCGCATCCGTCAACTGCGTGCAATGTTGTCGGGCATGATAAGAAGAAACTCACAAAATTCATTCACTAAAAAAAGTTTTAAAATTCTTACTGGATATGGGGAACAAAATAGGAAATTAGCCTCAGCTGATAACTCCGGGTCCCTTTCCTGTCCCCTTGGCCTGCTCTGGAGGAGGGGGCTGCTCTGCCATCCCTCAGAAAGTTGGCCCTGAAGGACATTTCTGCTCCCAGCTGCAGGCAGCTCCCTCTGTATGTGGGGTACCTAGTGCCACTTTGCCCCCAGCCTTGGATCTGGTCATCTATTTTTTTTGATAGGGAGTCTCACTGTGTTGCCCAGGCTGGAGTGCAATGGTGCAATCTCGACTCACTGCAACCTCCACCTCCTGGGTTCAAGTAATTCTCCTGCCTCAGCCTCCTGAGTAGCTGGGATTACAGGCTCCTGATACCACGCCTGGCTAATTTTTTTGTATTTTTAGTAGAGACAGGGTTTTGCCAGGTTTTCCAGGCTGGTCTCGAACTCCTGACTTCAAGTGATCTGCCTGCCTTGGCCTCCCGAAGTGCTGGGATTACAGGTGTGAGGTACCACACCTGGCCCCAGCCTTAATTTAGAGGACGGGCTGGTGCAATACCAGTTGGCAACCATTACTATTGTGACAGATATACCCAGCTGGAGAGGGAGGAGAGAGCCTTTCTTGAGAGGGGGCCAGGAAAGTTTCCTGGTGGGAGGAGGGGACCCTCCTGCCAGTCATGAACATGGGTCAGATTCAGCAAGCAGCGGTGGAAGAGAACGTGCTGTGGGCAGGGAGCAGAGATGGGAAAGCCTGGGCTGAATGTGGGTTGAGAGGAGGAGCGTTTGATCGGAATAGCCAACACGTGACTGTCTCTGCGCTCCCACCCCTTGCTTCGGAGTTTCTTTTCCTTGTGTTATTTGGCCTTCCTGAGCCATGAGCTGAGGAGCACTAGAGCCACGGCTGACAGGGCATGGCATTTCAAGCTTCCCACACATGCTGATGGAGCAGCCTCTCCAGCCCTTCACACCTGGGGTGCCTGGGAGTCAGCAGCTGCCTGGCGCTGGCAATGCCCACCGGATGGGTTACCTCTCTCATTTGCCCTTTCACAGGGGGCAGAACTGCTGCGGGACCCATCCCTGGGGGCTCAGTTCCGAGTACACCTGGTGAAGATGGTCATTCTGACCGAGCCTGAGGTAGGCATGGAGTTGGAGCTTGGCACCCCATATCGAGTGTGAAACCCAAGTCACCGCGTCTCCTTCCTCTTTAACTTCTTCCGGGATGCCCCGATCAGCATGGGTCACAGAAGGGCGTTCAGACCAGCTGCCCTCCCAGCTCCACCCAGCACTTAGCACAGGCTGCCTGACCGCTTCTCTGAGCCTCAGCTGTCTCATCTGTAACGTGGGCTAGTCACAGGGCTGTTGTGGGGACTAACTGAGAAACACGCCAACCGCAGTCAGCACGCTACCTGGTAGGGGTGTCCTAAACAACAGGCTTTGCTGTTGATCCTCAGAGTGCCCCCAATATCACAGCCAACCTCACCTCGTCCCTGCTGAGCGTATGTGGGTGGAGCCAGACCATCAACCCCAAGGACGACATGGATCCTGGCCACGCTGACCTGGTCCTCTATATCACCAGGTAGCCGAGCCTTCTGATGGGGTGCTGGTCAGCCAGCCTGGGAAGGCTGCACCCTTGGCCTTCTCTCCAATGCAAAGGTGACCCTGGGGCAGGCACGTGCCTTCGCACCACCCAAGTGACTGTTTTCTTTCACGGAGGTTTGACCTGGAGTTGCCTGATGGTAACCGGCAGGTGCGGGGGGTCACCCAGCTGGGTGGTGCCTGCTCCTCAACCTGGAGCTGCCTCATTACCGAGGACACCGGCTTCGACCTGGGAGTCACCATCGCCCATGAGATTGGGCACAGGTATGCAGCCCCACCAGCTGTCCCCGGGCTCTGGAAGGAGCTGACCTGGGCCCCCAGGGTGGGGGTGGTCTTGGCAAGCAGTGGGTCTTTGCAGAGTTCTCCAGAGGGGCCTGTACCCCTCACCCCAACAGAATCAGAAGGGTGTGAGGGCAGGGGACTCTGATACTGTTTGATTAAAAGAAACTTTTTTCCCCCAAAAGAGGAGCAAAACACATTTAGCAAGTAGAAAATAACTTCTGTAGAAAATTCAGGTAAAGAAAAAGCAGGCTGTAAAAATTATCTCAAATCCCACCATTTAGAGATAATGTCTCTTTACTTTTTGTATTTAATTTCAGTGTCTTCTTTACATACACACACATAATTTTTTGTTTGCAAAATTGGGTTTTAGTTTGGATTCCCTGAATTAAAGGAAAATTGTGATTATGCTATGCATTGCTTTGTTACCTGCTATTTTTTTTCTTGCTAGGGTGAGCGTGGGATTGACCTGTTCTTTATGTAATAATATATCCCAAACATTAGCCCAGGTCTCTTACAGGTGTGCACCATAATTTATGTGATTAGTCCCCTCTTCTTGGGTGTCTAGGTTGTCTGAACATGTTTTCCTGTTGTGAATATTACGCATTTTTTTCTTTTTTCTTAAATAGAGACAGGGTTTCACCATGTTGGCCAGGCTGGTCTCGAACTCCTGACCTCAGGTGATCCGCCCGCCTCGGCCTCCCAAAGTGTTGGGATTACAGGTGTGAGCCACCACGACCAGCCAATATTATGCATTCTTGTGGGCAAACCTTCATTCCTACCTGTAACCATTTAGCTAGGGTGATGGGTTTCTTTTCATTTCTTTGGTTTTTTAATTATGAAAATATACCCAATTGTTGGAAAAATTCAAACAGTACAGAGATTTCTAAAGTAAAAAGTGAATTTCCACCTTCCTTGCCCATCAACCTCCACCCAATCCCTTTCAACCCCTCTGAGCCTGGGAGGGCCGAGGCAGGGTTCCCGGGTGTGGGGCAAGGCAGGGCTCCTTCTCCCTCAGAGGGAGCACAGTTTCCTTCTGCCACTGTGATGCAGCACAGGTGAGCCCCAAAACTGGGGGTTAGCCTGGGGGGGTTCTTGGCTTTTTTTTTTTTTTTTTTTTTTTTTTTGAGACAGAGTCTCACTCTGTTGCAAGGCGCCAGGCTGGAGTGCAGTGGTGTGATCTTGGCTCACTGCAACCTCCGCCTTCCGGGTTCAGGCAATTCTCCCGTCTCAGCCTCCCGAGTACCTGGGACTATAGGCACTCGCCACCATGCCCAGCTAATTTTTGTATTTTTAATAGAGATGGGGTTTCACCATGTTGGCCTGGTTGGTCTCGATTTCTTGAACTCGTGACCTGCCTGCCTCGGCCTCCCAAAGTGCTGGGCTTACGGGGGTAAGCCACCAGCCCTTGGCTTTACCCAGGAAGGAATTCAAGAGGGAGCAGGTGGTGGTAGACAGCAGCTTTTTACTGAAGCAGCAGTGGGCAGAGTGTACAGCCCAGCCTATAGCCCTTTTGAAGCACTGTGCCCAAAAGAGCAGCTCCAATGCTGGGCTGTAGTTCTATTTATACACACTGTTAATTATATGTAAATTAAGGATTTAAATGTCTGCCAGATTATGCAGACATTTCTAGAAAAAGGGGCGGTAACTTCTGGGTGTTGCCACGGCAATGGTAAACCGACAGGGCATGGAAAGGATCTTCCCACTCCTTGTTTTAGTCAGTCCTCTGGTCCGCTGTCCATTTCCTACAGCGCCTGTGCCCGGCCTCTCCCACACCATTAGGAGTCCTCCATCAGCTCTGCTTAGGGGAAAGCAAGCTCTGCTGTGACCCTTTGGAAATTGTCCCCCCCCCCCGCCCCCGGCCTAGGAATGCAAACAATGGCCAAGGGCAAGCACATTTTCATTGAACCTTTAAATGTCGCTTTCCTCTCAATAGGTGAATTTCATCTCTGTAAACAGTCCCCACCTCTCTGCAGACTCATAACACCATGAATTAACGTGGCTTGCACGTTTTTAAAGCCCTTTGATATTTATTAGCAAAAGATGCGGGAGCCACGCTGCTGGCGTTCCCTTCGAGGGGGAAACTGAGGCAGGGCGCACGCGGCCCTCTCCACTGTGCCCGGTGAGCAGGTGTCGGAGTCAGGGGTCGACCCGGGTCCGAAAACTCGCTGGCGCTGCGGCGCGAGGGCACCGGGCCCCAGACGCGGCGACCTCGACCCCGCCCGCGCCCGCCGCCTGAGCGCAGCTCCTCCTGCCCGCCAGCTTCGGCCTGGAGCACGACGGCGCACCCGGCAGCGGCTGCGGCCCCAGCGGACACGTGATGGCTTCGGACGGCGCCGCGCCTCGCGCGGGCCTCGCCTGGTCCCCTTGCAGCCGCCGGCAGCTGCTGAGCCTGCTCAGGTAGCGGCCGCCCCGCGGGAGGGGCGCGTGAGCCTCCAGTTCGCCCGCGGAGCCGCCCGCGCCACCCCGTCCTACGTCCGTCCCCACTCTGCACTCAGCCCTCCTTCCTGTCCCCGCTCCAGACCCACCACTCCGTCCGCCGCTGCACCCAACCCCTGCGCCCTCCCCGCTCTGTCCCACCCTCTGCGCCCAAACCCTCCGTCCACCTCCCGCCCCCACCCCTCCGTCCACCCTCTCCTTGCGCTCACCCCCTGCGTCCTCCCTTGCCCCGTTGCGCCCTCGCCTTCGTTCAGACCAATCTGGGCACTCACCCTTCCGGCCACTCCCATCACACCCCCTAACCCCACATCCACTCCCCTCTCTCCCACTTGCCTACACCCACCCTCCATCTCAGGCCCCTGCACCCACCCTGTTCCTTCGCCTACCCCTCAATTCGCCCGCTTACCCTTTGTCTGCCTCCACCCGCGCCGACCCCACTCTAGTCGCTCCATCAGCCCCACACCCTGATCTCCCCCGCCCACCTACGTGTCCCCCTGCGTCCCCTTCCCACCGATCGCAGCCCTCCCCGGCCTAACCTGCATGTGCCCCATCCCACTCTGACCGGTCCCTTGTTGCCCATCCCTCTGCTGGCCACCCACCTCTGCGCAGGTCAGAGTCTTAGTCTTGGTCCCAGCCCAGAGCCGACTCTTGGTGGGCGGCGCGGGCAGAGAACTCCTGTTCCCACTCACAAAACGCCACGTCTCCAAGTCTCCACTCCCGCGCCCACTCCTCCCTCCCGCCTCCTCCCGGTGTACACCCCGGGCCTGAGCCGGGGCCTTGTCGCAGCGCAGGACGGGCGCGCTGCGTGTCGGACCCACCGGGGCCTCAGCCAGGGTCTGCCGGACGCCCGCCCGAAGCGCAGCCTGGCCTCTACTACAGTGCCGAGGAGCAGTGCCGCGTGGCCTTTGGCCCCAAGGCTGTCGCCTGCACCTTCGCCAGGGAGCACCTGGTGAGTCGGCCAACAGTGGCCTGGGGTTGGCAATGCGGTCCCTTGCACCACCCAGCTCACATCCCTGCCACGTGCACCGTGAGCACCTGCTGGGTGCCTTGCGGGGATGTAGGGTCAGGGTGGCTTAGTTTAAGGCTGTCTGTGGCCTCTAGAAATTATTTAAAATGTTTGAACAAAAGCCCCAACATTTTTGTTTGACTGGGGCCCACAAATGATGTAGCTAGCCCTGGCAGGGCCCCTGTGCCCAAGGACTCCTGGCTGAGTGAGGACACCAATCTTAAACAGTCACCAAGGACTTCCCATCTGTTGGGAAGTCCTTCCCATCTGTTGGGGTTGGAGTCAGCCTGGATGGCTTCCTGGAGGAAGTGGCCTCCAAACCGAACCCACAGCAGAAATGGGGCTGGCAGGGAGAGGGGAGATGAAGGAGAGCAGGCACTCCAAAAGACAGACTTCCTCACAGAGTTGCCTAGGACACTCATGGCTCCAGTCACTTTTGCCTTAGTGGGCCCCTTCCTCCATAAAAAATATTTAGAATTGTATTTTAATATTCGTATACAATGTGTAAAGTTTATGTGTTATTATAAATACAAGTCTTTTTTTTTTCTTCTTTAAGACAGGGCCTCATTCTGTTGCCCAGGCTGGAATGCAGCAGCACGGTCATAGCTCACTGTGGCCTCAACCTCCTGGGCTTCGCCTTGGAGTAGCTGGGACTACAGGCACATGCCACAATGCCCAGCTAATTTTTAAATTTTTTTTGTAGAGATGGGGTCTTCCTTTGTTACCCAGGCTGGTCTGACTCCTAGCCTCAAGCCATCCTTCCTGGGCCTAAGCCTTCTGCGTAGCTGGGATTACAGGTGTGCATCACCACGCCCAGCTAAGTTTTGTATTTTTAGTAGAGACGGGGTTTCATCACGTTGGGACACCAGGCTGGTCTTGAATTCCTGACTTCAGGTGATCTACCTGCCTCCCAAAGTGATGGGATTACAGGCATGAGCCACCGCGCCTGGCCTCTTCTGTCTGATTTTTAAAAGAAATTAAGACATTTCCTTGGTGAGCTTCAAGTCGGTGACAAGTTAAGAAAGCAAAAAAGGAAAAAAAACAAAAACCACGTTTCCATGGGCCCCCAAAAGCGTGACAGGCCCTGGTCACGATTCCGGTTCCCAATCTATGCATCGGTCAAGCCTTTTCCTCTGAGGGCACCAGTGCCCACAGCGCAGGGTGTTGGCTGTGTCAGTGTGTCCTGTGGTCTGGGAGGGACAGTTAAGGCTGGACACTGACCTGGAAGGCCCTGGTGGCCCCTGAGCCTGCCACCTGTACACCCTCCTAGGATATGTGCCAGGCCCTCTCCTGCCACACAGACCCACTGGACCAAAGCAGCTGCAGCCGCCTCCTCGTCCCTCTCCTGGACGGGACAGAATGTGGTGTGGAGAAGGTCAGAGCCAAGAGCGAATGAGCGGGCTCCTGTGAGCATGTGCACGTGGGTGCCTCCAGCCAGGCTGCCCTGTTCCTAGGTCAGGAGGCAGGAGCCGTGTGGGGCAGAGAGCCCTGGTGACTGTCCTTTGGGTTGGTGGTCTGACCTCTTTCCTTCATCATGTGCTCCCATGCAGAATGGGAGTGTGGGCTGCCTGCTTGTATGGGGGTGCCCCTGGGTTTTGGGTTCCTATGCGTGGCGTCCCAGTGTGAGGGTCCTTGTGATTATGGAGTGCCTAGGGGTGGGATCCCTGTGTAAGGGGACCCTGTGAGTGTTGAATCCCTGTTGGTAATGTCCTTGCGTGTGTTGGGGAATCTTTATGTGTTGAGGGGTCCCTGGGGAGTTCTATGTGTATATGTTGAGGGTCTCTAGGTATTCGGGGATCCCTGTGGGTCTGGAGAATCCATGTGGGTGGCGTATCTGTTTGTGTTGGGGGATCGCTGTGTGTCAAGGGGTCTCTGGGGGATTCTATGTTGGGGGGTCTTTGGGTGTTGTGGGGATCCCTGTGGGTCTGGGAGACTCCATGTGGGTGGGGTCCCTGTGTGTGTTGGGGGGGTCCCGGTGGGTGGTGTCCCTGTGTGTTGGAGATCTCTGAGTATGCTGGGGGAGTCCCTGTATGTTGGGGGTTCCTGTGGGTGGTGTCCCTGTGTGTGCTGGGGGTCCTGTGGTGGGGTCACCATGGGACGGGAGATGAAGCTTTCTTGCCTTGCAGTGGTGCTCCAAGGGCCGCTGCCGCTCCCTGGTGGAGCTGACCCCCATAGCAGCAGTGAATGGGCACTGGTCTAGCTGGGGTCCCCCAAGTCGTTGCTCCCGATCCTGCGGAGGAGGTGTGGTCACCAGGAGGCGGCAGTGCAGCAACCCCAGGTACCGCAGGGAGGGGTGCTCTTCCGTCAAGGAGGGTGGGCAGGTGGGCACACCACATTCCTCAGTTGAAGGCAGTGTTTACCCTCCTGTCTCCTGGGCATTTTCAGACCTGCCTTTGGGGGGCGTGCGTGTGTTGGTGCTGACCTCCAGGCCGAGATGTGCAACACTCAGGTAGGCCTGTTGCCTGGGGCAGGAGGGGCAGCTGGTGGCACTGGGCCTAGGGGGAGCCCAGGTTCACACCACAATACATTTGTGTTTCACACTAGGACACATTTGAGAAGGACATTGGGGCCAGGTGAGGTGGCTCATGCCTGGAATTCCAGCACTTTGGGAGGCCAATGTGGGTGGATCACCTGAGGCCAGGAGTTCAAGACCAGCCTGGCCAACATGGTGAAACCCCGTCTCTACAGAAAACACAAAAATTACCAGAGTGTGGTGGCATGTGCCTGTAATCCCAGCTACCTGGGAGGCTGAGGCAGGAGAACAGCTTGAATCCGGGGGGGGGCGGAGGCTGCAGTGAGCTGAGATTGGGCCATTGCACTCCAGCCTGGGGAACAGAATGAGACTCTGTCTCAAAAAATAAAAATGAAAAAAGAGACAGAAGGACATTGGAGCCCAGTTTATAAACCAGGCCAGTCCTGCCGACAGCCACAGAGTCCCTGAGGCATCCCGCCTCCCTCCCTGAGTGCCACGTTGCCCTCCAGAGCACATCTCTGCAGGGAGAAACTCCCGGCTAGGAATGCAGTGCCCAGCTGCGTGGCTGCGAAGGAGTCTTTTATTTATAAATTGAGGTGACATTTGCGTAGCCTAAAATCAACCATTTTAAAGTGGCAACTCAGTGGCCTTTAGTACGTTTGCAAGGTTGTGCAAGCTCCATTTTTTTTTTTTTTTTTTTTTTTTTTTTTTTTTGAGACAGAGATTCACTCTTGTTACCCAGGCTGGAGTGCAATGGCACAATTTCGGCTCACTGCAACCTCCGCCTCCTGGGTTCAGGCAATTCTCCTGCCTCAGCCTCCTGAGTAGCTGGGATTACAGGCACGTGCCACCATGCCCAGCTAACTTTTTGTATTTTTAGTAGCGACGGGGTTTCACCTTGTTGACCAGGATGGTCTCGATCTCTTGACCTCATGATCTACCCGCCTCAGCCTCCCAAAGTGCTGGGATTACATGCTTGAGCCACCGCACCCGGCCTGCAAGCTCCATTTTTTAAAGCAACTGCCAAACCATTTCCACAGTTTCCAGTACTCTGGAGTAAACCCTGTCCGATAGGCCATCACCCTCCATTTCTCCCAGTCCCGCCACCTCGGGCCGTTGGTCTCCCTTCTGTCCCTGTGGATTGACCTGTTCCGGACATGCCACGTCTGTGGCACCAGAGGACAGGTGCACTTCCTGTCTGCCTTCCTCCCCCTGCCAGCCATGTCCTCAAGGCTCCCCTGCGCTGCAGCCTGCGTCAACGTCTCATTCCTCCTTCCGGCTGAATCATCTTCCACGGCAGGGATAGAGCACATTTGCATCCAGTCATCTGCTGATGGACATTTGAGGTGTTTCCACCTTTTGGCTCCTGTGAACAGAACCATTATGAATGTGCTCATATGTGTATGAATCCCTGTTTTCAGGGTTTTTGTTTTGTTTTGTTTTGAGATAGAGTTTCGATCTTGTTGCCCAGGCTGGAGGACAATGGCAAGATCTCGGCTCACTGCAACCTTCCCCTCCTGGGTTCAAGTGATTCTCCTGCCTCAGCCTCCCAGGTAGCTGGGATTACAGGCACCTGCTGCCACACCCAGCTAATTTTTGTATACGTAGTAGAGACGGGGTTTCACCACATTGACCAGACTGGTCTTGAGCTCCTGATCTCAGGTGATCCATCCACCTCAGCCTCCCAAAGTGCTGGGATTACAGGCATAAGCCACTGCGCCCGGCCTAATTTTGTATTTTTAATAGAGACAGGGTTTCCCTATGTTGGTCAGCTGGTCTGGAACTCCCCACCTCAGGTGATCTGTCTGCCTCAGCCTCCCAAAATGCTGGGATTACAGGCGTGAGCCATTGTGCCCAGCCCCCTGTTTCCAGTTCTTTTGGGAGTATCGGAAAAGTGAAATTACTGGATCATATGGGAATGCTGTTTTACTTTTAGAGAAACTACCAAACCATTTTCCACGTGCCTGAACCATTTTGCTTTCCCACCAGCATTGCACGAGGGTGCGTTTCCCCACATCCGCCGCAGCACTTCCTGTTTTCTGTTGTTTTTCTTTTCTTTTCTTTTTTTTAATAAATACAGGGTTTCCCCATATTGGCCAGGCTGGTCTTGAAACCCTGACCCCAGGGGATGCACCCGCCTCGGCCTCCCGAAGTGCTGTAATTACAGGTGTGAGCCCCGGCGCCCGGCCTGTTTTCTGTTTTTTGATTTTGGCCATCCTGGTGGTGTGAGACGGTGAAAGATTCCTTTTACATTGAGTTAAATTCTGCCCCCTGCTTGGATGGCCCTGGGCATGGGTTTGGCCCTGGCTGTATGGCAGTTCTGCATGTGATGAGACCCTCCCTTTCCTCCTTCCCCAAATGGACCTCCAAGACCTCTCCAGACCTTGAGGGGAGGGTGTTTGGCTGGAGCACAGGGTGGTGCGATTTCATGGAGGCAGCATGGCCAGCCTGGCTGCCCAGGGGGTCAAGTCCGATGATCTTCTCTCAGCATGCCTGCCTGGGTGCAGAGGCTCTGGTGGTGAGGGCTTTGCTTCTGGCTGCCTGCCTCCCTTGGTCACCTTTCTCTAGGTGGGCTGCCTACGGAACACACGTCCTCATCCCCATTTGATCGAGTCTGGGCCTTAGAAGCAGAGGCTCTGAGCATAACGCTCTTTCCCGGCTTTCTTCTTCGTTGCTGCCCGGTGTTCTTTACCGATTGTCCAGAGTTTTCCCATCGAGAGAGAGGCAGGAGCTCTTGTCACTACAGTTTACAGGGCAGGGAACCGAGGCCCGGCCTGGAGCTGAGGCCACACCCACATCTTGATCACACTGCAGAGTGCCGAGCTGCCTCCCAGGGACAACCCCCACCCCACCATCCCTCTCCTCTGCCTGTCCTCTGCCCCCTCCTCGCCAGGCCTGTGAGAAGACCCAGCTGGAGTTCATGTCGGAACAGTGCTCCAGGACAGACGGCCAGCCATTGCACTCCTCCCCTGGCGGCACCTCCTTCCACCACTGGGGCGCTGCTGTGCCACACAGCCAAGGTGGGGTCTGCGCAGCTGGGGTTGGGGAGGAGCCAGCCCTGGAGACCCTCGGACTGGGCAGAGTCATGCGGGGTTGGCCTCCCATCCCTCTAGCACTGGGCAAGGGGGGTTCAGGCTCTGGCTTCCCACAGGCCATGGCTTACACTGTGGGCAGGTCTCGCTGGTAGATCAGGTGCTGACGTCCCATCTCTGCGCCTCAATTTCCCATCTGTGAAATGGAGATAATAGCAGTAACTCCCTCCCTGGTCGCTACAGGGATTCAGGGAGATAATCAGGGAAATGCCAGATGTGGCCCTTGGTTCATGATCCTTTGTTTTGAGACAGAGTCTTGCTCTGTTTCCCGGGCCGAAGTGCAGTGGCACGATCTCAGCTCACTACAACCCTCTGGGGTTCTAACGATTCTCATGCCTCAGGATTCTGCAGGATTATGCCACCATGCCTAATTGTTTTGTATTTTTAGTAGAAATGGGGTTTCACCATGCTGGCCAGGCTGGTCTCAAACTCCTGACCTCAGGTGATCTGCCTGCCTCGGCCTCCCAAAGTGCTTGGGTTATAGGCATGAGCCACTGTGCCCGGCCTTGGTTCATAATTCAATGCCATTAGTTACTAGATTAGATTAGGATTGTGATTAGGATTATTGCCTTAGGAGGCAGGATGGGGTGGAGGGGGGTATAGAAACCCTTGCCCCAAATGCAAAGGATGAAGCTGGGTGGGGGCTGGCAGGCCTGCCCCTCCTGCTTGGTTCAGGACCCCTTGTTCACTCTGCCCTCTCAGGGGATGCTCTGTGCAGACACATGTGCCGGGCTGTTGGTGAGAGCTTCATCATGAAGCGTGGAGACAGCTTCCTGGATGGGACCCGGTGTGTGCCAAGTGGCCCCCGGGAGGACGGGACCCTGAGCCTGTGTGTGTCGGGCAGCTGCAGGGTAGGCACGTGTGGACGTTGGCGATGGCCCTGAGGCCTGCCTGTCCTCTCAGAAGGCTCCTGGGGGCAGGTGGGTGGGTGCTGGCCGGATGGAGGGGCAGTGCAGTCTGCGGGAGGGGTGCTGACTTGGCGTCGGCCTGGGGTAAGGGCCGCACGGTGACCTTGGGCGAGTCACTGAGCTCTCTATGCTTGCTTCCTGGGTAGATGTTGGGTGCTACAGAAGTGTCGCTGGTTTTGTGGATCCCAGAACTTCAGAGCTGGCAGGGCTGTGGTGTTGGTGAGGCCAGCACCCTCCAGTGATACTGGCCCTCTGTCCCTCCCTTTGCATAGACGTTTGGCTGTGATGGCAGGATGGACTCCCAGCAGGTATGGGACGCATGCCACGTGTGTGGTGGGGACAACAGCACATGCAGCCCCCGGAAGGGCTCTTTCACAGCTGGAAGAGCCGGAGGTAGGTGGCCTCCCTCAGGGCCCTCCAGGGACCACTACAGCCCCCAGCCTGGGTGCAGGGGCCGCTCAGGACACAGGGCAGGCACACTCACTCGGCCCTGGATGCCTCCTGCTGTGCCAGCTTCTCCTTCCCCACTTCGCCGCCCTCCTGTGGCAGGCTCAGATTTTGGCCTTGATGCTGCTGGGACTGCGGTGCCTCAGTCATGGACGCTCACTGTAGCTGTGCTGTGGAAAAAAAAAAAAAAAAAAAAAAAAAAAAAGAAAGAAAGAAAGATGGACATTGAGCATCTGTGGCAGGCCAGCCTCTTCTCTCCTGCTAGAGATCCCACTGGGAGGGACAGCAGTGAATGAGAGGGATGGTAGTTACACCTGGAAAATCCTTGACTTTTGTTTATTTATGAGGTCAAAAATCATTTGCAAATGCCAGTGCTTCTCTGGTCAGCAGAGACTTGAACCCTCCCTCTGGCGTGCCCCACCATGCTCGAGAACTTTGGCTGTGGTCCCTTCTCTGGCCAGGGCAGAGCCTTGGCAGATGGTCCTCCGGCCTGCTTTAGATTGCCCCCGTTCCAGGGGACCCACTGCTGCTGGAGGCGGCTTCGTGGCGTGGTTAGCTTTTTCCCGACCGGCTGAGATCGGCTCCCTTTGCCTTTGATGTGCTGGCTGTGAGGTTCCCCGCATGTCTCCTTTGCTTCTTCCTAGAATATGTCACATTCCTGACAGTTACCCCCAACCTGACCAGTGTCTACGTCGCCAACCACAGGCCTCTCTTCACACACTTGGGTGAGTTGACTGGAGGACACCCACTCAGTTAGCTAGGCCACAAAGGTTCCCAAGATGCCCTCACTTCTGACATCAGCCGCAAGTTAAGGGGGTTCCCCAAACCACCCTCAGGCTTGATATTTGACTAGGAAGACTCCCAGACCTCACTGAGCGCTGTAGCACGTGACTGTGGCTCCTTCCAGGAGAAAGACACGGGTTAGAATTGTCCAAGGGAGGGCTGGGCACGGTGGCTCACGCCTGTAATCCCAGCACTTTGGGAGGCCGAGGCAAGCGGATCACGAGGTCAAGAGATCGAGACCATCCTGGTCAACATGGTGAAACCCTGTCTCTACTAAAAATACAAAAATTAGCTGGGCATGGTGGTGAGTGCCTGTAGTCCCAGCTACTCGGGAGACTGAGGCAGGAGAATTGCTTGAACCCAGGAACCCAGGAGGTGGAGGTTGCGGTGAGCCGAGATCGCGCCATTGCACTCCAGCCTGGGTAACAAGAGCGAAACTCCGTCTCAAAAAAAAAAAAACAAAACAACAAAGAATTGTCCAAGGGAAGAGATGTAGGCAGAGTCTGGGAGGGTCCAAACGGGAGGCCTGCGTGTCTCAGGGACGTGACACCCTTCCAGCCTTGGGAAAGTGGCCATATGCATGGAGTATTGCCCACACAGAAAGCCCACCAAGTTTTTACTGGGGTTTGAGTGCAAAGACACGATTGATTCATTGGCCACGTGGATACCTTCAGTCTCCTGGCGACCCAAATTCCCCACCCTAAATCACATAGTTGGTCTTTCTGTGCGGCCAGCCCCTGCCCTAAAGGAAGACACTTGTGACTGGTGTGACCTGTGTTTCCTCTTGAAGCCGACAGCAAAGCCTGGGCTTCTCTTTGGGCAAAACCCGCTTCTTTGCTATTCAGGGGCACAGTGGGTCTTTCTTTCTGGAAGGTGCCTGCACCTGACCTTTGAAGCCCTGGCTGCCGGCACTTGGCGTGGGGTCCCTGAGTCCTGAGCCTGCTGAGTTCCATGCATGAGTGCACTCAGTCAGGGAGCAGGTCATGGCACTCACCAGGTTGTGGAAAGGCGCAGAGCCTCAGCTGTGGGGAAGCCTCTGGGTCAGATGCCTGCAGCTCCCTAGAGGAGGGCTGGGGATCCCGGGAAGCAGGGTCACGGACTTGGGCTGTGAGGAGGGGGAACTCAGCTCCACACGACTAACGGGGCTGGTTCCCCTGCAGCGGTGAGGATCGGAGCACGCTACGTGGTGGCTGGGAAGTCGAGTATCTCCCCTAGCACCACCTACCCCTCCCTCCTGGAGGATGGCCGTGTTGAGTACCGAGTGGCCCTTACCGAAGACCGGTTGCCCCGCCTGGAGGAGATCCGCATCTGGGGACCCCTCCAGGAAGATGCTGAGATCCAGGTTGGCAGGAGAGCCTCGGGAAGGCCGGTGGGGGCGTCTTGGGGGCTACGGCTGCTCGCCCGTTTATTCATCCATCCATTCCCTGATTTGTTCATTCACTCCTTCCGTGGTCATTGCAGGGAACCCACTGTGTTGGGGCCTGTGCTAGGCAAAATGTAGCTAGTATAAAATATAACTGGCTTCTCCAGGGGCTTAGGGTCCCACAAATGAATATTAAAATGTGCCTGTGCCCAGGGCCCATGGGAGAAGGCCCTGCCATTCTGGGATCAGGTAGCATTGGAGGGCCCCATGCAGGGGTCAGGGGCTTCTGGGAAAGAGTGATGGAGCTCAGGTCTGAGGTGAGCAGACACTTCTGGGCCAAGCAGGGAGGGAAGCATATGGCTGAGGGAACCGTGTCTGTGTGGGAGGGATGAAGGGCTGTGGGGACATTAAGGCGTGGATGCAGGTGCAGTGGCATCTGGGGAGCAGGCCTTGCTGCCGAGGAAGCTGAGAACAGATGTGGCTCTCACTGCTTCTTTGGGGCAGGGTGCATGGGAACTGGAAGGCTGCATTCAGGCATATCCTTGGTGACGTGTGCTCGCCCGTGTGTGTCCCCTCTGGTACTTTGCCGAAGAAGGCACGTGGAGCGTGGACAGAAATGAGCGCTGCTGAAATAGCCCTGAGAACATTTATAGCGGGGCCCAGACTCAGCAGCCCCTGCTGGCTGCTCCGGCAGCGCCCTCCAACCCTACGGTTCCTCCCCCAGATCCAACCAGCCTCACCCCTTCCCTGCCCCCAGTAGGCTCCCTTCCTCCCCTCCCCTTGCCTGGGCCATTGTCTCCAAACTCTGGCTGCAAGTGGCTCTCCCAGCATCCTCTGCAGTGTGTAAAAAGGCAGATTCCTGGGCCCTCTGCCTCCTCCCTGAATCAGGACTTCCCTGCGTTGGGCCTCAGAAGCCCCACTGTAACCAACACAGGCTTGGGGAGTGGCCACACGTGGGCATCAGGGGCAGGTGCTAAGTGTCACCTCGCCCCGGGCTCTGGCCTCCAGGCCGGTGTCTTTCTTGGGCTAGCCTTGGGCGCAGGACCCAGTTACCCTCCTGAAGAGCCACAGGCCCAGAAACCTGCTGAAAGTCTTCCCAGTGCTCTCCGGGCCAGGCCCGAGCTAGCAGTCGCTTGCAGGGCCCCAGGGATCCGGTTTCTTCCTACCGACGCCCGGGCCTCAGCTCTGGTCCAGAAGCACTTTCTGTGCTGGCCCTGTCCTATCCCTTCTTGGCCTCCTTAGCCCAGCCTAAGGTGTCTCACAGGCATATGTCAGTGACTCTTCTTCCCAGGGTCCCCAGCCCTCCTCTAGGGAGCCGCAGGCATCTGACCCAGCTTAGGGAACTCTTCTCTGTGCACCCAAATACCGTATCCTCTAACCTATCAATTGCTTGCCAATTACCCACCCCCAGCCCCCTATCCCAAGCCACTGAGAGCTCCTTGAGGCCCAGCCAGTGTCCTGTGCACTGTGCTGCCCTCAGAGCCTGACACAGGTCAGTGTCGGTGATTGCCTGTCATTGTTTTGGTTTTTGCTGTTTTTTGAGAGAGGGTCTCACTGTCGCCCAGGCTGGAGTGCAGTGGTGCCGTTACAGGTCGCCGCACTCTCCACCTCCTGGGCTCAAGTGATCCTCCCACCTCAGCCTCCCAGGTAGCTGGGACTACAGGCATGCCCCACCATGCCCAGCTAATTCTTTAACTTTTTTATAGAGATGGAATCTCACTCTGTTGCCCAGGCTGGTCTGAAATTCCTGGGCTCAAGCGATCTGCCCGCCTCAGGCTCCCCAAGTTTTGGGTTTACAGGCCTGAGTTACCATGCCTGGCCAGTGATTGCTTGTTGAATCAAAGATGATAGGGATGGAAGAAGTTGGGAGGCTTCCCAGGGGAGGGGGCTGTGACAGTGACCCTCAGGGAGCCCACTGGACAAGGCCTGAAGCTCTTTGTCTGTGTGTGCAGGTTTATAGGCGGTATGGCGAGGAGTATGGCAACCTCACCCTGCCCAGACGTCACCTTCACCTATTTCCAGCCTAAGCCACAGCAGGCCTGGGCAGTGGGCCGCTGTGCGCGGGCCCTGCTCGGTGAGCTGTGGGGCAGGTGAGGCCTGGGGAAGGCTCGCCCACAGCACGGCTTGCCCCTGCAGGCGAGGCGGCCTAGCCCTCCCTCTTCCCTCCCAGGGCTGCGCTGGGTAAACTACAGCTGCCTGGACCAGGCCAGGAAGGAGCGGGCGGAGACTGCCCAGTGCCGAGGGAGCCAGCAGCCACCAGCGTGGCCAGAGGCCTGCGTGCTCGAACCCTGCCCTCCGTAGTGAGTGTGGTGCTGTCTGTGCAGCTCCAGTGGGGAGAGAGGTTTCAGCTGGGGCTGCTGGGCTCTGCCTGCTGGCCTGTGGGGCCCATGCGGTGTGGGCTGGGCTGAGCTGCTCCTGTGCATGCTCTCACCACCCCTGCCCACAGCCCTGCGAGGGGGGCTCTGTGAGTGTCCCCGTTCTGCAGCTGAGGACATTGAGGCCGGGGGCAGACATGGTGATAATGTCAGCCCAGCAGGACCCACACCTGCTGCCACCTGTCTGGGCCACCACCTTGAGCTCAGGTGCTCATGGTGAGACGGAGGTGATCGCTTACCTGGAGGGTTGTGGGAGACTTGGGGAGCTCCTGGTGCAAAGCCCCTAGCGGTCACCACACCTGGCAGGGGCACACCATTAGGGATTAGGCCATCCCTGCTGGCTGCAGGACTGGGGCAGTTGCCCAGCAGCATGTGATATGGACGTCCTCATAGGCATCTGTCCAGCAGCTGGGGGACACCTGGAGAGGCTGGGCTGGCCTTAGTGGCCAGGGCTTGTCCCAGACCAGGGGAAGTACGTCAACACCCACCACCCCATCATCCCCAAGCCAGCCTGGGATCTGGCCAGGGCCCCGACACTCTGTCTACTTCCTCAGCTGGGCAGTGGGAGACTTCGGCCCGTGCAGCTGCCTCCTGTGGGGGTGGCCTGCGGGAGCGGTCAGTGCGTTGCGTGGAGGCCCACGGCAGCCTCCTGAAGACGTTGCCCCCAGCCCTGTGCCGAGCAGGGGCCCAGCAGCCAGCCGTGGCAGAAACCTGCAACCCCCAGCCCTGCCCTGCCAGGTGAGCATGGGGCTGGGTGGGGCCGGGACAGGGCCTCCCTGGGAGAGCTCAGCCCTGCTCTCAGCTCCAGCCTTTCTGAGCATCCCCTCCTCCTGAGTTCTCTGACAGGACCTCTGCATCCTGGGTGATGGGCAGTGTCACCCGGCAGCTGTAAGTGCCGGCATCAGTTTCGTACTACCCAGGAGAGCCTGGGCCCATTGTCTCCCTCTCTGAGCTTCCGAGCCCCTGCTCTGAAATGAGGATGCCGACCTGCCTGGGGTGGGGGCGGGGGATGGGGACTGCAAGGATGAGGTCAGAATGTGAAGAGAGAGCAGGAGATGTCACTTCCTTGTCGCCACCATCTCCACGGTGCCCATGTGACTGCATCTCACCCCCTCAGTGTCCGAGTTGACAGTGGCTTATCGTTCTACCTTGCCACTACCTGGCTGGGTGACAGGGCAGGTCCCCGCCTCTGTGGGCTTGTTTTGTGACCTGTCTGGTGGGAGGGGATTGGTCTGGATCATTGGTGGGCTCCTTTCCCCACTCTCTTATCTGTGGCAAACAAAGCAGTCACCACTCTTCCCTGCTGAGGCCAGATGGGGCCCCAGAATCCTTTTCAACACAGCTCTCCAGGCAGCCACTCCTGCTCAGGGCTGACTCACAGCTGAAACCTGTTGGCTCCCCTTGAAACTGGTGATCCGATTCCACATGGCACCTGTTTCCCTGCACAGAGTCAGTAATTGCCTGGCTGGAGGTCGGCCTCTGCCTCTGGAGAGTTTCTCTCTCTCTCTCTCTCTCTCTTTTTTTTTTAAGACAAGAGTTTTGCTCCGTCACCCAGCCTGGAATGCAGTGGCATGATCTTGGCTCACTGCAACCTCTGCCTCTTGGGCTTAAGCAGTCCTCTTGCCTTGGCAGGTGTGCACCACCAAAGCCCAGCTAATTTTCGTATTTTTTGTAGAAAGGGGATTTTGCCATGTTGTCCAGGTTGGTCTGCAACTCCCAGGCTCAAGCAATCTGCTCGCCTCAGCCTCCCAAAGTGCTGAGATTACAGGCATGAGCTACTGGGCCCGGCCAGGAATGGGTTCTGTCTCTGCACCCTGGGTGCAGGTGGGGTGCCTGACCCTCGAGCAGCGAGGGCTTGTTGAGTGGGAACCTGATGGCTGATGAATGAGGAGCTCAGCGCTTCAGTGAGAGACCCTGAGCTTCGCTTCTTTGTGGGGCCCCTCTTTGGGCTCCTGGACATTGGGGAGCCGATCCTCTGCCCCAAGCAGCTGGGTGGCAGAGGCAGGGCCTGATGACTGTTCCATGCCATCCTCAGGTGGGAGGTGTCAGAGCCCAGCCCACGCACATCTGCCGGTGGAGCAGGCCTGGCCTTGCAGAACGAGACCTATGTGCCGGGGGCAGATGGTCCTGGAGGCTCCAGCGACTGTGGGGCCTGGCTCCATAGACGAGAAGCTGCCTGCCCCTGAGCCCTGTACCAGGATGTCATGCCCTCCAGGCTGGGGCCATGTGAGTGTCCTGGACATGAGGGTGGCTGGCTGCTGAGTCCTTTACCTGGGTGTGAGAATGAGGAGCACCAGTTGCCAGTGTCCTCCGGGCCAGAGCCCAAACACCGTCCCTCTGTGGGAACGCTGCCTGAGTGCTACTCCTGCTCAGAAAAGAAGCTTAGAAAGAGTCGTCAGGGTCCCGAGGAAGGTCCTGTTCCCCTTGCAGGCCAGGCTGAGAGAAGCATCTGAGGAGAATTTAATGCAGTTGCTGCACAGAGAAGTGCTACCAGGCTCCCGCCTAGCGTCCGGGGCTGGAGGCTGACTGGCCTTGCTTGGGTGCTGGCAACCCTTGCCCCTCATAGCTGGGGGGGATTGCAGGGCCAGGCATGCTCCCACATCCCACTCATGGTCCTCAGCTCTCGGCCAGGCCCACAGTGAGCACTCATGCTGCTGAGGAGCCTGCAAAGGTGGTCACGTAGCGAGGACACCTGCCAGGAGACCGGAGAGCCAGTCTCACCAAGGGAGCAGGGAGGGAGTCCCTGGCATCCACAGGCCACTTCCTGCTGTCTCCCTCTCCTGAGAAAATCGGGACAGAGTCGCTGGGTGCTCGGAGGAGTCCCAGACCCACCAGCTTGTCACTGTTCCTGCAGCTGGATGCCATCTCTGCAGGGGAGGAGGCTCCCTCCCCATTGGGCAGTACCAGGACGGGGACAGGAGCTGCACCTGTGTGGACCCCTCTGGCGGGGCCATGCTCCGTCTCCTGCGGGCGAGGTGAGGACCCCCTAGGACGCTCCTGGGGACCAGCACTCACGGTAACTCTCTCATGCACTTGCATCTTGCCGCCTTCTGAAAGCATTTGAGGTAGATTACGGAAATATCCAGACTGCATGGGAGCACACGGAAATATACAAGGAGAATGGGCATAGTCACTGACAGCCACTTCAGATGTGGGCGTTGACTGGCTGGAAGGAAGGAAAAGATGGTAATGCTGGGCGGTGTGGCACCAGAGCCATTCCTCACGGCCCCGGCACAGCTGCCAGAGGGGGCCCCGATTGATGGCCTGAACAGAGAAACCTTAGCTTTAAGATACACAGTGTTCTTCGGTTTTCCCAATCTTGTTTTATTGCAGTAAAACACACATATCATAAAATTGGCCATCATAACCATTTCTACCTGTGCAGATCAGTGGCATCAGGCACATTTGCACTGTGGTGCAGCCATCACCACCAGCGTCTCCAGAACGTCTCCAGTTTCCCAAACGAGCTCCATCCCTGTGAAACACGAGCTCGCATTTCCCCTCCCCAGAATGGCAACCTCCGTTCTCCTTTCTGTCTCCAAATTCTGTGACTCTAGGGACCTCGTCGAAGTGGAATCATATAGTATTTGCCTTTTCGTGACCGGTTGATTTCACTGAGCGTGCTGTCCTCACAGTTCACCCATGTTGTAGCTTGTGTGAGAGTTTCATTCTTAACACAGGGAAAGATTCCATTGTGAGCACATCCCACACGTCTACCCGCTCATTCATCCGTGGACGCTCGGCTTACTTCCACACTCTGGCTGTTTTGGATAACGCTGCTGTGAACATGGGTGGGCAAGCATCTGTTGAGTTCCTGCTATCAGTTCTTTTGGGTGTATACCCTGAAGTGTGGTACTGGTCAGATGAGAACTCAATGTTTAATTTTTGAGGAGCTGCTGGACTGTTTTCCCCAGTGGCGGCACCATTTTACATTTCCACCAATGGTGCATAAGTGTTCCAACATCCTCCCATCCTTGCTAACACTTTTTATTTCTGTGGGCTTTTATTTTTATTTTTTATTTTTATTTTTTGAGACGGAGTTTCGCTCTTGTTACCCAGGCTGGAGTGCAATGGCGCGATCTCGGCTCACCGCAACCTCTGCCTCCTGGGCTCAGGCAATTCTCCTGCCTCAGCCTCCTAAGTAGCTGGGATTACAGGCACACGCCACCACGCCCAGCTAGTTTTTTGTATTTTTAGTAGAGACGGGGTTTCACCATGTTGACCAGGATGGTCTTGATCTCTCGACCTCGTGATCCACCCGCCTCGGCCTCCCAAAGTGCTGGGATTACAGGCTTGAGCCACCGCGCCCGGCCTTTTTTTTTTTTTTTTTTTTGACAGTCTCACTATGTTGCTGAGGCTGGAATGCAGTGATGCGATCTTGGCTCACTGCAACCTCTACCTCTGGGGTCCAAGTGATTCTCATGCTTCAGCCTCCTGAGTAGCTGGGACTATCGGTGCCCGCCACCATGCCTGGCTAAATTTTTACTTAAAAGAGACGGGGTTTCACCATGTTGGCCAGGCTGATCTCGAACTTCTGACTTCAGGTGATCTGCTCGCCTTGGCCTCTCAAAGTGCTGGGATTACAGGCTGAGCCACCACACCTGGCCTATTTCTGTGGTTTTTATAGTGGCCATCCTAATGGGCTTAAGAAGATACATCATGTTCTTAAACTAAAACCCTAACCACTTGCTCAGTAAAATGGCAGCCTGTTTAAAACTGAGACTAGGCTGGGCGCAGTGGCTCATGCCTGTAATTCTAGAACTTTGAGGGGCTGAGGTAGTTGGATCACAAGGTCAGGAGTTCCAGACCAGCATGGCCAAGATGATGAAACCCCATCTCTATTAAAAGTACAAAAATAGCTGGTTGTGGTGGTGCACCCCGGTAATCCCAGCTACTTGGGAGGCTGAAGGCAGGAGAATTGCTTGAACCTAAGAGGCGGAGGTTGCAGTGAGCCAAGATCATGCCATTGCTCTCCAGCCTGGGCAACAGAGTGAAACTCCATCTCAAAACAAATAAATAATAAACAAATAAAACCGAGACCAAAAAGAGATTTCTTTTCTTTTCTTTTTTGAGACAGGGTCTTGCTCTGTCACCCAGATTGGAATGCAGTGGTGCAATCATGGCTCACTACAACCTTCACCTTCTGGGCTGAAGCTATCCTCCCACTTCAGCCTCCTGAGTAGCTACTATGTCCTGCTAAATTTTTTTAAATTTTGGGCAGAGATGGGGACTCCCTATGTTGCCCAGCCTGGTTTCCTGAGCTCAAGCGATCCTCCTGCCTCAGCATCCCAAATTGCTGGGATTACAGGCATGAGCCACTTTGCCCAACCAAGAGAGTTCTCTCTCTTTTCTTTTCTTTCTTTTTTTTTTTTTTTGAGACGGGGTCTCACTCTGTCGCTCAGCCTGGAGTACAGTGGTGCAATCTTGGCTCACTGCAACCTCCACCTCCCAGGTTCAAACAATTCTTGTGCCTCAGCCTCCCAAGAAGCTAGGACTCCAGGTGTGTGCCACCACACCTGGCTTAATTTTTTTTGTGTGTGTATATATATATATTTTTAGGAGAGATGGGGTTTCACCATGTTGGCCAGGCTGGTCTTGAACTCCTGACCTCAGGTGATCTCTGCCCTCCTTGGCCTCCCAAAGTGCTGGGATTACAGGCGTGAGCCACTGAGACTGACCTATTTCTTTTGAGGATATTCCTAAAGGAGAGACTTGAGAAAACTGGGCCTAATTACATCATTGTGATAGACACAAAAAGAGATTTTCCTACTGCAATTCTTTTTTTTTTTTTTTTTGAGATGGAGTCTTAGGATCACCCAGGCTGGAGTGCAGTGGCGTGATCTCGGCTCACTGCAACATACACCTCCTGGGTTCAAGTGATTCTCCTGCCTCAGCCTCCCGAGTAGCTGGGATTACAGGCACATGCCACCACACCTGGCTAATTTTTGTATTTTTAGTAGAGATGGGGTTTCACCATGTTGGTCAGACTGGTCTTGAACTCCTGACCTTGTGATCCACCTGCCTCGGCCTCCCAAAGTGCTGAGATTCCAGGTGTGAGCCACCGCGCCTGGCCCATATTGCAATTCCTATAATGCCTCTCAATAAACAATAATCGCTGCCATTTGTCAAGTATTGACTATGTGCCAGGTGCTTTTCTGTCTCCCCTTTTATAAATATAAATGACTCTGCAAGGTAGATGCCATTATCTTTTTTTTTTTTTAATGTAAGATTCAGAGAGGGTGAAGTCAGTTGTCTGAGATCACACAGCTGGTAAGTGGCAGAGCCGGGACTGAAACCCAGTCAGGCCTCACGTGCTAGAGCCGCCCGGTGAGACCAGGTCGTGCTCCTTGCTGAGCCTGACTCTTGGGGCTCCGGGTCTCTGCTTCATCCATGCAGGCCTGATGAAGCTGCGTTTCCTGTGCATGGACTCTGCCCTCAGGGTGCCTGCCCAGGAGGAGCTGTGTGGCCTGGCGAGCAAGCCTGGGAGCCGGTGGGAGGTCTGCCAGGCTGTCCCGTGCCCTGCTCGGTGAGTGAGGGGAGCAAGACTGTGCGGGGGACGTCTGGCCTTAGGGTGTGGTCTCCTACAGAGTGCTGGCCTTTTCCCTGCAGGTGGGAGACCCAAGCCTTGGCTCCATGCCCGGTAACCTGCGGAGGGGGGCGGGTGCTGCTGGCTGTGCGCTGTGTCAGGCTGGACCGTGGCCGCCCTGTCCTCCTGCCTCACTTCAAGTGTGGGCCTGAGCCCCGGCCCAGCCCCCTTGAAGTCTGCAGCCCAGAGCCCTGCCCGGCCAGGTGGGCCCTCTTCGCAAGGACATGGGAGGTTCTAGGTCTGCCTCCTGGCTCTTCCCTCATCTCCAGGCCCAATCTTTTGACCCTCAATGTCCTCACCAGTGGGAGCAGGACGTACTGTGCCCACAGAAGACTGTGGGGCTTTAACGAAGGGATGAAATGTATGTGAAGTACATGCTAAGTGCAGTGAGTGTAAATGCATGCTAGAAGCAATGTGTGTAAAGTGCATGGCACGGGACGCTGCGGGCGCACGTGGTTGCTGGTGCCTTTCTTCATCGCCTGCTCTTTATGGAGCACCGAGGCCCCGGGGCTCTCCTGGAGCTAGGGGACAACGCAGCAGGGAACAAGGCAGACAGATGTCCCTAACCTCCTGGAGCAAATGCAAGGGGAAAGAGGGACAGATAATTAATAGGACAGAGGGGGAATACAGTTTGATGTATGGGGTTCAGTGCGATGCAGCCAAACGCAGCGGCGGGAAGGTGGGGAGGGCTGGTGGGGTGGGCTCTGGGGCGGTGGTGCTGGGATCACTGTTGGAGACAGACATGCAGAGCCCTTGGGTGCCCTGATCCTACCCCCACTGTCTCTGGGATACTGACACCTGTGCTTTGCCCTCACCTTTCCCTTCTGTAAAATGGGTTTGTCCAAATGTTCTGTCCACTCTGCCAGGCCTCTTAGTGAGGACACAAGGGAGCCTCCAGAAAGAGACCCTCTCCAGGCCCTTCCCAGCTTCCTGTCTCTTCCTGGTCTGGGGAAATGGCGGGGAGACCTGGCTCCCCTGGGTTCACAGGCCCTGGGGCTGTTTGGCGTCCCTGACTTCAGTTTGCTCCAGATGGCGGTACAAGCTGTCGGCCTGCAGCGTGAGCTGTGGGGGAGGGGTCGTGCAGAGGATCCTGTATTGTGCCCGGGCCCATGGGGAGGACAGTGATGAGGAGATCCTGTTGAACACCCAGTGCCAGGGGCTGCCTCGCCCAGAACCCCAGGAGGCCTGCAGCCTGGAGCCCTGCCCACCTAGGTGAGTCAGCGGTGACGGGAAGGGCAGTTCCTGGTGTGTGCAGATGGCAGGCTGGGCGCTGTGGTATGCACCTGTCATCCCAGCTACTTGGAAAGCTGAATCAGGAGAACCACTTGAGTCCAGGAGTGCAAGTCCAACCTGCGAAGCATAGCGAGACCTCATCTTTAAAACAGGAAGGGGCTGGGCACCGTGGCTCATGCCTGTAATCCCAGCACTGTGGAAGGCTGAGGCGGGCAGATCACCTGAGGTCAGGAGCTCGAGGCCAGCCTGGCCAACATGGCGAAATCCGATCTCTACTAAAAATACAAAAATTAACCGGGCGTCGTGCCGGGCACCTGTAATCCCAGCCACTCGGGAGGCTGAGGCAGGAAAATTGCTTGAACTCTGGAGACAGAGGTTGCAGTGAGCTGAGATTGTGCCACCTCACTCTTGCCTGGGTGACAGAGTGAGATTCCATCTCAAAAACAAAACAAAGCAAGACAAAGGTGGCCCAGTAGCCCAAGAGCCAGTCTGTGGGGAATAGGGCTCCCTGGCAGGCTATGCTACGTGGGAGGCGAAGTTTAATGCGGGCAGGGTGTGGTGTAGGGAGGCCTGGGGGACAGATGAGGCCGCATTTGAGCAGAACCTGAGGCTGTGAGCACCAGCTCTCCGCTGTGGAAGATGGGAGGGATGGAGGTCCCCGCAGGGAAACACACAGCCACACAGGGACACAGGGACAGCTTCGTGCTCTAGTCTGTGGGGTCCAGAGCCCAGTGGTTAAGGGTGAACATTCACCCACCTCATTCACTGTTCTTTAATGGTTTCTTTTTGTAGGTTTGCATTTTTAATACATTCTTTTCTATACCATACAAAAACATCCAGAAAAGAATGGAATAGACATCCATGTTCCAGCACTCAGATTTCACAGATAGCACCCTACTGCCACGTTTCCTTCCTTTACTGTTTTGTACCCTTACTTTTATTTATTTAGAGATGGAGTCTTGCTCTGTCGCCCAGGCTGGAGTACAGTGGTGTGATCTTGGCTCACTGCAACCTCTGCTTCCCAGGTTCAAACAATTCTGTCTCAGCTTCCTGAGTAGCTGGGAATACAGGCACCCACCACCATACCCAGCTAATTTTTGTATTTTTAGTAGAGACAGGGTTTCACCATGTTGGTCAGGCTGGTCTTGAACTCTTGACCTCAGGAGATCTGCCGACCTCAGATTCCCAAAGTGCTGGGATTACAGGCGTGAGCTATTGTACCAGGCCAGTCTCTAGTTTTAAATAAAACCCAATGACAGGTAAGATTTCCCTTAAATTTAGGCTGGAAGTGGTAGTTCACGCTTGTAATCCCAGCACTTTATGAGGCTGAGATGGGTGGATCATTTGAGCCCAGGAGTTTAAGACAGCCTGGGCAACATGGCAAAACCTCGGCTCTACTATAAATACAAAAATTAGCTGAGCATGGTGGTGCACGCCAGTACTCCCAGCTACCTGGGAGTCTGAGGCAGGAGAATCACCTGAACCTTAGGAGGTCAAGGCTGCAGTCAGCAGAGATGACATCACCACTGAGCTCCAGCCTGAGAGAGTGAGACCCTGTCTCAAAAAAAAAAAAAAAAAAAAGATTTTACTTAAATGTAAATCGTGTACTAATCTGTGATTTATTTAGAGTATGTTACAAAGTAGGGACCAAGGGATTCTTACACCAGCATCTGTTGAACAAGCCCTGATTCCCCCAGGCTGCTCCTTGCTCATGTTGTACATTAGAATCTATGTCTAGGCTTTCTACCAGATTTTTTTCTTTTCTTTTCTTTTCTTTTCTTTTTTTTTTTTTTTTTTTTTTTTGAGATGGAGTATTTGTCTGTTGCCCAGGTTGGAGTGCAGTGGTGCGATCTCAGCTCACTGCAACTTCTGCCTCTTGGGTTCAAGCAATTTTCATGCCTCAGCCTCCTGAGTACCTGGGATTACAGGCATGTGCCATCACGCCCGGCTAATTTTTGTGTTTTTAGTAGAGATGGGGTTTCTCCATGCTGGCCAGGCTGGTCTTAAACTTCTGACCTCAGGTGATCCACCCGCCTTGGTCTCCCAAAGTGCTGGGATTACAGCTGTGAGACACTGCCCAGCCTTTTGGTAGCTCTCCCGTGGCCCCGAGCCCAGACAGGAGGGGCTCAGTGGCTGCGCTTCCCATCTTCCCTGGCCACGGAAGCTGTCTAGGCAAGTGTCCAAGGACCTAAGCGTGGAGAGGGGCCCGCGTGGGGCAGTACCGTCTCTGGGGAGGCCCAGCCTCTCTCTGGGGTCTTCTCATTCTGCAGGTGGAAAGTCACCTCCCTTGGCCCATGCTCAGCCAGCTGTGGCCTTGGCAGTGCTAGACGCTCCGTGGCCTGTGTGCAATTCAACCGAGCCCAGGATGTGGAGGTGGACGAGGCGGCCTGTGCGGCTCTGGTGCGGCCCCAGGCCACCGTCCCCTGTCTCAGTGCTGATTGTACCTACCGCTGGCATGTTGAAGCCTGGACGGAGGTGAGCACAGTGGGCGCTCGGACTCCCTGTGGGGCTGGGGCGGGCATCAGCTGTGGCTCCTCATGTGTTGGGGAGCCTAGGGGGCATGGGCTCGTGTGTCCCCGGAAAGGAAGAAGAGAGCTGGGGCCTGCTGGGAGAGGCACCTAGAGGCAGAGGGACAGAGTCCTAGAGACCTGTGGGAGCTGGGCTTAAGAGGCCCTGGGGTTTGGGGACGCTGGAAGATGAAATGCAGGCCACTCAGCTCCACACGGATGAGGGAATGCCAGCTGTGCCATGCTCCCGGCAGGGCAGGAAAGACAAGGGTAAATGGGGCTGGGGCTCCCCCCTAGAGTGGCTCGCTCATGGTGTGGAGGGGACACAGGGGCACAGCAGAGAGAGATGAGCCCACAGCCCCGCAGGCCTGTTTGCTCTAAGGCTTGAGAGACAGAGAGACCATGAGGGTGACAGCAGCCCAGGCTTCCCTTCTGGCTCCTCCCACCTACGTGAGCCACAGACCAGGGGCCCTCTCTGAGCCTCAGTTTTCTCATCTGCAGAATGGAGACACTTACCCGCCTTCCAGCTTGTACAAAGATTATGCTGGATCACTCCTGGCCCGAGGTTGCCACTGTCCTTGTCGCCTTCTGGCAGGGTCAGCCGTGACTCCTCCTCCCCTCTCCCGGCAGTGCTCTGTTTCCTGTGGGGACGGCATCCAGCGCCGGCGTGACACCTGCCTGGTACCCCAGGCCCAGGCGCCTGTGCCCACAGCCTTCTGCCAGCACTTGCCCAAGCCGGTGACTGTGCGTGGCTGCTGGGCTGGGCCCTGTGCGAGACAGGGGATGCCCAGCCTGGCACCCCACGAAGAAGCCACTGGTCCAGGACAGACCACAGCCACCCCTGCTGGTGCTTCCTTGGTGTGGTCCCAGGCCCAGGCCCTGCCCTTCTCCCCAGCTCCCCGGCCTTGGTGGCTCCTGCCTGGGCACCAGGAAAGCCCAGCGCAGTCCAGTTATGTACTTTCCTCCCTCCTGTCGGGTGGCTGCTGCGGGACGGGTGGGCAGCCCTTCCCTCTGGGAGGGGCTGGCACAAGTACTTGGTCCTTGGGATGCGTGCTTGGTGCCCAGGATCACGGCTGGCCCTCTTCCTCTCTGGCAAAGCAGAACCTCCCCACCTTTAAAAAAAATTTTTTTTTGGAGACGAAGTCTCCCTCTATCCCCCGGGTTGGAGGGCTGTGGTGTGATCTTGGCTCACTGCAACCTCGGCCTCCTGGGTTCAATCGATTCTCCTGCCTCAGCCTCCTGAGTAGCTGGGATTACAGGTGTGCACCACCACACCCAGCTAATTTTTGTATTTTTAGTAGAGACGGGGTTTCACCATGTGGGTCAGGCTGCTCTCGAACTCCTGACCTCATGATCCGCCCATCTCGGCCTCCCAAAGTGCTGGGATTACAGGCACAGAACCCCCCTTTTACTACTATCAAGGGGAAGTAACTTGTGAGCCCCCGGCCTCTGGGCTGCTCTGCATGTACCCCTCTTGCCGGAGCATCTGGAAGCAGCTCTGTGCCTTGAAGGTGACGCTCTGACCCATGCAGCCCCTGTCCCTGTCCTGAGAAGACTTCCAGCTGGGCTGTGGAGGACAGGGTCCACGCCTACCTCCTGGTCTCCTTCCTCAGCTTGGAAGTCCCGGAGCGTGCCCTGTTGGGACTCCCGGAAGCGCTGCTTACCTGCCTCCTGCCCCCTTTTCAGGTGCCTGTGGCAGGCAGCTCCTTGAGCCAACAGGAACCATTGACATGAGAGGCCCAGGGCAGGCAGACTGTGCAGTGGCCATTGGGCGGCCCCTCGGGGAGGTGGTGACCCTCCGCGTCCTTGAGAGCTCTCTCAACTGCAGCGCGGGTATGTCTAGGGCCACGCAGGCAATGCTGCCAGTGACGGGCCCTGCCAGGAGCCAGCATAATGCTGGCAGGGGCTCCACGTGCATTCCCGCCTTTAGTTTGCATCCCATCTCATGACTGGGGCATGATGATCTGCATTTTACAGACAAGGAAACTGAGGCTGGGAGAGATTAAGTGACGTGCCCAGTTACTTAGAGTCACACGGCCAGCAGTGGGAGAGGCGGGACTTGAACTCAGTTCAGTCTGCCCTGGAGCCACTCCTCTGCTGGCCAGGCATGGGAGTGCTGGACCCTCACCACCCTGCTGCTTCCTAGGGGAGATGTTGCTGCTCTGGGGCCGGCTCACCTGGAGGAAGATGTGCAGGAAGCTGTTGGGCATGACGTTCAGCTCCAAGACCAACACGCTGGTGGTGAGGCAGCGCTGCGGGCGGCCGGGAGGCGGTGTGCTGCTGCGGTACGGGAGCCAGCCCACCCCGGAAACCTTCTACAGAGGTATGGCCCAGCCTTCTCCACCTCCTCTGGGTGCTCTGGTCCTGGCAGGAAGGCTGAGTGGGTGCTGCTGGGGACGGGGCCAGTGCCAGTGGGGCAGTGGAAAGATATGGGAGAGAGCCACCTGAGATGGAAGGACCTGGGGTTGGCCAGTGTCAGCCTGCACATGCCAGGGAGTCACAGGATGAGTGCTACATCCCTCCTCTTTGGGACCTTGCAGCAAGAGGGACGGATGTAGGACGTGGTCCACATCCTCAGTTGGTCCCTTGGGCTGCTTGCCCCATACGCACCCGCCCCGCCTGCAGCCCGCCAGCCTTTCAAGGCCCTTTAGGGTTTTTGTGGGAGCCACTGTCCCTCAGCCCTGTTCTGGGGCACTGGTGGGAGCATATACAAGCACACTTCAGGCAGAGGATGGCACCTCAGGGACCCCTGCCTTGCCCACGGCTCCCTCGATACCCTCTGATAGCCCTCTCAGGTGCCCTGGGGGACTTGCATCTTCCAACAGCCCGAGCTGGCCCAGGTTGGCTTTCCTAGCCAGTTCCACAGGTTCCTTGGCTCCCCCAGGTGTCAGGGGCTTAGCGGCAACAGGGCTTAGCCTCTGCGGAGACCTAGTGTGCCGCCTCCCTGCCCCAGCACCTGCCCGGGCAGAGAGCTGTGCATGTGCCTCAGTATACAGGTGCTGCTAGGCCCTGCTGAAAGGCCATGAGCCCACTGTCACAGCCCACGCTGCTTCTCACTCTCCGGCCCCGCCCAGCCCACATAGCCACCTGCCTTGAAAGAGGTGCAGGTATAGGCAGGTGGGGGCTCCAGTGCGCTCTGAGGAGCAGCGGTGGCCGACATGGGTGGAGCCTATCCTTGGTGCCAGATTCAGTGTTAAACACTCCTGCACGTGTGATGTCATTGAGTCCTAAAGACCACCCTGCTCAGTGCATGCTTTTGCTTTCTTCAGTTACAGAGGAGGGAACGGGAGCCCAGAACATTTAGCCTTCGTCTAAAGTCACTGGGCTCAGCTGGGTTTGCCTGGGAACCCCTATATTGACCACAGTGCCATGCTGCCCTGCACTGCTCCCTGGCTGTGAGTTGTCCCGGCCTCTGGCACCAGTGGTCAGTCTGGGTTCCTATGTCCCTTATGTCCCACCTGCTTCCCCTGCAGAATGTGACATGCAGCTCTTTGGACCTTGGGGTGAAATCGTGAGCCCCTCACCGAGTCCAGCCGCGAGGAATGCAGGGGGCTGCCGGCTCTTCATCAATGTGGCTCCGCATGCCCGGATTGCTATCCGTGCCCTGGCCACTGACATGGGCACTGGGACTGAGGGAGCCAATGACAGCTACATTTCGGTGAGACCCCACATGGGGACTTGTGCTGTGATTCTGGACAGCTTTCCTTAGGGGGCGCGGGGCTAGGGGTCCCCTTTCAGTTTATTTCAGACTAAAACCCTCAAAATCGTTAGTGAAAGAATGGGAGAAGAGAGCTTCCTCCGCATATTCACCAATAAATGTGTTTTGAGCTACCTGTAATAGTAAAATGGTGGTTCACATCTGTAATCCCAGCACTTTGGGAGGCCGAGGAGGGCAGATCACTTGAGGTCAGGAGTTCGAGACCAGCCTAGCCAACATGATGAAATTCTCTCTCTACTAAAAATACAAAAAGTAGCAGTGGGGTGGTGGCGTGTGCCTGTAATCCCAGCTACTTGGAAGGCTGAGGCATGAGAATCACTTGAACCTGGGAGGTGGAGGTTGCAGTGAGCCCAGATAGGGCCACTTCACTCCAGCCTGGGGGGCAGAGCGAGACTCCAACTCAAAAAAAAAAAAAAAAAAAAGAAAAAAAAAGAAAGAGATAGTAAAGACTATTCCTGATGTAGACCGACAGCTAACCCAGGACTGAAGCGTAATTTTACAGGCTGATGTAACTTGGACAGAAGAGCATCCTGCACCCTCCCCAAGGTTTCTTGTGTCCTGGGAGAACTGTTCTGCAGGGTATCAGCTTTCCCAGAGGAGGCAGCCTGGCCTCTGCTCTGGCACCCCGACTGCGTGTCCTTGAGGAAGTGACGTAACTTCCCTGAACCTTGGTTTCCTGGGTAGAGTCATAGTGTCCTCCTAGCAGGGCTTTGTGAGCATTAAATGTGATCCTGAATGTACGAGCCCTTGCACATTAAGGCTTCTGTGAATGCTAATTATCACTTGTGACTGGTCCTTCTGGGCTGCCCCTTTCCCCTCAGATCCGGGACATCCACAGTTTGAGGACCACAACATTCCGTGGGCAGCAGGTGCTCTACTGGGAGTCAGAGAGCAGCCAGGCTGAGATGGAGTTCAGCGAGGGCTTCCTGAAGGCAAAGGCCAGCCTGCGGGGCCAGTACTGGATGCTCCAATCTTGGGTGCCAGGGCAGGACCCTCAGTCCTGGAAGGGAAAGGAAGGAACCTGACGGTTGTTGAACATCTATTATGTGTCTGGCCTGCCCTCTGGTCTCAGTGCTTTCCAATTCTAACTTTCTCCAATCTTAGAGATCTACTTGAGAGTCCTCTCCAATGTCCAAAAGGCTAGAGGGTTGGAGGTGGGGACTTTGGAAAGGCAGCCCCATTTCCTCGGGTACCAATAAATAAAACATGCAGCCTAACCGGCGTTTTTTTCTTATAAGCAAGCTGTCCAGACCTGGCTTGAAAACCCATCCCACGGCAAGGCAGGGATTAGCTGACAGCGGTTGGCTCTGTCTGATCTGAACAAGCCCCTGGACACCTCTAGTTATCTTCTTCCTATCCAGGGAGAAAAGCCCATCAGGATTGCACTCCGAGGCTGGCGTAGTTGCCAGCTCCCTGCGAAGCCCCACCCGTGTGTCCCGGTGTAAGGCTTTGATCACTAAGGCGTCCGCGCGCCACCAAGCCCCGCCTACTATGCTAATACGAGCCCGCCCACTCGGGGGAACCTCGCCCCCTATGCTAATGAGCGCCCCCCTCCTTCGGGAGCCCAAGGCCGCTGCCTGCTGGCCCCGCCCCCTATGCTAATATGCCCGCCCCCTCGGGCACACCTCTCCCCTGCCTGCGAGCCCCGCCCCGTACGCTAACGAGCCCCCGCAACGCTGCAGGCTGCGGGGCCCGCCCCCTATGCTAATGAGCACCCGCCTCTCCTCGGGCGCTCCCCGCAGCAGTCTGCAAGCCCCACCCCCTATGCTAATGAGCAGCCGCCTCCCCTCAGGCGCATCTCGCTGTAAAGCCTGCAGCCCCGCCCCCTATGCTAATACGCTGTTTCTCCCACAAGGCAGCGCGCAGGCTCAGACGCGGCTGGCTACCGATCCCTTTGTGAGGGCTGTGAGCTGCGCCGGACGGCCGTACCATGAGCGGCTCGGGCGGGGCAGCCGCGGCGTCTGCCAGCTCCGCGCCGCCCGCGCAGGAAGAGGGCATGACGTGGTGGTACCGCTGGCTGTGTCGCTTGTCGGGGGTGCTGGGGGCCGTTTGTGAGTACTTGCTCGGGAAAGGGGCCGGCCCCGCCGCGCATGCGCGCCTTGCCCCGCCCCGCGCGACCCCACGGGAAGGACCCGCTGGGTCGGGGGTCTGCCGGGCATCTCCCGGGGCGGAGGAGTGGCGGGGCCACCTGGGGTCCCATGGCTACCGGCTAGGGCCTGGGCACCTCGGTACCAAGGGCCGGGCTGATGCTCCTGGGACCATTCCGGGAGGGACCAGAAACGCCAGGGCGGGGAGAGGGGAGGGGTGGCGAGTCGGGGGGCCGCCGGCCTGGGGCATGGGACTGAGCCCCTCCCCTCCCCCTCCAGGGACTTTCATTTGACTTTTCAGTGATGCTTACCGGGCGCACGCCCACCTGGCCCGTAGTAAGGGTCCACTGTTGACTTGGGCGTAGGTGAGGGCAGCCACGTTGCTAACCTTTGGGCGAGGATTGTTTATAAGTCGAGCTGGTGCATGGCCAGCTACATTTGTGACTGGAAGCCACTGGGCGGGAGTTTGCTGAGGGTCAGGTGGTGTCAGAACACAGGTGGCCCCAGGGGACGGTGGGGCAGTGAGCTGAGGGCCGGGCCTCTCCCTGGGTCCTCTGTCCGCTGTCAGCTCTCTCCCCCATTGCTGCTGCCTTAGCTAGCCTGCCACTGGCCTCCCCTTCTCTGCCCTATCCCAGACGCAGACTCTGACCTCAGGCTCCCGGGGAAGCCGGGCTCTTAGTGCAGCCAGGAAAGGACAAAGAGAGAGGCAGGTGTGCTCCAGGAGTGAATGGAGGCCATACAGCTGGCCTTTCAGGAAAACACAAGTCTGTCTGAATGTCTGTTCTCAACCTTGTGAATTACTGGACTGGGCAAGGTCTTAGAGAATGTCTGTCGAGGACATCTGCAGGGTTTAAACGGGGTCTGCCTGGCACAGAGGGCTAGATCTGGGCCTGAGCAGGGCAGACCCCATCGGCTCTCCTGCCAGAAGGACCACCTTTTCAGGGTCACCTTGGGTTCCAAAGCCTTTCCAGGTGGGTGGAGGGTGGAAGAAGGTTGAGGGCGGAGGAAGGTTGAGGCAGGAGGGTGTGGGGCGAGGAGTGTGCTGCCCTCACTAGGTGCCCTATGCAGAGGCAGCTGGATACTGTAGGGCAGGCCCTGCCCCCATATCACGAAAAGACCCTGAGTTTGTCACCGCGGTCCAGAGCAAGCATGCTTTTGACTTTGTAGGAGAGCCTCGTGGGCTTGAAGTTAGGCGTTGGATCCAGTCCTCTCATGACTGGTTAGCTCTTGTCCCCGCAGATTAGGGTAGGCAGTGCAGAGGGGGTGATGTGGTCAGAGGTGGGAAAGGAAAGGTCCTGACTACGGCCTGTAGGCCACCACCTCTTCCCTTCTTGGTCAGTGGCCCTGCCGACTCCCAGATTAGCCCTGGAGTCTTCCTCAGTTCTGGGCCTCTCAAGGTGAGGTACCTGTGCCTGCACCAGGAGTTCTGGGGCTCCGTTGGGCCTACACGTGAAGCTTCGGGAGAAACCCGTGGCATGGCCCTGAACTGTCAGTCACATCTGCAGATTTTAGGGGGCATGGTTATGTGAATATCAAGTGCTGTATTACAGGATGGAGAAGGCAAAAATGCAGGATGTTTGAGAGATGCAGCAGGAATTCAGACAAGGGTTGTATGCCTGGCTGGTCCTTGGGATAAGGTTGTCCTCCCCCAGGGTGGGAGGCTGAGAGAGGAGCTGGAGAGGGTCTCCCCTGGGTCCTAAGAGCACCTGGAGGTGATACCTTGGGAGGGGACAGGATTACGTGGTGACTGCCCCCTCACATGGAAGATATCAGCATTGAGGCCCCTGAGGGGACCTCCTCCAGCCTTTCTTGCTAAAGGGTTCCTGGCTGGAGCCCGCTGGTCTGGGTGGAGGCCTGGTCCTCTCCCAAGGCTGGCTGTGGGTGGCACAGCTGGGGTAGGGGTTGGAGCTGGAGGCCAAATGCTGACTGCAGCAGGAAGCACAGCCTAGCTGTCAGGTGAGGCCAGGCACAGCGGAGAGACAGGAAGCTGTGTCGCCCTTCAGGCACTCTGCTGGGGCAGCCAGCCCCTGTGCACCTGTGGTTCTGGAACACCTTGCTGTGTGAGGCAGGTGTCGAAGGCTGTGCCTAGGGTAAGTGCATCGCTTGACTCCTCTGTTTTAGAAGGAGACCCCGGGGGCCTGCACAGCACTGTGGCTCGGCTCACTTGATCGGGCGTCCTTGCCTGCCGTCTGTGTAAGGTTACCTGGGAGAATGGAAAACAGAATTCCAGAGCCGGTGGAGGGATCAGGTGCAGAGGAGCTTCTGCAAGTTTAATGAGCTGGTTGCTAATTGCTGCCTCCAAGGCCCCTGTCCCAGCAATGGCCTGAGCTTGCTTCCTGCCCAGCAGCCAGCTCCTTGGACCAACCTTGAAGGCTCCTGGAGTTCCTGGTGAAGCTGGGCTGCAGGCTGTGGCTAGAAGAGGGAGTTGGGTGCAAGAGACCTGGCTGGTGCGGTGCAGCCGGGAGGTGGGGTTCAAGGTTGCACATCTGGGCATCAGAGAAGCCACGTTCTGGGGTGCAGGAAGATGCCCCCTTCCCCTCCTGACCTCGTGGCATTTCAGTGGTGGGTTCCCTGGGCTGTGGGACTTGCTCACGTGCAAGACGGAAAGCGGGCCTGGGAAGATGAAGATAGCGAGCAGCGGCACGGGGCTGGTGAAGACGTCGGAGCCGGAACCGCTGCTCAGTCTTACCTGGTTTCCATCTCTGTTCTGAGAGAGGCACCCCTTGTCCCAACCAAAATCCAAGCCATATTTTCTGAGTCAGAGGACTTCTTGTGTGGCTGGCCCTGTGAATGGTGACAAGTGACCCTTACTGAAGGCTGGGTCTCAGGGGAGCACTGGCCTGAATCCTTGAGGGACATTCTCTCTTTAATCCTTCTTTAATCCTAACCTCCCCTTGAGGTGTGTTAGCTGGGGTCAGAGGGCCAGCTCCTCTGAGCCCTGGAGTGGAGAGAGGGCGAGATACCCTCATAGCCTTCCCAGCGCCCAGAGCCGGCCAGCTGTGAGATCCACCTGCCACCTTGCTGCCACCTTGCTCTGGGGCCTGGGGCGAGCCACGGCACCACTCTGCGCCTCCCCACCTGTCTCAGATGATATAGGGCAGGCTTCTGGGTGCTGTGAGGACTGTGTGCTGCGTGTCTGCAGGGACTCTGGTGCTTTCCAGTCCCCTCCCCGGGCCACCATGCCAGCAGGCTCTGCCTGCCTCCCACTGACTTCTGCCGTGTCTCTTGTTTGAAGCTTGCGCAATCTCTGGCCTCTTCAACTGCATCACCATCCACCCTCTGAACATCGCGGCCGGCGTGTGGATGATGTGAGTAGCGCATGGCTGTCCCGCCCCGCGGGTTTCCCGCTGGTCGGGGGGTCTGCGGGGCACCCCTCGGAGCGGAGAAGAGGCAGGGGCTGTGGGAGCTGGCGTCCTTGAGGTTGCCATGGTTACTGGCTCCCGCCTGAGCGCCTTAGGGCGCATGGGTTTCTGGCCACAGCATGGGTCTTCTCCTGTTTTCTACCCCCACCATGTTCGGTTTCCCAGCGAGAGGTCAGGGTTTGGGGATGCCCACCCCAGCCTTCATCCAGTGCAGGGCTGAGGCCATCCAGTGCTCCAGACATTTCTGGAGCATCCACTGAGACTGCAAATGCCAAATCCACTATGCTGGGGCCCTCGCCCTCTGGGAGCTCCCGGGATGGGGGTGGGGAAGGCCATTTGTTGGGGCTGGCTGAGGACTGGGTTGGAGGGTCCACTGGGAGAGGGTGCTCTAGCTCCGGGCTGTGCCAAAGGTGGGTGGGAGAGGCGGGTCAGAGTGGTCGTGGGAACCTGCAGTCAGAACACCCTCATGTGCGTTCGTTGACCGCCTCCTGCCAGGCGGCACCATCCCATCGGAAGGGAAGGTGTGGTGAGGGCAGGTCCGCGCAGCTTGGAGCACATGAGAAGTGGCTGTGTACCAAGAATTGATGAGTGTCCTCGTGGGGCTTGGTCTTGAGGGGCACTGAGATGGACGGGATTCAGGTCCCGTCCTCAGTGACCTATGGCCAGTGGAGAGCCTCGGGGGCTTGCTGTGGTGGGTCACCAATGCCTGTGCTTGCCAGCGGTGGATAGCAATGGGCCTGGACAGAGGAGAGGCGCTGGGCCCAGCCTCGGGCTGGCGTCGGAGCCTGGCCGAGTTTGCAGTGGAAGGCAGCACAGAGGGAGTCGATGCTTGGAGGCCTGGGGTGTGGGAGGCTTGGGGCCGGGTGCAGCGGTTAAGAGTTGTGAAGAGAGTCTCTGCCCTGGGCTTGGGGTGGCTCTGGGGTGTCCTGAGTTGCATTTCTGTTACACAGGCGTAATGGTGGCACATTTCTCCCAGGCTTAGGGACAGACAGAAGTGCCTGGCTCAGTGTCTGGTAACTGACTGTCACCCACACTCTGAGAATACCGAGACCACGGCAGACACTCTCTGTCACCAGTGGCTTAGCTGTTCCCACCCCAAACACGGGGCCGGATGCGAGGACTTGTTAAAGTTCTTCCTCCCAGCGTGGGCTTCCCCTGGGTGTCACTGGGCCTGGGGCTGGTGGCAGTGGGTGTGTGGGCAGCCCTCCGTGACTGTTTTGAGACTGCCTGGCTCTAGCTCTCTGCCTCCCTGGTGGGGCAGCCTTCCTGATGCTGATGCCACTGATGGATGCTGGTGGCCGTGGCGATATGACTTAGCAGCAGACAGAGCTGCCAGGTGCTCCATCTGTGGGCACCCTGCCTCAGCCTTACAGCAGTGCCATGATGTGGGGTCCTCTCTCCTCCATCTCACACAGGAGGAGGATAAAGGGAAGCAGAAGCCCGGGGGCTTCCCTCTAGGAGTGTTGAGTTCAGCTGGGGAGATGTGTGTGCAGGAGCAGCTGGGGAGTGCTGGAGTCTTCAGCAGAGGCTCTTTGGGGGTTACAAGCAGGTGCCCTGGAGCAGCCAGGCACCTTCCCAGAGGAGGAGGGACGGGGGCAGGAGGGCGAGGGAGGTGGGATTCATGTGGCACTGGCACTGTGCGCCCCCGTCCCCCGGGGTTGTCAGTTGCAGCTTTTCTCCTGCCCTGCTCCCTGCAGCATGAATGCCTTCATCTTGTTGCTGTGCGAGGCGCCCTTCTGCTGCCAGTTCATCGAGTTTGCAAACATGGTGGCGGAGAAGGTGGACCGGCTGCGTTCCTGGCAGAAGGCTGTCTTCTACTGCGGGTGAGGGGCTGCTGGGCAGGGTCCCATGACACAGTTCCCCAAAACCCCACTGACAAAATGTGACCCAAAGGTCAGGTGAGGGTGGGCAGTGTATGCGTTTCCTCTCTGTAGAAGTGTAAACTGGGATGGCCTTTGTGCAGTGATTGCTGATAGCTGCCAAACCTGCCCAGTGGTTCTGCGCCGGGAACTCAGCTGTCGCTGTGCTGCAGTCGCTGGAAGGTTCAGAGGTTTATGAGCATGTGTGGCAGCATTCCGTGCAGCTGAGAAAAAGGGAAGCGTCTGGAACTTTGGGCCATCCACTGGGTGTTGTTAACCAGACGATAGTAGGTCTGTAGGATGTGTTTCCGAAGAGTGGGTTGATCTAGGTGTCCTGACGTGAAAGGGGAGAAGCAGGTTGTCGAGCAGAAAATGTTGTTGCCCTCTAAACGTGCTTGTTGAAGTTTTTCCCATTTCTAACAATGAAATCAATCTGTAATACGTCTCCTCTGAGTCAGAAGATGGAACTAATCTCAGGATAAGTTTAATACATGGAAGCTCCTAGAATATTGCCCCTAGTGAACAGGAGGCTGGCGGCAGCAGTATTTATCATTGCCTAGGTTATCTTTTGAAAGAGGTGCAGACACAAGCTTGCTTTCCCTTCAGAGAGGTCCAGTAGTTTTGATACTAAGAGCACAAGCCCGGTGCTTAGCTCTGGAGCCATCTTCTGCTCTATCTAAATCACGAAGAACACAGGATCACAAAGTCCTCATCTTCCGCAGTATCATGTCCTTTGGGGTTCAAAAAACTGTACTTTAAAAATGCTAGCCATACTATAAATTCATTAACTATAATTTGGAAAATAGAACAGTGTTACTTGAAGCCGGCTGCCTCCTAATCTTCTGATGTGTGTGCTTCCTGTCTGCGGGCGGTTTTTAAACGCCTGCTTTTAACACAGTTATCACCATTATGAATCAGTTTGTATCCTGCTTTTTTCACTTAGTGTAATGATATAAGCATTTTAAACATCACCACAGACTTTATAACATTACTTTTAATATAGGAATATTCACTCAGCTGGATGTATCATGGTTTTCTTAATTTCTTAACTGGTGTAAATCGAACTGCGATAAACATCTATCTGCTAAGACTTTTTCTGTGTTTATGATGATTTCCTTAAGATCTGTCTTCAGGTGTGGAATTATGGGGTCGAAGAGTCTGATCATTAAAAGTCTTTTAAGACGTGTGGTGACGTTGCTTTCCAAAGAGCTTACTTGAGTCTCTCCCACGCCCCCGCTCCATGCCTGGGCCTGCACACTCCTTCACATTTGTATTTATCCGTTTGTTATTTAAGAGGAAAAATATTTCCCCATGTGCTCTCATTGCATTTTCTTACTTTTTAACCTGTTTTTACGTAGGAAGTTCAACACGTTTTCTGCATTTCATGGTGCTTGCTTCGATTTCCTGCAACTATTTTGCAGCCTCCTGTTGGCCTTTAATTCGGTTTTTGTCAGAAGATTCCCTGTCATGGTCTTCTTTTTCTTTGAATTTCTATTATTTTATTGAAATTTTGTAGTGACAGAAAAATCTCACAACCACATGTCTTCAAGCATGAAATTCAGGTAGAATGCAATTGGCTATGAGTCTCATCCTCCCGCACAGGCGGCCTCCTCTGGGGAGGTGACAGGACAGAGCCTTGGCCTTCAGGCTGCAGATATTCTCCTAGCCCAGTTAGCCCAGGGATTGCTGCTGGTCTGGAAATTCCAGCCGGGATGGAGAATCAGCCCCGGGGATGCTTAGGCCCGAGTGGACCCTGCCACCAGGTGGCACCAAACTGGAACAAACTCTGGGCCGACTCCGCAGACCCCGCAGACCCCGCAGCCTGCAGCCCTCTGATGATGAGACCCTGTGTTCCCTGCGGTAGAATTCTGGGGACCTCACTTGTGGAGATGTGGCTAGTGTTGCGCTATAACTCAGAGCATTTATTTAGTGCCTGTGGTGTTCAGCATTGTGTAGTTAACATGCCTGACCTCAGACAAGGTTTGATCTCTCTACGATGGAGACTGAGTGACTTACCAAGGAAGCTCGCAGGGCCTGGGTGGGAAGCCAGATCTGCTGTCATGGCTCTCTCCGGACAGTGTTTCTCCCAGCCAGGGCGCTGGACCATCTCGTGACCATTTAGTCCCTTCTGGGATCACAGACCTTTTCAGGGTCTGATGAAAGCTTTGGGTTCTGTTCCCAGAATCAAACAGTTTTACAGACAAGTTCAGGGCTGTTCAAGGGCTTTCTGAAGCTGTGCCCTAGCTGATTTCCGGGGATCCTTCCTGTGCCCTGGGTGTCTAGGAAGGGGGTGGGGCCAAGTCTGGAAGCCAGGAAGGATGTGGGGCCATGGCGTAGGAGTGCCCCTTTGACCTCTGCTTTCCCCCAGGATGGCGGTCGTTCCCATCGTTATCAGCCTGACCCTGGCCACGCTGCTGGGCAACGCCATCGCCTTTGCCACAGGGGTGCTGTACGGACTCTCCGCTCTGGGCAAAAAGTGCGTTTGCCAGGCCCAGCCCCTGGGCTGGGCTTTCCTTTCCCACCCCCTGAAGTCTCTCAGTGAGGAGGGTCTGCGAGTGGCCCCTTTAAGCCAGTAGAGACTGAGGCAGAGGCGTCAGTGAGTCCTCGGTGCCTCCAGCGTTCAGCTCTAGTGGGTGAAGACAGGATTCACGACACTTCTGCGTGGCCCAGTCTCGCCCCGTCACGGCCTGCAGCAAGGATAGCAAACGTAGGGCTCCTGGGCGCCCCTTCCCCTCCCGGGTCTGCACTGGGCATCGCATTCCGTTGCCCCTCTCTCTCCTGCAGAGCTCAGACTGAGGCTGGTTCCTTCTCAGCCCAGCATCCCAGGCAGCCTGGGCCACTCTCAGAGGCGGCAAGATAGGCCTTTGTCATCCCAGCAGATGTCTCTGGGGAAATCAGAATGCCTGCAGGTCATACCTGGGTCACAGGGCAGGAACCAGGCAGTGGACAGGAGGGCCGTGGGCGTGGGGCTGGTGCTCCACGTGACACTGCCTCTCTCTCCCCAGGGGCGACGCGATCTCCTATGCCAGGATCCAGCAGCAGAGGCAGCAGGTGGATGAGGAGAAGCTCGCGGAGACCCTGGAGGGGGAGCTGTGAAGGGCTGGGCGCCCCTCCCTCCCTGCACCTCCTCTGGCTCTGTGTGGGTCCAAGTGAGGCCTGAACGGTCTGTGCCGAGGCACAGCCTGGAGAGGGGTTTCTGCACGTGTCCCCACACCTGCAGTCCTCTGCCGCTTTCTCCAGACTCCAAACTGGCTTACACTGGGAGCCCCTGGCTGCTGGTGTGAGGGTCTGGACCGCTGGACTTGAGGCAGAGCTGAGCAGAGCCTGCAGCAGCTGTGTGTGGACAGCACCCGACCCTGCTCCTCTGCTGGGTGGGTCCATAGAGCTCACACCACAGACGGGGCTGCTGGTGACCTGCGGCGACCTGGGAGCAGCCTCCCTGGGAGATGCTGGTCCTGGCTTGAGGGGAGGTGTGTCAAGTAGGACCCTGCCACCGGGCACTGAGCAGAGGGACCTCCCCCAGCTTTCTTGGCAGGTGGAGCCCCAGGGCCCAGAACAGCCTGCCGCTGCTCACAACCTCCCACCGCTACCCAGGGTGCAGTGCCCACTGTTAACTCTGCCTTCTGAAAAAGCCCACAGGGCTCCACAGGTGCACCCCTGTACCTGCAGTTGCAGCCTTGGCAGTGACTGGACAGCTGGGTGGGGGGTGCCCCCTGTCAGCTCCGGAACCTTGGACAGGCCACCTCAAGATTCCTCAGCTGCCCCTCCCCTCTGGGCCTGCTGGGGCCCCTAGGTTCTGCCCATTCCTCCCAACCCCTGCCAGCCTTGGTGCTAAGGAAGTGGGGAGAGCAGGCTCTCCCTGGCACCCTCGAGGCTGCCCACAGTCTCCCTGGTGTGGCCCGGTCATGTCAGCTGCAGCCCAGCACTGTTAGTGGGTTAGTGGGTCTGACCTCAGCCCCGCTCAGGTGCTCTTGCCGGCCTGGCCGAGCCCTGCCCTCAGGGAGCTTCTGCCTTTGAAGAACTGGGCAGAGGCCACAGTCACTTCCCCACATGGAGCTGTCCCCACTGCCCCGGATGCCAGGCCGTCAGGACACAGACCTGCACAGGGAGGATGCTGAGAGCTGGTGCCCAGGAGGCCCATCCCTGTCTTCCCTCTGCCAGCCTCTGTGACTGTGAGGCTGGCTGTTGGGCAGGTGGGACCTGGCTAAGCTTGGGTGGGGCTTGGCAGAAGCAGGTGGGTGTGGAAGAAACTCTGTCTTCGGCCTACACCAGTCTGGGCCTGCTCTGAGCTTCTGGAGCACAGGGACCGGGTCTTGCTAAGTGGACGGAAGCCCCATGGCTGTGCCAGAGGTTTCCCGGGAACACCTTCCAGGCCCATCTGCCTCTGAGGCCAGGAGTGGCAGGCTGGTGGGTCGGGGGTAGGGTTCTTTGGGCCCTGCCCAGTACTGCCCTGGGGACTTGCTGGTGGGCTCCCGGGTCAGCAGCACCCTACCTCGGGAGTCTGGCCAGCTGAGCCCCAGAATGGCAAGGGCATTATAGCCTGGTGGACATGTGCCTTCAGGGTTCCTCCGGGGCCACCTTCCTCAGGCCAGTGCTGGGTTCCAAGGGCTATGAGTGTGTGTATATATATACGTATCTGTCCCACATCTGCAGTGACACCTGTCTACCTCCCATGAGGAGCAAGGGCCCTGCCTGCCCCTCTGCTCGTTCTCACCCAGGTAGTGGGTCCCCGGGTCCCCTTCTGCCTGGTCTGCCTGCTGCTGCCCCTGCCAGAGGGGCCTCACTGGCAGCCAGAGACCGCAGAAGGGTTGGCTGTGGATCAAGGAAGGCTGCCCCTATGCCCTTTGGGGAAATGGTGGCTGCATGGCTGGATACAGAGGTGGAAGGCCCTTGGCCACAGGCGGGCCGCCTGTCCCAGGTTCCCAGCAAGTTTGCAGCTGTGTGGTCCTGGGGCCTGGATCCTGTCTCCCAGGGGGCGTGCTGTCCAGCAGGAGCCCTGCCTTGCCAGGAACGTCTTTTCCAGCAGCCTGGGTGGCCGGGCCACCCCTGCCTTGTCTGGGCTCCGTGTGGCACCCTTTCCCCCTTTTCTGCTCCTCCATGTTTGTGTGCGTCTTGAGCAATAAAGTGTGGCCATGGCTCGCGTGCCTGCCCTCCTCTCTTCTGCCTTGGTGCATGCGTGTGTGTGTGTAAGCTGGGCAGGAGCCGCTGGCCCAGGAAGTAGCTATAGGTCCTGTCCCGAGGCTGCTCCCAACAAACGTCTCAGACAAGGGCACGCAGCTAGGCGGAGAGGCCTGTTAAAGGCGGACCTCCCCTCGGCAGCTTCTTCCCTGCCCTGCTTTGCTGTGGATTAGCGGGAAGCGGCCCTTGCAGCCTTGGCTGCTGCGGGAGGCTCCCCTCCTGGAGTAGATTCCACGCTTTCCTCGCTAGGGCTGCAGGCCCAGTTCCTTTATTTTGATAAAAGGGTGAACACAGTTTGCAGATGGGAGCTGCCTATTCGCAGAGGTTGGGCTGGGGCGGGAGAAAGTGGCCAGGCTGGGTCGTTTGCCTTGGCTTTTTTTGGGGTTGGGGTTGGGGGTAGAGTTTCACTAGTTTCCCAGGCTGGGATGCAATGGCGTGATCTTAGCTCACTGCAGCCTCCACCTCCTGGGTTCAAGCAATTCTGTCTCAGCCTCCTGAGTAGCTGGGACTATAGGTGTGTGCCACCACACCCGGCTAATTGTTTTGTACTTTTTAGTAGAGACAGGGTTTTGCCATGTTGGCCAGGCTGGTCTCGAACTCCTGGCTCATGTGATATGCCTGCTTTGGCCTCCCAAAGTGCTGGGATTACAGGCGTGAGCCTCCATGCCTGGCCTGCCCTGGCTTCTGAAGTCCAGGATGTTCCCTGTGGTGCCCAGAAGGCTTGCGGGGGCACAGCCAGGTCTTCCACACGAAGCCAGATGCCGCCGGATCAGAGTGCAAAGATGTGATCACATTACTCGGCTGCTTCCAGCTCCGTCTTCTCGGTCCTCCCCGTGGCCTTCTGAGGGGTGTGTCCTTCACACAAGGGTCAGGGATTAGGCCTGAAGTCGCCCGGTGGGTTGTGTGCTCTCCTGCAGCCCATGGCTGCCTCCTCCCCTGGTGGGTCTTGGCTGGTGTCTGTGCAGCACTGCGGGCTGCCTGAGCTGGGGCTGCGGCTGCAGCTGGACAGCGATGCGACCTCTCTGGAGCCGGGAACACACACTGCTGAGGCCCCATCACGCTCTCTTCCTGTGCCCTGGCTGGTGGCAGGGCTGACTGCTGCCTCTCGGTCCCAGGGTGCAGGTTTGCAGCCAACACAGAGGCCCAGCCACCGGGGTTTTGGCCCCCTCCAGGCAGGGACCCTGGCCTAGCGCAGGAAGGACCTTCTCCCCGTGCGGAAGAAGGACTCAATCTGCTCCAGGGACCGTCCCTTGGTCTCGGGCACACAGCATCCTGTGAACACCAGGCTCACCAAGCAGATGGCCGCAAAGAAGAAGAAAGGCACCTGGAGGCCGAAGGCGCTCTGCGGGTGGAGAGGGGGGCCGGGTCACAGGGAGGAGCCGCAGAGTCCTCTCACCCCGGGAGCTCGCGGGCCCTGCTGGTAGTGGCCAGCCGTGCGGGGCCTTCATCTGGTCCTTGCTGCGTTCAGAGACCACTCCCTGACCCTCCTCTGGGGTTCCCCCACTGCCTCCAGGACAAACCCAAAGGCCTTAGCACCCGGTTTGTGGCCCTTGAAGTCTGCACCTGCTCTGTTCCTCAGCCTCCCTCAGGGGCTGGGCCTCAGCTCAGGTACCCCCTCCACAGCCCCCACCCAGCGCTAGTGTCCCAGCTGCTCCATGCCGCAGCCTGCTGGAGGCCCGCCCCTCGGCCTGGTGGGCACACAGGTGGATCTTGCACCCCCTAGGCTGAGGGACTCACCCTGGGTTGCCTGCCCTCCCCCCACCCCACTGCCCTGACCACTGCGGGGACAGGTTAGGCGCTGGCCCAGGCTGCCCTAGTCAGCTTCTCCTTCATGGGAACTTACCCCGGGCCTCATAGCTTCTGGCTGGTTTCAGGGCCTGTAGGTTTGAACCAGGAGGCAGGCAGAGTGGGTGGGGGGAGTGTGGAGGGGGTGGTGCTGAGACCCCCCCACAGGGTGGGAGATGCAGCACGGTGGGGAGGTGGCTTCCTGGGCTCCTGGCAGGGTTCTGGCTGTGTCCTCCCCTGGCCTGGGAGGTGACCTGACTTCCCGGAACAGTTCCCTCAGCCTGTTCCTGTTTCTCGTAGTGAAGGCGGCTTTGCCTGACCTCACTTGACCACCCTGGGGCCTCTGAGTGGAGAGGCCATGTGCTCATCTCCTAGGTCACTGAGAGTTAGCGCCCTGACACAGCAGGCCTTGGCACAGCCCCTGGCACCGAGAAGGGTCCTGGCCAGCCAGAGAGGGCCCGAGGGCCCGGGGACCGGGACTGAGCACTCACCACCACTGGCAGGAAGGACTTGGTGAGGACAAAGGCGGTGAGCCAGCTGGCCAGCACGCAGAGCCCTGAGGCCACGCCACGGGCTCGCAGGGGCAGGACCTCAGACATGAGCAGCCAGGTGATGGGGCCCCAGCCCATGGCGTAGCCTGCTCAGAAGGGGAGGCAGGCTCAGGCCCCGTGGAGTGGCTGGAGCAGCGTGTCTGTCCCCAGTGAACTGCTGGAGACCCTCCTCCCCAGCCAGCCCAGACACATCGCCCACCCCTTACTGCCCAAGGTAGCACGCCCCTCTGCGCCACCGCCACACCTACCCATGATGAAGAGCATGGTGGCCAGCAGGGGTACCAGGGTGAGGTAGCTGGTGGGTGCTGCCAGGGGCTGTGCCAAGTCCCCCCAGGACATGCTTTCCAGGCCCGCTGTGCTGTTGGGGCTCACAGGCCTGGGGCCAAAGTGGATGTACAGCCCCAGAGTCAGGTTGGCAGCAAACATGATGGCCGCTGTGGACAGACAGGTGGCCCTCGTGGGGCCAGGACTCTCTGAGCCAGCTGCTTCTTGGGGAGCTCCTTCTGCAGAGCCCCTTGGCACCTGTGTGGCACAGCTCTCGTCTGGGACTGGAGACCCCCCACAGGGCAGCGAACTCTGTCTCTAGCCGCTTGTCAGGTACCCACCATGGAGTGTCACAGTGACCTTTCTGGAGCCACCGGCCTGAGGCAGGCTCCTGCTGATGCTGGGGAGGCAGCTGCCCCTCAGCTCCCGGCCACATAGCCCTACCCCAAGGCAGGCCTGGGGGAGCCGAGCAGGGTCACTGGCTGCACACCCAGCCCAGCCCCGACCCATGCAGGGGCAGGAGGTCTGCCTGCAGGGCGCTCACCGGAGACAAACAGCAGCACCTTGCGGCCAGCGAGGTCCATGGTGAGGGCTGCGATCAGCACAGAAAGGAGCCGCACGGCCCCAACGATGGCTGCGTCATCCTTAGGGGGCTGTGGGGAGGGAAGCCACCAGGGCTGAGGGACCTGCCTGCTGTTCCCATCCCCCTCTAGGACCTAGCTTGTCCCTGCAGGCACTACAGGGGCTCAGGCCCGAGGTTCAGGGCAGCACTGAGTGGCCTGGCACCTGCAGTGTGCCTGGCATCTCTTCCACACACCACTCAAGCCCGCGGGGCCTCCTCAGCAGGGACACATCTGCTCTGCCCATCACTATACCCAGCTGGCACAGAATCCAGGCGTGATGATGAATTGCCAAACCGTGCTCTTATTAATCTTCAAATCTCATCTCACTTTGAGCATCGGGCAGGTCTATGGAGGCGGGCTGCTATCTTCATCTTGCAGAGGAGGAAGCTGAGGTTCAGAGGGGAAGTGACTTCCCTCGTCAAGTGGCAGATGCCATAGGACTCTGAACCTGGGCTCTATAGCCTCAAAGGGTCCACGTTTCTATAAAGCTGGTTTCCTTTGTAATCCCATATATTCAATTTCAAAAATTTCTATATGTTTTTAGAAAAGGGGTCTCACTCTGTCATTAGGCTGGAGTGCAGTGGTGCGATGGTGGCTCACTGCAGCCTCAAACTCCTGGGCTTCAGTGACCCTCCCGCCTCGGCCTGCCAAAATGTTGGGAGTATGGGCTTTAGCCACCATGTCTGGCCAGCATTTCATTTTAAAACATTGAAGCTTTTCTTAAAAACATTCTGAGAACAGGTGAAGGCATAAGAAATGTCTCCAAATGGCCCAGATCTCAGGTCGTGCTGTGGCATCCCTGACACCTGGCACAGAGCCGGTGTGGGTAAGGGTAGGGGGTGGGTAAGCTCAGGAGCAGGCTGTCTCCCAAGCCGGGCGTGCCCTGCCAGCCTCTGGGGGACTCCGGGCTGGGTTCTCACCAGCAGGACAGCAGTACTGTCGAAGATGGACTGCAGGTAGACCAGGATGGGCGTGATGCCGGTCAGCTGCTGCAGGAAGCGCATCAGCAAGGCCACGGCGATCGGCCGGCACATGTGAGGGGCCCGTGCCTCCGCCCACGACACTTGGCTGCTCTGAAACACAAGGCTGCCGCTGAAGGCGTTGGGCCAGCCTCTCCAGCAGGATGGCCACCCTGCCCTGACCACTGGGCTGGGTGGGAGACCCCCTTTTTCCCTCCTCCAGGAAAGAACCAGTCTACCAGGCTGTGGGGACAGCCTCCCACCGCCCCCCCACCCCCCACCACGGCACTTGGATTAGTGGGAACGACTGTGGTCCCATTGTTAGGAAAAGCCCCCACAGCCGAACAGAGCTGAGTGCTGGAGGCGGGCCTGCCAGGCTCGGGCGCACGCCCTCCCGCACCTGTCTCCTGACGTTGTCCTGGATCTGCTCAAACTCCCAGTGGACGTCAGCATCCACCCCGCGCAGCCAGGCCAGCGCCTGCAGGGCCTCCTCGTCCCTGCCCCGAGAGAGCAGGAAGCGCGGTGAGTTGGGCATGAAGCTGAGCAGCAGGATCATGACGAGTACAGGCGCCTCCCCAGCCACAGCCAGCCAGCGCCACGGCAGCAGGAGGCCTGTGGGTGAGGGGCGGGTGAGAGGCTGGGTGCAGGCCTGGTGGAGCCCCTTCCCTCTGGAGCCTCTGAATAACCTCGTCTGCCCTTCAAGGTCTAGTCCAAGGGCCACCTCCTACAGGAAGCCTACCCTGATTGCTCCAGGCAGGGTGGGGCTGCAGGGATTGCTCAGTCCCTGGCACATAGTGGGAAGTCCTTGGAAAGTCTTAGAGCCAGGGCAGGATGAGGAAGGGGTAGGCTGGGCAGGCAAGGCCCTGGTCCCCCACCCCAGACCTCCACGCCCCCTCAACTGATTTCTTTTCTATCTGGACTTCCCATCTGAGATGGCATTTGATGGAAGCTTTCTGCCGTTAAGAGATAGTCTGGTGACTGCGGCTGCCCTGGCTGCCCAGCCAGGGACCGGGCCGGTGGCTAGAGGGGCAGCCCCTGCCTAAAGGTCCGTGGCCAGGTGCTGGCCCAGTGGGGCTGGGGTGCCAGATCTCCTGCCTGTCAGTCCAGGATCTGTTCTGGGGCAAATTCATTCCCTTTCCACCCACGTCTCCCTCGGCACTCCACCCACCACTCCCACCAGCCTGCACACAGGAGTGCAGGGCCATACTTGCCAAGGGTGTAGAGGGACAGGGATCCAAACACTGCCATGAGCTGGGGTGTGGCCCCCAGAGCTCCACGGACGCCTGGGGGAGCAATCTCAGACACGTACACCTGTAAAACACACGTGTCCCACCAGGTTTTGCTAAGAATGCAGGTTCCCAGTTCTGGCCGAGATGGGAGAGGCAGCCCCTGGGAATCCCAGAAAGTGGGAAGTAGAGGCTTTCTGGTGGGGCTGTGTCCTGATCATGATTCACTGCAGGACCTCAGGCAGCTTGTCTGATCTCCCTCTGTCCTCAGTATCCCTGTGAAGTGGGTGAAGCACTCAGCTCTGAAATGGGCAGCATGACACTGGGAAGGAGGCCCATGGACTCCCAGGCTCCAGGGCTCAGCAGGTGAGTCTGTTCCTTCCAGTGAGTTTGCACCCTCTGCGGGGCTCATCAGGCCCCATGTGGAGCACCAGATTATCAGAAGGTTGCTTCAGTGGCTCACGCCTGTAATCCCAGCACTTTGGGAGACCGAGGAGGGTGGACTGCCTGAGGTCAGGAGTTCGAGACCAGCCTGGCCAACGTGGTGAAGGCCCATCTCTACTAAAAATACAAACATTAGCCAGGTGTGGTGGCACATGCCTGTAATCCCAGCTACTCAGGAGGCTGAGGCAGGAGAATTGCTTGAGCCCAGGAGATGGAGGTTGAAGTGAGCTGAGACTGTGCCACTGCACTCCAGCCTGGCTGACAGATCGAGACTCTTGGGGAAAAAAAAAGAAGTTACCAGGGAGATGCAGAGCAGGGACTTCCCGCTCCTACCCATTGCTCAATGTGGATTTTCTCCAATTGAGTAATACATGTGGTCAAGAAATGGAGTAGAAAGCTTGGAAAATCCAGCCTGGGGGCAACTGAGGACCTGAAGACAATCTCTCCCAGATCAGTTGCCCTGCTGAGGGTGAGCTGTGGCACCCCGGGCAGCGGCAGGGAAGGCAAACAATTCTCACTAGTCCAGAAGGCATGGAGGCCAGGAGGCCTTAGTCAGATGGGGGCCCGGCACCAACAGGGAGGCACTGGGGCGCCTGGGTGGGAAGGCCTGGGCTTACCGGGATGCAGGCAGCCGTGAGTCCCCCGGCGAAGCCCGTCAGCGTCCTTCCGAGCAGCAGCATCCAGAGGCCGTGGGCGCCCGCCATGAGCGCGTAGCCGGCCGCCGACGGCACCGCCGAGAACATGATGCTCAGCTTCCGGCCCAGGAGGTCATTGAGGATCATGGCACTCAGGCCCCCTGCTGCTGCTCCCAGGGTGAACACGGACTGCAGGGGAAGGGGGTGCAGGGCAGGTCTGTCTGGGCACTGGGACCGCACTCTCACCAGAGTCCAGGGCCAGCTTCTTCCCTAGGCCGACCCCAGGAGCACATGGGCCAGTCACTGCAGGGAGCCTCCTGTCTTCAAGGGGCAGCCATTTGTTAGCGATGCCCAAATGGGGAGCCCCGCTCTGTAGAAGAGGCAGTGCCGCATGTCCACCGCGGTGCTGTCCAGCCTGAGGTTTACGTGTCTCATATTTTCGCACAGGAGAATTCTGTGACTTGAAGGCCCATGGCTTTAAGATTTGGATGTTCTTATGTTCCCTGTAGAGCAGCAACTGGGATCCGCTCTGGACTCTGCTAACTAGTAGTGGGACCTGGGCACATCGCCCAACCTGTCTGAGCCTCAGTTTCTTCAGTTGCCTTACGGGGAGAGCACAAGTTCTACCTCAAGGGATTGGCCCTGGGAGTCGGTGAACGCTCAGTGCCCAACACATGCCTGGCACACAGGAAGTGCTCAGTAAACCCTGGAAATTGCTGTATTTGCCACGATGTTCTAACTCCACATTTGAGGCTACTGAGATTGTAATTCTAGACTCTGGGACTTTGGGATCTTCCTCTCCACCTGCCCACAATCTGTCCTGTGGACCCTCCATGCCCAGGCCAGTGCCTCTCCTCACTGACACCTGATACCCTTGCCCCCATCTCAGCCAGTTGTAGGTGTGGGGACCAGGGGAAGCCTTAACCCCACCCAGCAGAGACCCTGACAGACGCCTCCCCACCTGCTCCTTCCCTCACCCTCTCCACCGGCTTTCGCTTCCTCATTTCAGAGGAATCCTGTGGCATTACCCCACTCACCAGCAGCCTGAATGGCTGGGGGAGGGGGGACAAGGGCCCTGAAGGGGTGTCCAAGGTGGAGAATTTGGGAGGTTCCTAGCTGGAGACAAGGTTCAGCAGGTTCCTGCTCCCTGAGCCCGCCTCCTCCAGAGGATGGTCCTTACCCCGAACCAGGATGCCTGGGATTTGGTCAGATGCAGGTCAGGGTCCAGGGAGTGCTCCAGGGCTGGGATGACCGGGGACGTGTAGACCAGGGCATACCCAAAGCTGAAGTTGCCGAGCACAGCCGCAAAGGTGGCCAGGAACACCCTTTTGTTCTGCAGGGCCCTGGTGATGGTGGCAGACAAAAGGACCAGGGTCTCTGAGTCCCTTCTCCCGGGACCATTGCCTTTTCTGAACCCAGTGGCTGTCCAGCTCAGCAGGCAGTGCTGGGGAGGCCTGCGGCCAAGGCCATTCGGGTTTCCAGGGCCTGCGCCCCAGCTCCCTGGGAAATTCCCAGAGCGTTGTTAGCCCATGGCCGTGGCTGGGCCTCTGGTGCTGGGGCCTTTTCTCTGGAAGAGGAGGCTCTGGTTCTGCCCCCAGGTCTGCGGCAGAAGGCTTGCCGGTGACCTCAGCCAGGCCTCAGTCTCCCTGTCTGTGCCAGTGGGGGGCTGGGCCCGGCAATCCCGCAGGTCGTTCCTTCCCTTCGGGGGACCAGTTCCTTAAATAGGAGTAGCGTGTCTGGGACAGGAGGGAGCCAGATGGCCCCTCGGTGGCCACTAGGTCAGAGAAGGCCCAGGGCGGGAGCCTGCCGGGCTGGAGGGAACCCACGCCACCCCCAAGCCCCACCCGCAGCCCCCAGGCCAGCAACGCTCACCCGACCCGCGCCCTGTCCCCCGGCGACGGCGGCGGCCTCTCGGGGAAGGTGTCGTAGTCCGGACCCTCGGCTCCCAGCAGCGGCTCCTGCATGGCCGGGTCTCTCCCGGGGCGAGCGGAGAGCGCCCGGACAGCAGCAGCCGTACGGGGCCCGCAGCTCCGGGGCACCGGCCAGGCTCCGCCCCTCGGCCGCGATTGGCTGCGGGGCGGCCCTGCAGAGCCGCGCCGGCCAATGGGGCGGCCGCACGCTGTGCGGATGCTCGGATGCTGACCCGGCTTTCGCGGGCGCGGCCGGCGCCTCGTGCGTCCTCGAAGGCCCCGCCCCCGAGACAGGCTGGGGGTCCCCGGGCGGAGCCCTTGACCGAGCATCCCGGGCCCAGGCGGAGCCCCCGGAAGCGGCCCACCCCGCCCGGCTCTTGAAGGCGTGGCTGCGGCATTGAGCGCAGCCCATGTGGTACCCCCACCCCGGGGGAGGAAACTGAGGCCCAGAGAGGCCAAGCCGCTCGCCGGTGTCACAGCGAGTGCGCCCCTCGCTCCGCCCCACGCTCAGCCCTCCAAGTCGCGTGGCGTCCCGGGACCACCTCTGCCCCGGCTCTCCCTGGCACCCGGGAATCGGGGTGTGTCAGGGCGGCAGGAGGGGGCGGGCGGGGCGCTGTGGGCGGCTCCAGCGGGCAAGGTCTGTATCCCCCACCCCAGGCTCTGATGGTAGAAATAACCTGAGCTTGGGACACATCACCCAGGTAGTAAGATAACATCGAACAATAAGAAAAGCAGAAGCTGAAAATTCCCGGGAAGCCCATCCTCAAAAGATCCCACAGGGTTCCACTTCTCCCTTTGGGCCTTTTCAGGAAGAGAATGGAATCACGCCCTGCTCTGCTGGACGGACGTGCCACACACGGCTTTTAAAGGGATCCTTTGTTGCTGAGTATTTGGGTCATTTCCCAATTTTAGCTATAACATAGTAAAGCGGTTTTAAAAGTTAGAATTTCTTTTTATTATGATTGAAATACAATCGTCATAGAACAATAGAGAGAATCACATGCGTCTCCCATCAGCCTGACTTTGAAGGCATTTTAGCCTGTTTCCTTTCGGTCTTTTCCCTATGTGCCTCTTCTGCCTATTTGCTTTGGGGGCCCACATTCAATTGTATGGCCCTTTTACATCATCCTTTTTTCGCCATCAAGAACGCAGACTTTGGACTCGGGCACACCCAGCATGGTGATCAGGCTGCACAGCCCTCATGCCCATATATCCATATACGGAGAGAGAGAGAGAAAGAGAGAGAGAGAGAGAAAGGGGGGGGAGAGAGAGAGAGAGAGAGAGAGAGAGAGAGAGAGAGACAGAGATACACACACACAAACACACACTGAGAGCGAGAGAGAGACAGACAGAGATACACACACACAAAAACACACCGAAAGAGAGAGAGAGAGCGAGAGCGAGGGAGAGAGAGAGAGAGAGAGACAGAGAGAGACAGCAGAGAGAAACAGAGAGTCTTGCTCTGTTGCCTAGGCTGGAGTGCAGTAGCACCATCTCGGCTTACTGCAACCTCTGCCTCCCGGGTTCAAGCAATTCTCCTGCTTCTGCCTCCCAGGTTCAAGCGATTCTCCTGCCTCTGCCTCCCAAGCAGCTGGGATTACAGGTGCATGCCATCATGCCCGGCTAATTTTTGTATTTTTGTAGAGATGGGGTTTCACCATGTTGGCCAGGCTGGTCTCAAACTCCTCACCTCTCACCTCAAGTAATCCACATGCCTCGGCCTCCCAAAGTGCTGGGATTACAGGCGTGAGCCACCACCCCTGGCCACTCTAATGGTCGTATTTTAAAATTGAGCTAGAACAAGTGTTAAATGAACAGCTCCATGGATCTACTTCTATATCCACTCCATAATCACCTCTCAGATCAGAAAACGGAAGATTCTGGTCATCCCCAAAAGTCCGTGATGGCCTTGCCCTGTCCTCGCCTCCCGCGGTCTCACTACTCTGATTGCTATTACTGTGGATTTGATTTCCTTCTCTTGAATCTCATATAAATGGAACCATATTCTTTTGTTTCTGCTGTTTTTTAAAAAATGTATTTTTTTTCTTTTAAAATCAACTTTAGGCCAGGCACAGTGTGTATGCCCATAATCCCAGCATTTAGGAGGCCAAGGTGGGAGGATTGCTTGAGGCCAGGAGTCTGACACCAGCCTGGACAACAAAATGAGACCCTGTCTCTACAAAAAACTAAAAAAAATTATCCAGGTGTGATGGCAAGTGCCTGTGGTCCCAGTCACTTGGGAGGCAGAGGTGGGAGGATTGCTTGAGCCCAGGAATTGGAGGCTATAGTGAGCTGTGATCATGCCACAGCACCCTAGCCTGGGCAACAGAGGGAGAGCCTTTGTGAAAAACTTAAATACAAGAAAAATCAACTTCATTAACATATAATTTATATGCAGTAAAACAAGTCCAATTTAAGTATAGGTTGGTGAGTTTTGACAATTGTATAACCTGGAACACCCTCAATCAAGGTATAAAACATTTCCACCTTTTTTTCTTTCTTTTTTTTTGTTTTGAGACAGAGTCTTGCTCTGTTGCCCTGGCTGGAGTGCAGTGGTGTGATCTCGGCTCACTGCAAACTCCGATTCCAGGTTCAAGCTATTCTCCTGCCTCAGCCTCCTGATTAGCTGGGATTATAGGCGCCCACCACCACACCTAGCTAATTTTTGTATTTTTAGTAGAGATGGGGTTTTACCATGTGGTCCAGGCTGGTCTGGAACTCATGACCTCAGGTGATCCGCCCACCTTGGCCTCCCAAAATGCTGGGATTACAGGCATGAATCACCTCGTCTGGCCCATTTCCACCCTTCTAGAAGGTTTCTTTGTGCCTGTCTGAAGTCAACCCCCTTTCCCCCTCCCAAGTAAACTACTAATTTGCTTTCTGTGAGGATAGAGTCATCTTATAAAGAGAATCATATGATGTACTCCTTTTGTCAGCACGTTTGTGAGATTTATCCGTGCCGTGTTTTCAGTAGTTTGTCCTTTTTTGCAGCTGCGAAGGGCAGTGTTGTATGGATGGAGCAGTGTTGTGCGGGCGGAGCAGTGTTGTACGGGCGGAGCAGTGTTGTACGGGCGGAGCAGTGTTGTACAGACGGAGCAGTGTTGTGCGGATGGAGCAGTGTTGTACGGATGGAGCAGTGTTGTGTGGGTGGAGCAGTGTTGTATGGATGGAGCAGTGTTGTGCGGGTGGAGCAGTGTTGTATGGATGGAGCAGTGTTGTATGGATGGAGCAGTGTTGTGTGGGCGGAGCAGTGTTGTATGGATGGAGCAGTGTTGTATGGATGGAGCAGTGTTGTGCGGGCGGAGCAGTGTTGTATGGATGGAGCAGTGTTGTATGGATGGAGCAGTGTTGTGCGGGCGGAGCAGTGTTGTACGGGCGGAGCAGTGTTGTACAGACGGAGCAGTGTTGTGCGGATGGAGCAGTGTTGTGCGGATGGAGCAGTGTTGTGCGGGTGGAGCAGTGTTGTACAGATGGAGCGGTGTTGTATGGGTGGAGCAGTGTTGTATGGATGGAGCAGCGTTGTACGGATGGAGCAGTGTTGTGCGGATGGAGCAGTGTTGTGTGGATGGAGCAGTGTTGTGCAGATGGAGCAGTGTTGTGCAGATGGAGCAGTGTTGTGTGGATGGAGCAGTGTTGTGTGGGTGGAGCAGTGTTGTGCAGATGGAGCAGTGTTGTGCGGGTGGAGCAGTGTTTCTGGCTAAACGGATGGAGCCATTGGGACCTGGCTTGCACGGAGCCCTGCTTAACAGCCCTTTGATGTTCTACTGTGTAGATGAACCTGAATTTGTAATTACTCTTCTGTCATGGGCATCAATGCTGTTTGAAACTGTAAGGGTAGAAAAGGTGGAATCCTTTCCTCGCTCATTGTTATGAGACCAGCAGATCTTCGTGCCTGCTCTGAAGTGACCCCGTGGCACACCGGTACAGCACGGCAGGAGGGTTCTCACCAGGGAAGAGCTTAGTGACCGCAGAGCTCCGAGTGAGCAGATGGGAGGAAACCTTCAAATCCATCTCCCCAGGAGCTTTGGGCTGGGGCTTTTAAGGGAATCACGGAGGGTGATGGGCTTCTAGAAGCGGGGTTGTCGATGGGTCTGGGTAAGGGAGGTAAAATCATCAGGTGGTGGAAACTGCATTCTCTGGTGACTCAGGTCCTCTTGGGGTCCTTGAGACCAGCTGGCATCAGTGATTTCACTGGTACACAGGACCCACAAGAACATCTCAAATGGAAACCTTGCAGTGGCTCACGTCTGTAATCCCAGCACTTTGGGAGGCCGAGGTGGGTGGATCACCTGAGGTCAAGAGTTCAAGACCAGCCTGGCCAACACAGTGAAACCCCGTCTCTAGTAAAAATACAAAGAATTAGCTGGGCGTGGTGGTGCGCACCTGTAATCCCAGGTGTTTGAGAGGCTGAGGCAGGAGAACTGCTTGAATCTGGGAGGCGGAGATTGCAGTCAGCCAAGATCATGCCATTGTACTCCAGCCTGGGCAACAAGAGTGAAACTTCATCTCAAAAAAGAAAAAAGAAAAAGAAAGGAAACCTTTCTAATATTCAAGTTGTCATCTCTAGGCACTGAAGGGGAACTGCAATCTTATAGCAGAGTCAGAGAGCAAGTGGAGCTGGTGGTGAATGCTGAGTGTGCTACAAGCTTGCTTTGTTTCCATTTCTCCTCCTCTCTTCTTCCTTGATTAATTTTATAATGTTTATGGAGACCGTCTCATCATCATCAGGGCCATGGGTGACAGTTCCAGAACAAAAGGCAGGTTAACAAGAGAAAAGCACACCAGATGTATTTAATCAAAGCTTGATGTAGTCCCTGAGTTCTTATGCTAGGCACCCTGCTTGATATAGGTCGGGAGTGGTCGGAAAGGGAGACCCAGAGGCCCCAGGAAGATGGTTCCGGAGCTTAGGGTCAGTGAGGAGCAGGCAGCGTGTGGACGGGTGTGGGGATGGACTTCGAGGGGGCCGGGCGAGGCCGGCTGTGCAGGTCCCCCTCGGCCTCTCCGAGCAGTGCCCCTCACTCCCAGGCACGGGGCAGGACCCCGGAGCGAGCGTCTTAGGACCCACAGTCAGACAAGGTGAGCAGAAAACGTCTTCGTGGCCAGCTCCTCCGCAGAAAGGCAGGGAGGGTTCGAGTCATGTTTCTAGGTCTCA